CTCCAACAGTTTCAGATACGTTTCTGAAACCAAATACATAATGGATTCAGGTCCAGTTTAAGCTTTCTGTTTTGGTGATACAGGTAATAATATCAAAGATGTATGTGGTGTTTTAAACTCCTCCTGCCCTGACATTGTCCTGCCCACCACCCCCTACAGGAAGGATTCTCTGTTCTCTTTTTCCTTTCACATTTTGCCACCTCAGGCATCTGATGAAACTAGGAGACATATCAGTTAAAATTAGGATCCTTGCCAAATAACACTGAAACCATGCTTTCAGCAGAGCTCCCCAACCCTTCCCCGAAAGGGCTGGCCTTTGTTCTCCTGGTCCAAAGAGGCGTCTTGCTCCATGTCAGGGGAAAACAGAAAAGGATGAAGGGCAAAAGGGTGAACAATAGCCACCTTTGGAAGGAAAGTTCCTAGAATATGCTGCAAGATAATCTCTGGTTTTTTTTGTTGTTGGTGTTGTTTTCTTTTTTTCATATCTCACTGCACAGAAGTTAGTCACTCCTCATTTCAAGGGAAGCTGGGAAAGAGTCTCTGTTCTACTAGGTGGCCCTGTGCCCAACCAAAGATTCTAATAATTAACACTCACATAGCGTTTGTTACATACTGGGCACTGCTCTGGTGCAATAAAAAGTCTAATGGTTTATTTGGCCATATATGATTGACATATATGGGCAAAATTATGGTCATAAAAATAACAGGAGCGGCTACATTTACAGAGCGTCTGCCACCTGTTAGCAATACATATATATATATATATATATATATATATATATATATATGTATTGCTAACTGCTATATATATGCTATCATAGGTCCTCAAATACCACACTGCATGGTTGATATTTTCCACATCTTATAGGTGAAGAAACAGAATAAGAGAGACTAAGACCTTGCCTGAGGGCACAGAGGTGGAAAAGCATAAACTTATAATTTGAACATAAATATGTTTTCCTAAAAGCTGTCTTCACAATGGAATACTTTCCCATGTCTGAGGGGAAGTGGGGGCCAATTAAATGTTGGAGCTCTGGAGTTAGGTTATCTGGGTTTGAATCCCAATTTACCATTAGAAGTTCTGTGAACTGGGGCATTTTATTTACTCTTTTTAGATTTCAAGTTTCCTCACTGGAAAATGGGATAATAAAGTGATTGTGTTGTTATAAGGAAAGAGTCCATGTAGAATACTAAGCATAGTGTCTGGCACTTAGTAAGCATGTGGTAAATCTGTAATTTATTGTTAATAATAGTAGCAGCAGCAGCAGCAGCAGCAGCAATTCAGACAGCCCTACTCTTTTGGATAAAATGACAAGAGGTAAAAGTAGATGGACTACCTAGAAGTCACTGCAATGATCAGAAGGTGATGGCGCTTAGAAAAGAGTAGAAACAGTAGTACAAGATATTTTTATTGGAAATACAGGAAAATATTACCTCCTGATTCTCTGTTCCTTACATTGACCAAACAGGAATGTTATATTTATTTTATTTACTTGATGCATTTTCAGATCCTGGATAGAACAGTATTTTTATGATTTGTTCAATAGCTAAATAGCTACTTCTTACACTAAAATGTATTTTTAAAAATTTAAACATGACAGCATTATTCAGAGAAACATTATTTTTTAAAAGTTGCCAGCTTATGAATGAATGTGCTGTGAAGCCAATTGCCCATGGATTCTTAACAAGTCAGGCATTTAAAAAGAATAGCAGTTAAAACTGTAATTTGTCTGGCATAAGCATTTATTGATATATGCTATAATAGCTATAAACGCTGATAGCCAGAAACCTAAAGTTAAATCAGACATTTTAACAAAGTCTGTGGCTAAGAAGCAAAGTTTTAGAAATTTCTTTTTCTCTCAAATAACTTGTATTAGAAAACTTCTTTATTAAAAATCTCTGGAAATATTTTGACAAAAATTTCCAGTGGACCGAATTAAAACTTGAGGTAAGGGCGGACATCTGTAATACTTTAAACAATAAAGATACATTTTAAAAACAAAACAAATAAAAATTTGAGCTAAGGAAAGACTACAGATGGTATCCAATTCTGTGGCTTTCGCAGTGTTCTGAGGTGAAGATTTTTGCATCTACTCTAGAACCCAATGTAGAAATTTGTTCTGTAGATGCTATCATTGCATTTGTGGAATTTAGTTTTTTAACCGAAAGTAAGTATCATGAAATGGAAAGTCACCTGGATTTGCATTAGGAAACCTGATTTTTAAGAATTTCCCATCACAGAATGGAGTGTGTTGGGTGTCTCTCCTCCTCCCCATTTTATTAGTAGAGGTTTTTTGCCCCTCCACGGTTGGAACTTAGGGAAGTATATCAGTCCTCACTTCACTGGTGGTATAGTCTAGTCAAGTATCAATGATCTCTGGACATGAAAGATGTTCCTTATGAAGGGACTTCCATGTGTTCTTCGCAGACCTCATTGTCAGAGACCTCTTACCTGCAGATCCTTTAAAATTGACACTATTTCTATTCCAGCTGTTTGCTTGGACTTTGTCTGTAGTTTTGAGGCATTCTGCTGTCCTCTCGAAGTTTCCTTTTCCTGCAGTCTCCTTCCCTTCCAGGCAGCCCTGCTGGAAAAGACTTCAGATGTCCTAGCTACAGACTCTCTCTCCTACTCCTCTCTGTCTCTGTCACACACACACACACACACACACACACACACACACACACACCCCGCCCACATCAGGTTCCAGGGATGCACATATATTCTTTGCCCAACAAACTGGGACAATTACTTCCTAAATTGCAACCCAAGACTCGGCTGCCGCAAGCTGCATCAGCCACCTACTCTCTGATTAGATAAATCAATTCTGATGCTGACACCAATCCACTGTGTGCCCCAAACCTCAGGGAACCCCCTATTGAGTCTTCCTTGGGGCCTAATTTAAGTCTGTTTCTCTTGACGTGGTGTTGGGAGCGAGAACCTTCATGCCCTCCCCTTTGTTTGGGGCCTCCCAGGACAGTCATCTCAAAGAACTGCTCTTCAAAAATCCTCCTCTGATCTACTCTTTTAGGCCACTTACTTTAAAAGTTTTACATCTTTGTTTGGTACCTCCCTTTATGATTTGTTGAAACCAAAACTTCTGTTTTGACATCTGGTCAAGACTGCATCCCTGGGACGCACAGAATAAACCCAAGCTCCTCTGAAAACATGGCACAGGAGACTACTGCTCTCCCCTTCCAGTCTTTTCTCTTGCTTTCCTCGCGTCACAGTTAGTGCTCCAGCAACATCAGACCACTTACGGATTTGCCCACACTCCGTGCTTCATCCATTAAACACCAACTCAGCATCTACTAGTGCCAGACGTTTTGTTAGATGGCAAGAAGACATGCTGAGTAAGGGAGCGTCCCTGCCTTCACAGTACTCACTATCGAGTTGTGTTTCGGCCTTTGTTCTTGCCACCACACCTTCCTGTGGGACACTCTTCCTTGGCTAATCTCATGCTTTATTCCTCAACATTCATCGCAGACATCATCTTCTGGAAGCTGTCCCCATCCATCTCTATCCTCACTGGATGTCCCCTCTGCCAGCCAAGCGTGCCTTTAGCACCCTCAGCTCGCTCTCTCTCTCACACACCTTATTGTATCAATATTACCGAATTGATACTTCTTTTCGGTTAAAAAACTAAATTCCACTTCACTGCCTTTATTGGGAGTTCTTCCTCCAAAATAAGTGTTCCATTTAAAATTAGAGTGAAAAGTATAATGTTTATGGTATGAGAGCTTCTACTTAACTTCACTACATTAACCTGTGGCTTTTTTGCATTCTCCAATTTTATCCTCTTGAAATTAAGTGTCTCTTCTGGTGTAGCCTGGGATTGAGGGAGGTCACACTCTTAGTATTTTTCAAATACTATTTCCCCAACTACCCTATTAACTCTTAGAAGGCAGAGAGGGCATCTTATTCTTTGTAGTCTTCTCACTAGAGTACCTGATATCTAGTAGATGCTAAATAGATGTGTGTTCAACTGATTGAGATGCCAAATTTATCCAAAGATATTTAGATTTACCACCTGGTGTTTATAGTTTTCCTGCTAAGCAAGATTAACCATGACCTGGGGTGAATATTCTAGGATGGTCTACAGAAGGAAAAGGTCTGGACTTAACTGAATTCTCTCAGCTATTCCTAATGCTTGCTGAATGTCACTTGTTGGAAGGTAACTTTTGTATCATCTCTACTTGCTTTGGACATGACTGCACTGCCTTTATTGGGAGTTCTTCCTCCAAAATAAGTGTTCCATTTAAAATCAGAGTGAAAAGTACAATGTTTATGGTATGAGAGCTTCTACTACTTAACTTCACTACATTAACCTGTGGCTTTTTTGCATTCTCCAATTTTATCCTCTTGAAATTAAGTGTCTCTTCTGGTGTAGCCTGGGATTGAGGGAGGTCACACTCTTAGAAGTGGCATTTCTGAGTGGGAAGGAGAAGTAATCAGAGAAGGTGTTTAGACTTATTCCAAAAACTTGTTCCAGAGACACCAAGAAAACTCTTAGAATACTGGCTAGCAGTTGGCAGGCCCCCAAATCCAGAACAATCTAGAATTCCTGGGATTACTGTGGATCTGAAAAACAGCAATTTAGTCTGATAAAGATCTAAATCTCATTTCCCTCAAATTATTAGAAATTAGAATGGCTTAGATCGTTGGGGATCAAAGCCTCATGAATAGATAGAGGAAGTCAGATCCCTCAATATGTACAAAAATTCAAAGTGCTTCCAGTCTGATCTAAAGAGATTAAGTCAAAACTAGACCAGCTCCTTCAAATATTTTAAGGATTCTATGATTAGTAGGTATAGCATCCAGAAAATGGCATATCTGCTTCTAAATAAAAGATTTATGAAAGTTTTAAAAAATGAAATAAGTAATACACATATAAGGAATCAAAAGAAAATTGTATTTTGAAGAAATTCGATTTTTATGATTAAAGCTAATTATTACATTTTATAGATTATAAAAATATTTTTAGCATATTTTTTGAAAATGCTATAGACTTCTTGTTGGGCAATAAAACAGCTCAGAAAAAAAGCAGTTCTTCTGTTTTTGTTTCCAGCCTGTTCTTCAGAATAGCACTTCAGTTGCTTCCTGAAAAGTAAAACATACAAATGCATTTTTTAAAAGGAATAGTAATGTAGAATATTATTTAAAATATTTATTAATTTTAACTTGTCTAAGTAGTATAGTTAATAGGGCAAAAGTAGTATATGAATATTAGTATTTCAAAGTTTACCAATTTAATGTTAGAATCAATAATGCACTCTTTTTGTGGAGCAGTGGGAAGAGAATAGTGGGGCTTATACATTGTATTTTTCATATTCAAGTTTTGTCATTTTATTTCATGGAACTTCATGACTCTCTCTCTCTCTCTCTTTTTTTTTTTATCCTCACCCGAGGACATTTTTCCATTTTTTGTTCAGATAGAGTGGGAGGGAGAGCAAGGAAGAGAGAGAGAGAAACATTGATGTGAAAAAGTCACATCAAGTGGTTGCCACCCACACGACCCAACCAGGGCCGGGGGCAAACTGCAACAGAGGTACGTGCCCTTAGCAGGAACTAACCAAACCCGGGTCTCTCTGGGCTGCAGGCTGATGCTCTAACCACTGAGCCAAACCGGCCAGGGCACTTCATGACTCTCTTAAAAGTAAAATATTGTTAATTCAGAATTCACAGTTATAAAGTTTCACTTCATTAATGGTTGCTATAGTCATGTGTCCTCCCCTCCCCCCAAATTCATATGTTGAAAACCTAAATGCCTGATGTGATGGTATTTGGAGAGAGAGTCTTTGGAGGTTCTTAAATGTCAGGTGGGGGGAGCTCTCATGATGAATGAGTTTAGTGCCCGAACAAAAGAGACCACACAGAGCTCCCTCTCCCCTACTGACATGTAAGGGTACAGGCAGAAGTCTGTGACTCAGCAGCACTCTGATCTCAGACTTCCAGCCTTCAAAATTGTGACAGATACATTTCTGCATTTTGTAAGCCACCCAATCTGTGGTATTTTGTTATAGCAGCTTGAATGGACTAAAACCATGGGTTTTAAAGCATCTTGTGTCTTAAGTGAAGAATGATAGATTATTTAGTAACAAAGGAGAAGCTGTTGATTAACTTTATCTGAAAAAAAAGTCCTAAAAAGATATTAAGAAACAATATCATTTACTAATGACTTTAAAAGTAGAATTTCCTGAAGGAATACCTGTCACGCTATTATAAAAAAGACAACTGGTATTTTTTTTGTTAAAATTCTGGAGATAAGAAAACTGGCACAGAAATACAACCTGTGAGGGGTCATATTGTTCCTTGGCTCCAAACCCACCCTGCAGTATTCAGCTACAAGAGGCTAGGGCTGGGTCTCTTCATACCACGCTTCTCCCTTGACAGCTGGCTCCTAATGAGTTTCTGCCATAGCAGGGAAGGAAGGATTATTCCTTCCTGTTTGATCACTGTTCCTGAGGCCCCAGCCTCTAGTTTCTTCTGCTACTTCCAGAACCAGCCTTATTGTATCCCTAGATCCTCACCTGATTTATATTTAAATTTAAAATGTAGTCTTGGCTTTTACTACTTGAAATACCTCAGTATATTTCTAAAATATTACCCCATCTCAAATTCTTCCTAAATCTACTTTATAATTTTGATTTTTACTCAAATATAAGAATCTAACTAGGTGTCTTATAATACAATATGTAACATCTTTTGATATTTGGAGATCTGTATTGTTTCTATGTAAACCAATATTGATCTTTTTAAATTTTATTTTTAATTGTAGTAAAATGCACATAACATACAATTTTAACAATTTTTAAAAGTTGTCCATTTTTCAGTTGTAGATTCACATTGTTGTGCAAAGAATCTCCAGAACTGGTTTCATATAAATCTTATCAGTATTTCTTATGTGATACTTTCATTTCATTAATCTCTCAGAAATTCTCCATCATACTCCCATTAGATTAACTGCAAATGGATTAATATCTGCCAATCAAAGCTCTTTATGATTTGCCTACAATACTCCTAAGTCAGAGGGAAGAATTTATCCTCCCTTTAAGATTTAAAATCAGCCCTGGCTGGTGTGGCTCATTTGGTTGACATTGTCCCCTGCATCAAGAGGTCCCCAGTTCCATCGCTGGTCAGGGCACATGTCTGGGTTGCAAGCTCTATCCCCAGTAGGGGGCATGCAGGAGCCAGCCAATGGATGTTTCCCTCTCACATCAATGTTTCTATCTCTCTCAAATCAATAAAAATGTTTTCTTTTTAATTTAAAAAAAGATTTAAAATCAATCAGACCACATCTTTGCACCCAAAATACATACGCATTTGATCTTAATTTGTAAGTGCTCACTATTTACTGAGGAAGACAGATTTGAAAATATCCAAGTGTAAGACAAGTACACTACAAAAGGCTATACTAATGATATAAACAAAGCACATTTGGAGACCAAGGGAGAGGAGAATTAACTTATCGTAGAGTTTGGAAGCAGGGAATTCAGGAGGCTATTGTAGTAGGTTAAGTGAGAAGTCAAAGAGTTATAAGTGGAGCAGCAAGATTTCAAAAGAGGGACATAGATGAGACATATGGTTGGACATACTCAGAGCACCTGAGGGAGGTGGAGCTTGAAGGAAAGGGAGAAGTCTAAGAAATGGCAACCTGAGAGGTCAGAAAGGTGGCACTGCATTAACTGAAATGGGGGAGCAGGAAGAGAAGCACATTTGGAAGGCAGTGATGAGGAATTCCCTGCAAAACATGAATAGTTGAAGGTGTCTTCACTGTTTTCTTAGCTTCTATCATCCCTGTTCTGGAGCACCTTCCCTCCATTTCTGCATATTACTCATTTTTTTGTAATCACATCTGTAAAACCTGCTTTTGGGGTGATATCAACAGTTGTTTCTAATTATTCTAGCCCATAAGGACCTCTCTCTGCTAATAATCTCGCTAATATTCCTTTCCCTTGTATGCCTGTGTCTTCTGGCACTAGCACTTTGATTTCCCTTCGTGAAACCACACCGCCAGCATTCTCAGCAATTCAGTCCATGGGGCTCAGGCCATGGCCACAGTGATTTGCTCAAGAGTGGGCATGTGACTAAGCAAGGTCAACGACAGAGCTTTGGGACATTTGTTGGAAGTGTTGGAAAAGATCTGCTGGGCCGGGAGAATGTCAACATGAAGGTGCTGGTGGTACTTTGCCATGAAGGGTGATGGTGTTGGGGGACAGCCTGGGAGTTGATCTACTACCAACGTGAATGAAGCCAAGAGATGCAAGAGAGAGAGTCCTGGAAGACATCATTTGAGTCCTTCGGTCTAATTGTGGCAGAAATTAGACTAGTTCTGGACTTCTCAGTGGAGTGAGTTCACTTTACTGCCCAAAGCAATTCTCGCTGAGCTTCCGCCCCCTTGTAACTGAAAAAGAGTCCTGACGTTACCTGCACATCTCACTCCCCACGTCCTTCTGTGCCGCTGTGTAAAGTGAGTAACATTTCTGGAGATGCTACTTTCTCAGTGGCCGCGACCTGTGGTTGAGTGCACAGTGCTACCCGCCCAAGTGTGGTGCGCTGTCTGTGTTAAGCAGACATTTACTGGTAGCTCAGTAGTGCAGACATTCGTGACATAAAAAACAAACTGTACTTACCTAGATTTACGTTCAAAGTCAAAACTGCAGCCATAAATATTTCCAAGAGCAACACTCTCCCCATCAGACAGCTAATCATTGTAGCCATAATCTGGGCAGCTGTGCCCCCGATGGACGCTGTGCCGCTGCCCCCGCCGCCGCCTCCGGAGACAGACTGCGCTGGGAGGCTGAAAGCCCTGGATTCCACCCGGGCAACATCATCCAGAACAAATTCAATCTTATAATTTTTCCCTAGGAGGGGGAAAAAAACATCGTGGTGTTTGACTTCCTTATATTATTATTTTTCCATACACTTCCAATTGGGTTTTCATTGACTTAAAATAATGTAGAATCCCTAACAAAGTGTGTTTGTTAGGAGTAAATTGGTGTCGGTATAAACAAGTGCAGAGAGGGTCTCCAAGTTCCATGAGTTCGATCTGCCCATCGACTATGAGCAGGGGCACTCTGGGTAGATTTTCTCAGTGCAGCATCAGTATCTGCTGCTCAGGGCCCTCCCAGTGCCCAGGACTGGAAAGAGGCTGTTTGAAATGAGGGACAGTAGGGACAGGGAGGTGCAGGAGCTGAACCTCTCCTTCAGCCCTGTATGCTTGACGGAGGAGTGGAGAAGCCTCCGCCTCACTTGGGGGAGGTGGGGATGGATACTGAACTTTTATTTTGAAAAATTTCATACAGAAGAGTTGAAAAAATAGTACAACACTCATATGTCCTCCACTTAGTTCATTTTTTAAACTGTTTCCCACACTTGCTTTAAGTCAGATGCTATCTTTGTGTTGCAAGATTGTGACCCCTTCTACTTACCTCAGGTAGACAAGTTTGAGGAAACACTTGTTAGACCTTTTAGAGTGAAACATAAACAGCTCATCCAAATGTTTTTTAATCCGTATGCTAAATCTTCCCACAGTTCTGAATATGAGATCATCGTAGATTTTACCTTGACATAATTTCTTCTCAGACTACTGTAGTGATTACCATACAGAGCATACTTTGCAATATTTTTACAACCCTGATATTTTATTTCCTCTGGTTTTTTTTCTATTTATTTTCTTTAAAATAATTTCTGTTTTCATTTTTTTTTTTCAGGGAGAGAATTTAATTAGATCTTAACCACATATGCTTTCATAAACAACAACGCGTTCTGTATCTTTCAGATGGATGGGCATTGTTCTACAGAATTCTATCACTTAAAATTCATGACAATAGTGCATTTGTCTTTCCTTTTTTTCATTTTGAAAAACTGAATTTTTGTGGCAGATGTCTTTTTTCTTAATGATTTTGATGTGCAAAGAATTTAGATATTTGGTCTGGCCGGTGTGGCTCAGTGGTTGAGTATCAACCCATGCACCAAGAGGTCGCTGGTTCAATTCCTGGACAGGACACATGCCCAAATTGTGGGCCAGGTCCCCAGTGGGGAGCATGCAGGAGGCAGCCAATTGATGTTATCTCTCATCGCTGCTTCTATCTCTCTCTCCTTCTCCCTTTCTCTCTAAAATCAATAAATTAAAAAAAAAAAAAAAAGAATTTAGAATTTTGTTTTTTCTCCTGAAGTACTATGAGGAAGCCCAAACTATCCCTGTGGAGCAGCCACTCCACAGAGAAACTGAAGAACTCAGACAAAAATCAGAATCAAGACATTAGGGCTATAACTCCAATGAAGCCATCCCAGCGGAAGCTTCAGACATCATGGAGCAGAGATGGGCCATCTTTGCCCAGATCCCTGACCCACACTACTGTGAGCAAATAAAATTGTTGTTTTAAGCCTTTAAATTTTGGGCTGACTTGTTATTCAGTAAATAAACACTAAATATTACATAGGTTTCTAGGTAAACATATTTAAAATGTTATATTCATTAGTAATATTGTTTTCATTTGAGTTACTCAAAGGTACAGTCTCAGCTGTTTACTTTCTTCCTCTTCTACTCTTTTCTCACCTCCTGTTCCCATCTCCATATTCTGTGTTAGAAACCACAACCCACACGCAGGTGGCCCCTGCTCTGCTCTTTATACAGCTGTAAGTGGAAGAGTGCACGCTGCCATGCTGTCGGGGTACAGTCTAATCTGCAAGGGAATTTCCCACAGTAACTGTGGAGGGCCTGACTAGAGTTACAAGAAAGACGCTGTGTTAATTTTCTCGAATGTTCTTTGTCATTACAATTTTAAAGTGGTTCATTTACAAACTGGCTAACTGATCTAAAGATAATGATGAGAAGACTACACTTGACCATCCTTACTATCCATAGCCAGGGAACTGAGGCCCTATTCTTGATGAAAAAAACAACAACAAAAAAGCAAGCAAGAAAGAAATTAGGAGCAGTGGCTCTTCTCCATAGCAGGTCAGATAGACACCCCAAGGGAACCTTTGAACCCTGAAAGAAAATTTACTGCTTGGCTTGTTTTGCTTAGGATCATATGATCTCACTTATTTGTGGAATATAATGGACTGAGGAACAGGGTAGTCCCAGAGATGTGGAAGTAGGGTACAGACTGACAATCCCCAGAAGAGGGGGTGGGGGAGAGAGATAAACCACAGAACTTATACACATGTATGTATAACCAATGGACATGGACAACAAAGCTGGGGATGGGGTGGGGAGGGAGGGAGAGGAGGGTGGCAATGGGGGGAAAAGGAGAAACATCTGTAACAAAAATAAACAAATAAAATTTACTGTATAAGAGTGCTATTTTGTTATCATGATAAAATGCCAAAACCCATATCACTGATTTAGCATTCCAGTGATTCTGGTTACTTTGGAACACTGCTATTTGGAAGTGGTAGTTTGAAGTCCTTGGTCTCTAGGTTGGGTCTTTGCCACAGGGCACTTCTTGGGCCCACCTTCCTGGGCAGGTGGGCAGCCTTCCCTGTAGGCAGGGCTCTTATAAGTGCCTCATTTCCCATAAAAGGGTCCCAGTCCTACCACCAGTTAGGCTAGCTGCTCAAGAATTTGGCTCTGCCCTAAACCAGCAAGCATGTGGGATAGTCAGGGTCCTTGTCCAAGAGCACAATGCTGAACACACTGCCATTTGATCTCATCAAGCACTAGGCTGAGATACTGCTCCCTGGTAGGCAGACCAGACTGTTAAGTGTGGACATCACGAAAGCACAAAGATACAAAACATAACAAAAAATTCTTCTGGAATGATTTTAGTTGTTGATATTTAGTGATTATAAAAAACATCAGACTCTTGTTGGAATTATTTTACTCTTTATTTTTACTTTTATTCTGACCTTTATGTGTATGCATATGTATGTATGTGTGTGTGTGTGAGTGTGTGTGTGTGTGTGTATAAATCCTCACCCGAGGATATTTTTATATTTATCTTCAGAGTGGGAGGGAGAGGGAGAGGAAGAGGGAGAGGGGGAGAGAGAGAGAGAGACATTGATGTGGGACAGACACATCAACTAGCTGCCACCCACATGACCCCAACTGGGGCTGGGGACTAACTGCAACCGAGGTACATGCCCTTGGCCGGAATCAAACCCAGGCCTCTTTGGTCCACAGGCCGACACACTAACCGCTGAGCCAAACCGGCCAGGGCCGTGTGTGTACTTGGGAAGTAACAGTAGCAGGGAGAGGGAGTGCCGTCACACAGCCTCTCAGAAGTTAGGGTCTCTAAAGGTCTTCAGTGGGCCCCAGATTGAGGAAAGCAGATGGATGGAAGCCTGTCTCAAGCATAAGCGGTTTGTCCATTTCATTGTTTTAGGTACTCTATGATCCTTCACCAATAGAGATCTGTTTTTTTGGACATATCATTTTGGCCTCAGTGAAAAGACTTTTACTGATTGGAGTTATGCCATCAACCTGAGTGGAGATAATATAAGAAACATTGCTGTGGAATTTATGGCCGCCTTTACTGTACTAAGGTTGAAGATAACACTGGTATAGATTCACTGGGTATACTATATGATAATTCATAGGGGACCTTTGTTCTGATCTCAGAGCAACTTATGAGTCTCCATGGCAACTGGTTTATCTGATGGGCACTATGAATTATGCTAATACTAGTATTTCCTCCTTTGCATTGGATTTCAGAAAGAAGAGAACTCACTTTCCAGCCCAACTCTGAACTCCTACATGGGGTATTAAAATTATATGATCCTGCCCCGGCCGGTTTGGCTCAGCAGTTAGAGCGTCGGCCTGCAGTCCAGAGAGACCCGCTTTCAGTTCCCACTAAGGGCACGTACCTCAGTTGCAGTTTGTCCCCGGCCCTGGTTGGGTTGTGCGGGTGGCAGCCACTCCATGTGTCCCTTTCACGTCGATGTTTCTCTCTCCCTCTCCCTCCCACTCTACCTGAACAAAAACTGGAAAAGTGTCCTTGGGTGAGGCTAAAAAAAAAAATTATATGATCTTATCTTATCCTTTCTTTTCTCTAATTTGAAAATCTGTTAATTGTTTGCATTATAAATGGGATAATACATTTTAGTAAAAATTTAGACAAGTACACAAATGGATTAAAAATATGAATCACGCCCTGGCCGGTTTGGCTCAGCGGTTAGAGCATCGGCCTGCGGTCCGGAGAGACCCGGGTTCGGTTCCCGCTAAGGGCACGTACTTTGTATGCAGTTTGTCCCCGGCCCTGGTTGGTCGTGCGGTGGCAGCCACTCGATGTGTCCCTTTTACATCGATGTTTCTCTCTCTCTATCTCTTCCTCTCTCTCCCTCCCACTCTATCTGTACAAAAAATGGAAAAATGTCCTCGGGTGAGGATAAAAAAAATATGAATCATGAAATAATTGTGATGCATATCCTCAAATTACTTGTTTTAATTTCTTTAATTGCTCATTTTAATTTCTATTTTGTTTTGCATATTAAATATATTTTTGTAAGCTAGACTACATGTTTTCTGAAAAAACATGTAGTATAGGGTTCTGATTTCTATAATTTATTGACCAGAATGTTATGGAATGCTTTGTTCAATTATAGTATATGTGAGGATTCAAAATAGTACACTCACCTGTTCTAAGAAGAGTAAGGTCTGTGTAATTGGCCCAACAGCTGCTAAATGGAATTGTTGTATTTCCACTAAGACCACTGATTTGGTTATTATTGGAGTCCTTTAGTACAGCCTTCAAAGTCAGTGAAGTAATCTCAACTGATACACAATTACCCTAAAGGAAAAAAAATTATAGAGAATTCTAATTGTCCTGTCCCAGGCTTTTTTCATTTTATAAGATATGCGAAACTTTATTTTTTTAAATGCCTCATTATAAATTTAAAATCTACGGAAACCTTTTCCTACACCAAGAGTTCACAAATACAGACACTGGAGCAAGTTCACGGAATAGGAACATTTTTAAAAGAGTAAATGACAATATCCATACATCTTAGTCCGACGTCTATGGGGCAGTGCCACCCTCAGGTTGCCAGTGTACCAGGATGAGTGAGGTTGGCTCACCCTCCAGAATTTGTAGCTTACTTCTTCCACTTAAATAACGTTTTGAGTTATAACTTACATCCAAATCTATTGCCTTTACTGAAGGCTGCTGAGCAAATGGCTGTCCTAGCTGCACTGCCACTGGCTGCGTGATCACCGAGAGGGAGGACACGAAGGCCACGTGATGAACAGGAAACGCAGACCTTTCCACCGGCTGGGCAGTCACCTGTGAGTGGTCATGAGGGATGAAGTGGTCTTCACACGATACACTACATGCAGCAGCAAACTCATCTTAGACAGGCTAAGTGTGATTTATTCAAAAATATGTTCAATATGTGCAAATATTATTACAGGATTTCTTCTAGATCACATTCATGAATCATTGTTGTAAATATTCAGAGCAAAACACATTTTATGCCAATAAATAATTTTTTAGAATACAGGCTTCTTTTAAAACTAGTTTATCATTTTAATCATACCATATAAAAATCCAATAATAAATTAGATAGACGTGTCCTCTACATTAGTCTTAAAACAGAAAAAAAAAATTGAAATAAGAAATGAGCAATGTTTTAAATAGCTGCAATGCATTTTGGGTAGTTGTGTTTTCTTACCTTACTCCAACCAGAATCAATTGGGCTGGGGAGAGGCTTGGTAATAGACATGGAAGAGACATTAAATCCAAGGGTACTACTGGTTTTTCCTAAAACAACAACTTGTCCAAGAGAAGCAGCGATTTCTTGGAGTTCAGATAATTGAATCTGACCTACAGGGAAACAGTGTCATGACATGTGGATTATAAGAACATGAAATCGTGAAAACACATGCGAGTTTTTCACTTAAGTTTGTGCTGCTCCTTCCACATTATAGAATTCTACAGATTTCTAATTGGACATGAGCTTAACATGATAAAGTCACATCAGTGAGGTCAGGAAAATGAAAATCTCAGTGAAATATGTTTTAAAGCTGGAATTAAAGAAGAAACAAAGGTAGATACAAGATGCAAGAAAAATTAATGAAAGCACAGTGGGAAAAATGTATGCCTCTATTTTATGCTTTCCCGTGTCATTGTTTGGAAGTAAAGCACTATCATGCATGTCTATTGTGACATACCATTTTTTTAAGTGTTATTTTGAAATGAAAGGATAACACAGTATGTATGTTAATAAGTTGCTATAGTTATTAAATTACTAATAAATGGTTACTTTTTCTGGACACTGATGACTTTCAAGGTTAATTTTAATACTGTAGTTACTATACTCTTTTTCTAGCTTGGTAGGTGCTCTTAAATTTACTGCCCCCCTCATGCTCCTTACCTTATGAAGTGGCACCTCTATTCCCTGTACTTCTTTGTCAGGAACATTTGCTTGGTCTATTCCACTCATCACCTCTCCTTCACACCGTATCATCAATTACCAATTTCTAAATCTCTCGGTCCCTACTGTCACAACCCCAGTGAAAGCCATCATCAGTGGACTTACTAAAAGAGCTTTAAACTGGCTTTCTTGTATCTCTCTTCTCTCCCTCTTCCACTCCATTCTCTATACGCCATGTTCAATGATCTCCTACAAAACCACTGTCACCAGGATAATGTTCTGGTGTGCAGTAGGCCTTGCCAATCCCTTGTTCCTAGATATCCAGCATCTTCCATATCCAGTGTCTGCCTTAGGACTCTGATCACTGAGTTTCTTCCATTAAGGCTCAGGAAGAAGGAGGTGATGTCCTAGGCCAGCAGGTCTCATATGACATTTTGAAAATCACAGTCTTAGGGAATTTTAGTTCCTGTCGGTTTAAAAGGACTCGTGGTTGACTCAGACTCTTCTGAATAAATGTTGTCTTATAGATGTTTCCCTCTCCCTCCACTTCCTCTATGCACCCTTCCTGAAGACGGCCCCCCAGGCATGCAGGCTCGTGTGACCTGACGGAAGCAGTACAAGAGTGCTGCATGTCGGTCCACTACTGCTGCCACCTGTCCTCACCGGCCTTTGGTGCGGCGCAGCAGGTCTGACCCGGTCTGCACTGTTAACAGGTACTCTGACCATTTGACATGTGAAGGTGTCCATTTCTGTGGACTGCCACCTGGAACCAAAGACCCTAACTTGAGGAGCTCTTATTCCTGACCTCGGGACTCTGCTTATCTAGAGGTCCCGTCAGTACTTAAGGACCCCTTTCTAGGACACCTGGCAACCTCTAGGTATCCTGACATGATGTGAAGGCTGGGGGAGCCAGCAGGAGTGCTGCATGCACCCCCTTTTGCCATTTCCCGGCATTCTGCTGGAATGTTGCTCCATGACAAGTTGTAGGCTTTCCTTGAGACTCAAAACCCTATCCCAGCCAAGGTCTGGGAAAAATGCCATTGGTCTGTCTCTCCCTCCACCCATCTCCATGTTCTTAGACTATTTATAACCTAACTGGATAAATCTGACTAGCAAGGTAAAACTACTATAAGCGGATGGAGCTTGGGAGGGATTGTGTGTGAGAAAATTATGTCACATATAGGAAATGAATGATAGTTTCTTCGGATATCTGAGTGCCTAGTATGCTAAATATTGGATCCCAATACATGTAAGGGCTCACCAGGACTTCTGAGTTGGTGAGCAATCTGTATATGAACCATGGATCCACTACGACTCTTAGGTTAGATTAACAGGCTCTGTTGGGTCCAAAACCATGACCCTGCACACACAAGGAATTATAGGGCTGATGAAGGGAAGTCCCTATGACAGGGCAGGGAACATCATGAGAGAACGGGTTATAACTCAGGCCTGTGCTTCCTGCTTCCTTCAACAAAGAGAGTTGATCAGCACCTCCCTCCACTCATGCAAACCTTTCCACAGGCTTATTCCCACAAGGGAAGAACCTCTTGCCTGCCTAACTGGTGGAATTCCAGAATGGCAATGTGGCTACTATAGTCAACGTTAAACACACCTCCTGGGGGAATTAGTGTGACCCCTAGTGGCAGAAGGTGAGAGCTTCACCCAGTACACAGGTTTACACATAAGAGAACCAGCGAGTTGAATGAAAACACTACTAGAGAGTGAATGATAAAACAGATCTGGATTTTGAGTTTAAAATTTATACAATTTGGAGCCTCTCTTTCAGAAAAAGAATGCAGAAAATTTGTACTTTTAAAACTTTTATAATAACATTCAATGATCTGGCCACATAATTAAATGGAGTATTTTCCCAGGGCCTCGAAAGTCAAAGCACCTCCTGGAACTTGTACAAGTGAAGGGCCTTGAAGTTTAAGCTTCATTAGCTGGATGGTAATTCTCCTCTGACAGAAACCTAGCTCTCATCCTTTTGGAGAGGGCCAGCCTAGGGGAAAGCACTTGTGTTTGACTGCTGGAGACAATGGCATGGCTGGGAATTAGCACCTGGGTTTAGCAGCAGGAGGTCAGGAAAGTTCAGTTGCACCTGGAGAGGCTTGTGCAGAGCAAAGACCACCCATTATGTAGTAGAGACTATTAAATGCAGAGGGTACCATGAGGGCCTGAGGTCAGGAAAGCCCCCTTGGTATTCAGATACCAACCTGAACTGACTGAACAAATGGAGAGGAAGGAAACCTACAGACTGAACATTCACCCAAATGCCCAAAAGGAGCCACTCTAAGGAAATAATTGAAACCAGCAAAGATACCTGTTATAGGAACAGTTGAGCCTATTTTTATCTTATACCAAGAAAATGAGGGTATGGGGAATGAGAGACAGAGAAAGGGGTGATGGTTAGTGAGGCTGATTAGTCATAGGAACAAAGGTAGAACATATATGTACTTTTTGGGTAAATTTGTGACTTGACTATGGAAATCTATCCCACCACTCCTCTGCTCAGAATCTCCAAGGATTTACTCATTCCTTGGGAAAACATACACAGTCCTTCTTCGGCTTAAGAAGAGGAGAGCTGCTTTTGGTTTTCCACGATCTAGCACCTGCCTACCTCTCAACCTCATCTCCAGCAGCTTGCCCTTCCTGGCTCCTTCCACTGCACACTTACGGGATCTTTCCAATTCTTTTAATGCACCAAACTCTTAGCAACTACGCCTCAGCCCTGAAGTTTCTCACCTCCCTCTTTTCATTGACCAACTCTTTTCATGTTTGATCTCTCAGCTGTGAAGTCACTTCCTTAGTCACTTCTTAGATCTTTTATATTAGGTAAAATCCTTTTGTTGAATTTATTCATTGCCACAATAATAAAATAGAGGCTCAATTTCCTTCATAATTCAAAAATAGGTTGGGATTGCAGAAGTAGGGCAGGGAAAAGGGTCTCTAGGCCCGTATAGGGTTCAGGATGTAGGGTTGGTGGGATTTCCTGAAGCCAAGCTTACCAGGCCTTAACAAGGTTATCTGTGGGTGTGGATTTGGTAATTACATTAGTCTACCTGAAAGGTGTACTACGCATACCTGTGGTGTCATTGCTTATGAACCGAGGGGGTGGGTCTCCAATCTCCAGTTCAACAATGAATCCCATGGATCTCTTCTTCCGAAGACGCTCCCCTCCTATTTTGCTGATACGGATTTTGTCACTTGGTATCTTTAAGAACAAGGCAAGATTTCTAACCAGATTATGAGAGCTATAAAAGTCATCTTCAGTTATAGCAGGTATTTGGAAAGAAACAAATATGACTGCGGTGGTGTGGATTTCAACAGGTACGGTTCCTTTAACCAAAAGGTAAAGCATCTGGTAGGTTCTATCAAAGTAGTTTTCACCAAAGACAGTGGAATTCAGGTTAGGAAGGAATTGCCCTATGAAGGAAAAATGCCAAAACAGCAGGGTTAAACATTTTATATGATTACAGTTAGCATGGAGTAGTCATTATTTGTTTAAACTTAGGAAATTCTGAAAAAGTTCAACAATATCATTCTTCATAAAAAAGAAAGTATGCATACTAAAAACACAAATACGTATAGAACCAACAAGCAATATTAAAGTCAATCCTTTAAATAATATCATTAATAATGATTATACATTACATTTATTTTTAAAATTTAAAAATGTATTAAAACAATTAATTAAAAAATAATCATTGTACATTAAATTTGCTTTAAAAAACAATGCTACTACCATAGTATAAATGAAAAATAAAATCTAATTATGAAAGCAGGACCCTGTATTATAACACTATTTACACATTCAGAATTTTAAAGCCACATTTGGTAATTTACAAATGTAACTTTAACAGCCATCTAGTTTGTGCAGTGCTATATACCGAATCTTGAGGTGCATTTACAATTCAGTGCTTCTATTTTTACCAAAAACAGAAGTATGTAACACAAATAAAGTATATAATAAAACATCCCAGAAGGAACTTACACCAGTGAAACAGTCTTACATTTTAGCCTGAAAAGTCTTTGATTAACACCAAACAAATTCTACTAGGGAAGAAAATTTTGTAAAAGTGATTGGGATTATTATGTGTGTATATACATATATATACACACATATATACATATAATGAATGAATATACAGGGATGGGCAAAGGTAGGTTTATAATTGTGAGTACGTAAAACATAGTTTATTCTTGTATTATTATATATTAATTATTGTATTTGTTTCCATGTGAACAACTGTAAACCTACTTTTGCCCCTGTATATATTATTTTATGGCACAGTATCAAAAATAATATCTAAGTGGTTCTATATCTACTAACGCATATTGTAAATTCTAACTAAAATGTATTTTGTACATAGGAATAACTACATTAAATGTGTAGAATGTAAGTGTTTTCAGGGGGCTAAGGAATGTCCATCACACACAAGAAACGTATATCTGCATTTATGCAGATAGCTAAGACTTCCATCAGGAGTAATCTTTTTAGGATACACGTTATAAATGAACACATATTAGTATTTGGTGGTAAAAATTATTTTATCTTGCACTCATCAATGGCTAAGTAACTAAAAATATTAATAATAAAATATTAATAAAGAGTTTTACAAGTAATTAAGTACATATATGATGTGTGTTGTATTTTTTCTGAGTAAATACCTGTGTACAGATGTCTATTAAGTTCACAGTGCTTCTGTTGGGAGTTCCACACTGTATCTTTGGGGCAGACCAACGCATTGTTCACATAGACATCCAAACGCTGCAGTGTGGGGAAAAAAATTCCTACCAGAACAGCCTGTTAAAAATAAACATGTTTTCACATCGTAAGAGAACAGTGAAACAGAATATTTAGAATTCACTTTAAAAATGTCCTTCAGCTATATATGTCTTCTGCAAAAAATTAAAACGAAACTTGATGAACTTAAAATAAATCCTGAGCTAAAATTATTAAATGGACTTACATTCAACAATTCACACAGATGTTACAACTTAACTGATAATTCTCAGTAGAAAATTATAATGTAAGAAAGAAACTGTTAGAGTCTCTAAATTAAAGAAAGGACCCTTTAAAAGACAACAGAGTTCAATAGAGGCTTTCAGCTCCAGGCGGAGGAAACGCGGCACTGAGCAATACTCTGGATAACACAACCACACAAAATTAGTTCCTTAATATTGAAAAAACACTCATCCTGAGACAAATATGGTGGTAAGACTAATAAAACTCAGCCAAACTATCCTCTCTGATTCAATTTTGCTTACTTTCCATGTTGATATTCCCCAAATCTCATGCTGTCAGATGTAATCATAAAGTAAGAAGACTGGCTTTTGCAAGACAGAGAGGAATCTTCTTTTGAGATTGTCTACAGAGGCTCAGAATATTAACAGTCACATTACTTTGGAGTTGCCATTCTTATTATTAAAATTAAAAATATTCCCTTTCAATTAAAAATTGAGTGTCTATCTGGGCCAGGCATTAATCTAGGAGCTCTCAAAAGTTCCTGCCCTGTTTAAGCTTGTATTGTAGAGTGAGGAGACAGAGAATAATTAACAGAACTAATTAAAAGTAAAGTATCAAACATATTATAAAGTGATAAATGCTATGGAAAAAACAAAAAGGTAGATCAGAGTACAAGTAATTGGGAGAGCCAGGAGGAAGGGTAATCAGGGTAGGCCTATGGAGTGAATGGGAGTTGTGATGGGGAGTTGGCCACCTAGGCAGAATGCTGGAGGCAGACTCAACATCTGAACACAGGCCAAGCATGTCTGGTGTGTTGAGGACAGCAAGGAAGCCTGTGTGGCTGGACTAGTAAAATAAGAAAGTCGAAGTGCTAAGGGGGAGAGACTCATATAGTCTTTTTTTTTTTTTTTTTTATCCTCACCCGAGGATATTTTTCCATTTTTTGTACAGATAGAGTGGGAGGGAGAGAGAGGAAGGGAGAGAGAGAGTGAGAAACATCGACGTGAAGGGACACATCGAGTGGCTGCCACCCGCACGACCAACCAGGGCCGGGGACAAACTGCAACCGAAGTACGTGCCCTTAGCGGGAACCGAACCCGGGTCTCTCCGGACCGCAGGCCGACGCTCTAACCACTGAGCCAAACTGGCCAGGGCGAGACTCATATAGTCTTATAAGCCCTGTGAGGACTCTGTCTCTTGGACAAAGACCAATAGAGAAATTATTGCAGGGTTTGGGGCAGAGAAATGACCTAATCTGACCTACATTTTGAGGGTATCTCTGAGAACAAAGAGGTGGCAAAGGTAGAGCAGGAGGAGGAATTGGGAGGCAACAGCCTGCACCCAAGAAAGAGAGAATGTTGGCTCAAAGTGGATGGTAGCGGCAGAGAGGGTGAGAAGTACTCAAATTCTGGATGTATAGAATGGAGACCCAACAGGATTAGCGGATGGATTGGATGAGGAATATGAAAGACAGGAATCAAGGATGGGTCTGACTGGTACAGCCACTATAGCAAACAATATGCAATTTCCTCAAAAAATTAAAAATTGAACTGCCATTTCACCCAGTGATCCCACTTCTAGGAATATATCCTAAGAAGCCTGAAACACCAATTGGAAAGAATATATGCAGCCCTATATTCATAGCAGCACTGTTTACAATAGCTAAGGTCTGGAAACAGCCCAAATGCCCATCAGTAGATGAGTGGATTAAAAAGCTGTGGTACATTTACACAATAGAATACTATGCAGCTGTAAGAAAGAAAGATCTCTTATCCTTTGAGATGACATGGAAGGACCTGGAGAGTATTATGCTAAGTGAAACAAGCTAAGCAGAGAAAGACAAATATCACATTATCTCACTTATTTGTGGAATATAATGAACTAAACAAACTGATAAACAAAATTGACCCAGAGACATAGAGGTAGGGTACAGACTGACAAGCCTCAGAGGAGGGAGGAGTGTGGGGGGAGAGATAAACCACAGAACTTATATGCACGTATGCATGACCAACGGACATAGACAACAAAGCTGGGGAAGGGGCGGGGAGGTGGATGGGGAGGAGGGTGCCAATGGGGGAAAAAGAGAAACATCTGTAACAAAAACAAATTAATAAAAAAATTTAAAAAATAAAAGGAGCTATGGCTGATGATGTTCAAGAGAATAGGGGAGCAGATCAAGTCCTTGGCAGATAGAAATTTAAGCAAGTAATCAACACCAATCACTCTTAAGAAATTATTTCTATCTTGCCTTACCTTGTCATGGTCAACGTTAAGCAGCATCAGTCGAAGATTTTGAGGACTGGTGCCAGTGAAGTAAACTTCATATGATTTATTCAGAGCCACAATGCTATGAAACAGGGACAGTCTTCTCTGGCAGGTGTATCCGGCACACCAACCATGGTCCTGGGGGCCTAAATCCAAATAAAATGAAAGTTCATGTTTCCTATGATGAATGTTATTAGTTCAAAGTCTGACGAGTAATTGTATTAAAAATAAATGGCAGTGATCAAGTTCAGCATTTATATCCATTATCCATCCACCCATCTACCCAGAGATCTAAGCTAGTTCTCACAACTTGGCTTAAAAAGGCAGGCAGTGAAGCAACTCCTGTCACCTGCCTTTACTTTTACACTGCCCAGGGTGAGGAGGGTACATTAATGTGTTCAGGATTTGTACTGGAAAGTCAATGAGGAAATTGTAGATTTTCATGGTCCTCTAATAACCCTATTTAAGCCCAGGCCACATGGTAAAGAAGGAAATGCTTCATCCTTTCTCCTACCCATCAAATGAGAGTTTGGGTAGGGAACCAACTTTCTCAGACTCTGCTGAGAAATATGCTGTGACAGAGTTAACTTGTTGAAAATAGAGCCTGTACTATACCCCAAACACGGATATATCTATGTCTGAACCATTGCATTAACTCTTGCACTCACTCATTTTTTCATCAGTTAATTTGTAAATTCAACAAACTCTTAAGTTTTTTTTTATTGTCTTTGTCCTCTAATGTTATTTTAATAAATTTTTGTTAAAGAGTGTAATTGTAGATACTGTTGGAAGCTCAATGTCATTAATGCACTGAAGCAATCTGACAAAATAACACTCCAATCAACTCTCTAGAAAGCCAAAAGATAGTGGATGCTTTTCTACCTGAATCTAGACATTTCTAGAAAAGGTACACCATGACTTTTGTAGTCAACTTCTCTATTCCACTTCAGTTTTAATGTGGCTGGGATTATATAAAACACTGAGTGAGATATGGAGTGATTAATTTTCTTGATGTGTTTATTCATTATCTTTGCTCAATTTCCTGGCTTGCTTGAAATTATTATTAATATTTATAACTGGACTTCAATCAAACTTTAAATCAATAGGAACTTCTGCAGTTCAAGTAGAACATGAACTTCCCCTTAGCATCCAAATTATAAATCCTACCTTTAAATACATCTTCTTTGTGAGTTTGCAAAACAAGCAGAAAGAAATTTCTACATATAAAGTGAAAGATTTAGAGTAACAAAAGCAACCTAGTGTAGTGCGTCCTAAGTTTCAGTGATTCTTTTCACACTTTCATAATTTTTGAAATGCTACTATCATTTACTTAAGACTTTTCTTTAAATTGAGTCACTTTAACTTTTAAATTTATTTTAAAGAGAAATGCCATATCACTATTGTAAACAGAAAGCTTATATTGCCTTTCAGAAAAGGAAAGTGTAAAAATAAACAGAATATAATCTTTCTCCACCATATAAAACAATTTAAAACCATCTCTAGCACTGGCTGGTTTGACTCAGCGGTTAGAATGCCAGCCTGCGGTCCAGAGAGGCCCCGGTTCGGTTCCCACTAAGGGCACGTACCTCGGTTGCAGTTTGTCCCCGGCCCTGGTTGGGTCGTGTGGGTGGCAACCACTCGATGTGTCCCTTTCACGTCAATGTTTCTCTCCCTCTCTCTCTCTTCCTCTTTCTCCCTCCCACTCTATCTGAATAAAAAATGAAAAAATGTCCTCGGGTGAGGATAAAAAATAAAATAAGACCATCTCTATTATTCAATGACTGGTCTAAAATTCTTTTCACAGTCTCTCTGCTTTATAAAATCTGAAAGGCAGATTTGAAATTGGGTTGATTGCTGGTCATAGGAACCAGGCAGAATGCATGCTGGGCAGGAGAAGTGGAGAGGGCTTAAAAATCATGTAACTCGGTTGGTTGAGCACTGATGCCATGCACCGAGAGGTCACCAGTTCAATTTCAGGTCAGGGCACATGCCCAGGTTGTGGGCACAGCCCCAGTGGGGGGTGTGCAGGATGCAGTCAATGGATGTTTCTCTCTCTTTCCCTCCCTCCCCACCCCCAGTCTCTCTAAAATCAATAAAAACTTATGTTTAAAAAAATTCTTGCAACTTTGGGACGCCTCTGATATAGTTTATTTTATTCTATTTAACACTTTTTTTTAAAAAAGGAATACTTTTATGAGGTAAAGCATGTTTTGTTGAATCTTTGAATATTTCAGTACATGTTACGACCCTGTCAGGGCACAGAACTCTTTCTAATCTAGGTTATATGCCTCCTTAGTACTTGAAAGACCCTTCAACCCTCTTTGAGACTAATCTCAGAGTCCCCGGGCTATTTCAGGGTTACATACTGAGTCCCTGCCCTCTGCTTTCAGTGGCTTTTAGAAGTTCATCTTATTCATTACAAAAGTCTTAGAACCTTGAAAAAGTCTTGATCGGAATTCTTACAGGCACCTTGCCTCCCCTCTGAACTAGAGTCATCATAACCAGAAAGCAAGGAACCTCGATAATTGATCTGAAAAGATGTTCTTGACAGTCTAAGGACTTGGAAATGAAAACAAAACGGCACATCATTTCAAGAATTCATGAAAATAAAAAATGAGTAGCTGAGAAGACCTGTTCTCAGGTATTCCAATAAATTATACATTATCATCTTTATTTTTTAAATTTAATTATTTATTTTTGTTACAGATGTTTCTCCTTTTTCCTCCACTGATACCCCCTCCCTCCCCGCCCTGTCCCCAGCTTTGCTGTCCATGTCCATTGTTCATGCACACATGCATATAAATTCTGTGGTTTATCTCCCCCTCACCCACTCTTCTCGGGATTGTCAGTCTGTACCCCACTTCCACGTCTTACATTATCATTTTTAAAAGTTATGTAAGGCAAATTGTCTTTTTGGAGACACTTAGGCCAACTTTGTCTTTAAAATATTTATGTCTCCTTATCATTATAATTATAAAGATCACTCAAGAAATACCTTTACTCTCTTTCTTCTTCTAGTGATCAATTTGGAATCACTGTCCTGGCTTTCTAATATGGGGAACTGCTGAAGAGTCAACCACCTCTCTTATAGAGAGGTCCTGATGTTTATGAGATGTCTCCATGCATGTAATAAAGAGTGAATGCTTTGAGTAACCTTGGTTTGTTGACACTGAACACTTACCATTAATGAGATCTACATAACCATTGCTCACTATAGCCACTGGTGAGAGTCTTCGAGTTTCTGTGTCGGAGTCCAGGCTTTCGATAACCATCATTGCATATTCCATCCCAGAGCACTTATAGCTCTGCCACTCTGGAATGTATTTACAGGTTGCATCTCTAATAACTCCTGGACATATAGATAAATACGTTTTAGCAGTGAAAATAAATCTCTTTGCAAAAGCATCCACATTACTTTTTCTTGTTATGTAACATTAATAAGTAGAACATAGTGTTACTGGTTGAGTACATCAATTATTAAAAATAAAAGATATGTCGTTTCACAAATTTGAGGATGAACAATAATATCCAACAAACCTTTATAAGGTGCTTTCTCGGTAACAGGAATTCTACTTCCATTTGGGAATGTGAGCATCACCTTCGGAATTCTGTAATCTCCGATTCCAAATTGGCTATTTCCATTCCATTCATATTCTGATTGAGGTATCACTGAACCAGAAGTCCCCAGAAAGGAGCCATCCATATCTCTGAGAAAAGATTTCCTTTTGGCATCACAAACCATGTCTACACAATCAGATGGATTCACCTTTCTGTGGAGAAAAGGTCAAATGTATGAATACTTAGATTTATTATCCCTCTCCTATTTCTAGGGAGCACTTGAGTATACTTGAGTATTTGATAAGAGAGTATCCAGAAAAAATTGATTGACTGAATCTTATCATTTCAGGCAGGATTAAAGTAGGACCAAGTAGCACACATAATGCGCATTATAATGAGGTCTGTTTTCCATTGTGTTGGTTTAGTTTATTATGAATTCATTAACATTTCAAAAGGACAAGTTACACCTGTGGGATATGAAATTAGAATTCCATTTTGCTGTTCCATATTTTCCTTGAATAATAGATTTCAGATTTGTGAATAGCTTACAATATACTAACACTGCCTCCCAGAGCAGGTGAAGAATTACTCTGCTGTTCAGGACATACACATTCCTGTGTTGACAAAAAAGTCGTCATTATTTTTTCCCTTCCTTCTCTTTTTTAAAATAGGTTTTTATTGATTTTAGAGAGAGAGAAAGGGAGAGGGAGATAGAAACATCAGTGAGAGAGAAACATCAGTCAGCAGCCCCAGTATGTCCCCCACTGGGGATCTAGCCTGCTACCCTGGCATGTGTCCCAACCTGGAATAGAACCAGCAACCTCCTAGTGCATGGGATGATGCTCAATCCACAGAGCCACACTGGCTGGGCTCCTTCTCTTTTTTTAATGGGTCTTTTCAACATTATAAAAGTTTTTATATGCTTATTTTATATGCTTACTATAAAATAATCTAAATACTTGGTAAAAGTTCAGTCCCCTTTACCTTCCTATCTCAAACAATAGAGTCACCACAAACTGCAGATTAGTATATATTCTCATAGACTTTGCTCATGTATATGCAAACAGATAAACTTGGATTATGATTTGTATGCTACATATTTTAGTAAGCATTCTATAGACACCCAAACTGTAAGAGATGAAATACTATAAACTCATAATGCAGTTCAATCATAGATAGTATTCTGCTTTCATCTTGGGCCACCTGGAGTATGGAATGTTAACTGGTTACAATAATAAAATAGCTACTCAATTTGCAATGTACTATACATTGTATAGCATACATGGTATACAGTACACTTACACTACATCATCATATATTCTGTGGGAAAATATAATTTATTTCAGACTTATAGCAACAAAATTACAGTAGAAAGCTCAGATCTATTAGATAGTATATAGCATATCTCTTCCTTTTTGCTATAAGAGAGGCATAAAGCTATACATTATTCCTTACTATAATACTGTAATAGTTTTGGAGATGATCTTAATGAATACTCCTGTAGTTCACATGTTCTGTGTTTTCAAGTATGTACAGAGTACTTTTGTAAACAAGTCTGTGGGTAGGTGCCTATGGCACTCATACTATAGCTTAGGGCTCTGCCTGCCTGAAGGTTCCAAGGAAGCAGGCTGAGATGTAGACTTTTGTTCAGTAAGTTATTGAGGGGATCCTCTCAGAATGGAAGGAGCGCAGCCATAGAGCAAAGGAAAGAAAAGGAGAGGACTGTGGTCTGCATACTAGCTTCCATCTTCCCCCAGGGGTACCTCTGCATCATGGATTGCACCCAGATTTGTTCTTACTTGGAGACAAGGGAACCAGCCTTTTGTACTTCTGAATATATCAGTCATTTTCCATAGTCTACAAGGAGGTGGTGGCAGGGAGGGTTCTGGTTTCCCACAGCTACTCCTGTTTGGCTAAGAGCAATTTTCCAGAGTTGTTGAACTTAGGTAATTGTTGGCGCCCATTTAGAGCATTTGGGGACTGGGTGAACTGCCTAGTGAAACGGGTCTGTAAAGTGCCAACAGTACCAAATTAAAGCACAGAACACAAAGATATGATATTTCATAAGTAATATTCTCTTCATGACTAGATATTAAAATTATGTATTAAATCTTAAAGATTAAGTGATAACTGAATACATGCTAACAATTTTCTAATGGGGAGAGGCTCTTTTGAACAAAAAACACTACAATTCAACAATTATTAAATGAAGAGCTGTGGGGTTGTCATCAAAACAAAATCAGATGAAGTCAAACTATTTGTGAAACATTACATTATTCTGAAGAGATGTCTGACAGCATTATTCCTCATTTTTTCCCTACACTGAAAATAGACAATGATCTCTAATAGAAAATTTCTTACCTCCAATATGCCTTACCTGTAAACTTCTAGTCTGCACCTCTTAGGAACAGTAGCAACTATTGACTATATTCTTTTAAGACTTAGAATATAAGTGGTTCAGCTTCTACAAATATTCTGACACCACCTGACCTTTGTGATCGAAAAATCACTATTCAAAGTTTCTGCATATTCTCAGTCACAGTTATTATAATGACTGACATTTAATGTCCAGCTGAATGTTGGAGTGCATGAGATAAGACATTTAGAAAGCAACAGGAAACAAAAGATGTAAGAAAAAGAGAAATGATAGAAATGTTTCTCATTACTAATGACTATTAATGGAGAGATATTAATATACAGCACACTTCTAATGCCATTTCTGTCTTTTATGTTTAATGATAGTGTTATTTATAATATATGGAACCCTGGCTGGGTAGGTCAGTTGGTTAGAGCATCATCCCGATAAACCAAGGTTGCAGGTCCAATCTCCAGTCAGGGCATATACAAGAACCAAACCAACCAATGAACACATAAATAAGTGGAACAACACATCAATATTTCTCTCTTTTCTCTTCTCTCTCACTCCCTCTCTTTCTCTTTGCCTCTCTCCCCCCATCTCTCTCTCTCTAAAAAAAAATCAATAAAAAAAGTATAATGCATGGAAAAAACAGTGTGAGAAAATACACATATTAAGACCCAGCTTCTTCAACTTAATTGATAACACAGATGCATTAGTCTTAATTTTTATAATGCTGATTAAAATTTTATAAAAGTAACAGTTATGTTAATATAGCAACTTTCCCAGCTCTATGGTAAGGGAAAAAGAAAATGGAAAACTATGAAGAAAGGAAGAAAATGGAGTTTTTATATATTTTACCTTACATCAGGCCTATGTATAAATATTTTTGATTGTTCAGTAGTATCAACCAGTTGTATGTTCTTCACATGGACTGGATGCTGTAAATCCTCATTTAAAGGATTAGTAATGAATATCACATTAGTTTCACCTGAACAAACATTCTTGAATCCAACAAATGTTGAACCTAAAACATAATAATAGAAAAATAATATTTTATATAGGAGAGGTTGTATAGTTGCATTTTACATACATTCCAGCAAACACACCATTTAATACCACCTTGAACAGGAAGCTCTTACCTTATGTGGTAGATTAATCCACCACTGTTCATGGTAGATTGTCTTCTCCCTACATCAACACCACTGAGTAGACATTTCCATATTTCTCTGGGCTTGGCCATGTAACTTGGTTTGGCCAATGGGACAAGAGCAATTGTGGTATAAGCAGATCTGAAAAGTGCTTGCATATTAGGGCTCATTCTCTTGGTGCTCTAGGGAATTCTGTGACTTTTAGGTTGTGAATAAGCCTAGCACAATCACCCCCACTACTCTAGCCAATGGTCAGCACTGACCATCAACAAGCACCAACACCAGTCATAGAAGTGGGACTATCCCTGACTAACCAGCCCCTATCCATCCTTAAACTGAAAGCAGCCTAATGAATAACCCCAGGTGGGACCAGCAGAAGAACCATCCAGCTGAAAAAAGCCTAAATTACCAATCTACAGAGTCATACACTAATAAATGGTTGTTTAAAGACTAATCTGGGGGTTGGGTTGTTATGCAGCAAATGCTAACTGAAATGCTATTGTTCTCTTGGCCTTATTGCATATATCGTGTGACCAAAAGATAGACTTTATTGGATCCAAAACTTAATCTGCATTGTACTAAAAATCCAATGATTCAAAAATAGAAAAAAGTAAAAGGTAACTTCAAAAATTCTTAAATCAGTTATATGCTATCTACTAACCTCTTGCTTATATTTTCCCTAAGAAGATATTGTATACACATGAATAGGAGCCTGTAGCTGAGTATTAATAGACTACCACAATAGCAGATACTATCTGTTACCTGCACATATCTCCTATACTGGCTCCTGTCTGTGTTGACTGCTAACTACTCACAGCAGCTCCTTCTCTGAGAAACTGCCCTCGAACACTTGACAACTCCTTCATCTGAGATATTATGCACTCCCAAGTTACCCCTATATGGGCAGCCAGGTCTGACTGACAATTGATACAGAAGACCACCCCCCTGCCTCAAAGGGACAGGAAACAAAGTGGGGCAATCTCTGAATTTTCCTCCTCCTTAGCTAACACTTCTAGTCAACATGTAGGCTAATGCTTGCCTGGCCCACACCCTCAGTTCTGTTGGAAATAATCCCCTGGTTACTTTTCCCTTATTAGGTCTTAATCACTGTACTTGCTCACTTACAATCGACACTGTGCATGAGCCCCAGTGGGTCATGCAAGGTAGTCCTCCCTACTTCCATTATGTAGTAGTAACCCTTCCTTCACATGGTGATCAGGATCAATCACCCCTCACAAATGGTAATGCTGACGAGGAGCCCAAAGGACCATGAGGTGGTCATAGCTTTATGTTGACTAGGTTTCTTATTGTATCCCCTGGTGGACACTCTCCCACTTTGGGAACCACGGCCTTGAGATGCTTAGAACCTAAAATTATAGGATTGGAAACACAAGTTTCTAGGGGTCTTGGTGAACAAGGTTACTCCTTCTTCTAGCCCCTGTTATCAATACCCATGTTTTCTATAGTTTGGGAATTCAACACCATATAATAGCTGTTAGCTTTAGATGAATAACACATTCTTGCAGATGTCCAAAGCTGACACCTCAGCTGTCCCTTCAAGAGACTATTCCACTAAAATGTGAGATCAACCTCGTGGTGATTTATTTTCCAAAGCTCCGGGTGGGATCAAGTGGGACTATTCTCCAGCATATGCCACATCCTTGCTTAGCAACTTCCTTGTCCTATTCTGCTTCCATCCCTTTCTCCGAAGAGTATTTCTTCAAGAAAATGCACAAAAATCTTCTCTGCTTCCAGCCAAAGACAACCATCATTCACTTATTGTCTTTTAAGACTATGTCTTTGAGCAGTTTTTGTATACCTTCAAGAAATTTTATTTATAAAGTTCCATTTCATAAGGATATTTTTATTTCTATATGATATTTATAATATTCCAGAGCTTATTTTTGTTATTGAATAATATATGCCCAACTAAAACCTATGTAGTATGTCAAATAGTTTTTGCCAAGGGTATCATCATTAGGAGGAACACTAAGTTACTCATAGGATCATTTGTCCTGCACTTCTGAGACTTAAAATTATAAGAAACAACATGGCAAAACTTAGATGTCTAATTTATTGAACCTCTTTCTTCGAGAAGACACTGGTTAGAATTATCACAAGAAGGCACATGTATTTAATGGGAAAAATGGAAATAATTGACATGTCCCCTATATTAATTTATATATAAGTATTTTACATTATTAAGGAGGCAGCCAGACTCAGTGCAAAAGCAGTGGATTTCAAGTCAGAAGTTTTTAATTCTAATCCTAAATCTGCCAACAGCTGTGGCATTTCAGTAAGGTTATCTGAGCTCTTAAATTATATGAATTTACACTTTTTCAGTTGTAAAAAGAGATAAAAATATATAACCCTAGTTATATGAAAAGGTATTTATAACTTAAAGAAACAAATTAAGTTACTATAAACAGTGGTTTTTCTGTTGCTTTAGAAGAAAAATTAAATTTCAGTTTTTTAAATATATAAATATATATATGAATTTTGCCAGGGGACAAACCATTCTTGAAATTGACTCTGCTGTCTGATTTATTTTCTTGTCATATTGAACAGATTAATGTACAAATTCATGTAAATCATTTTTTTTTTTTACTAACAATGAAACATTATTAGTTATACTCTATGTATTCTTTTTTGTTTGTTTGTTAATCCTCACCTGAGGATATTTTTCCATTGATTTTTAGATTGGAAGGGAGAGAGAAAGAAACATCGATGTGAGAGACACATTGATTGGTTGCCTCCTGCACAACCCTGACCAGGGCCAGGAATCAAACCTGCAATCCAGGGACGTGTCCTTGACTCGGAATCAAACCTATGACCCTTCAGTCCTTAGGCCGATGTTTTAACTGATGAGCCGAAGCAGCCACAGATTTGTCAAGGACTATGTTCAACTTGCCTGAGACTTCCAAAAGGCCACTGATGGCATTGTAGCTCATGATCCCTGCGTGAGGCTTCCGGGGTGCCATGTTATGTGCTGAAGCAAAGGTAGGCCAGCAAATCCCACTTCTCCCGCCTTTCATAAAAAGAAGATGGTTAATGAAATTTGAAAGTGCACTCATATGAACACTGAAATTAAAATCTTAAAGTTTTTACCTGATGGAGGTCTAGAACTCCGATGGGCAGCAGAAAGTTCGATATTGGGATCATCATTTGTTAAGACATCAGAGCAATTAAATTCAGGGCTACTTCCAACAATTAATGAGCTCTATTAAAAAATTCGAACAATACACCTTTAATAATAGCTACTGCTAAAGGAAAACATAATGCTTGATACTGAATTGCACTGTTGCAAAATGCAACCTGTAAGTTTGAGAACTGGATCATTCATTAAACCAAGATGAAGAAGATGTGATTTCTTCCCTGAGTGGAATGACACTCAAAGCGTCAAGGGGAAGACAGGCATGTAAATAATTACATGTGATGACACGTTCTGTTTCTAGGATAGAAATATGTCTAGGGAACAGTAGGAATAAGAGGAAGGAGTGTCATTACTACTTAGGCTGGTTCAGGAAAAACTTCATAGATGGGATGAAAATTTAACTAACTGTTGCAAGATTAGCAGGTGATAATCAAGAAGAGGTGAGGGATTTGGGAGGAGAGGGAAGAATGGAGAGTTTCCTGTCAGAAGTCAATGAGAGCAAAGGTAGGAGGTTTGGACTAGCCAGGATAGAAGTCCAGGAGATTATTTTTGTTAGTCCTTTAATAATATTACCCTTCTCATGTGGCTGTATTCATTTCTTACCTTAATTTTCACAGTTTTACTGGAAATTTGGTGAGATATGGCAGCTGGCATGTAAATCATTGAAGAAATGGCCATTCCATTGTCCACCAGGGTCACATTATGGATATAGACACTCTCTGTGGTCTGTAATACAATTTGTAGTTTGCAAAGTACAAAATACAATCATAAAAGAAAACCAACAGTCTTGATCTTGGATCAATTTACCTGAAAATAAATTCCATAATCCCAGCACATCCAAATGGTAAATCCCTGTATAAGAGAACATCCAGGAAGGCCATCTTGGTTCAGATAGATGCCATAGAAACCCCCATGGGCTTCATTGTCAAACCACTTTTCCAGGGGGTTAGACTGAACTTGGAAGGAAATACAGAACAAGAGAATTAACATTGTCGGTCATGTCATACAGCTTTATAAGCAGTATTGGTTCAAGTTAAAATTCTTTTAAAAATTAAATATATAATTTTGATGTACATTTTAACAAGATGACCCAATATTTTTATGGTTCAGCCATTTGTGGTTTACTCCATCTAGTATTTACTCTTAATCTAAACTGTCCCTTCCCTGTTATTTAGAATAATTGTATGCTCATTTGCAAAAGTTTGGTTTACTGCTGGCACCCTTAACTTATCTGATTAAACTAAACATGAATTTCATTAGAAAGAGCATGACGTTGGATTCAAACAAGGTTGAACGTGACACATACTGACACCACCTGCTGTGTATAAAATGCTTCCCCTGAAGACCTCTGCGTTGCTGGTTCCTTCTGGTCATCTTGTTTCAAGTTAAGCGTCACTCCTTTAGAAGGCGTTCTCTGATTCACAGTAGCACCTCAGTCATTTTACATGGCAATTAGAATTTTCCTCACTTGATATTTTATTATGATTTATTTGTAAATTATCCATGTCCCCTCTCCTATTACAATATAAGCTTCCTGAGAGAAGACTGTGTTGTCTAGCTCTCTGACTACCATATTACTAATGCAGAGATAGGTGCTCATTAAATGTTTGTTGAATTACTGTATTCATGATATTAGAAAAGTTAATCAACCTTTTAGGACTTCAGTTTCCTCATATATAAAAAAATCAACACTAATTCAGGGTTGTTTCAAAATGAAATTGAATAACCCATGTAAAGTGCCTCGACAAATGGGACTAATACTTAATATATAGGGTAATTGATGTGGATTTTAATGAAAGTTTTATTTATGTCCAAATCAGACCAGTAACCTACAGAGCTCCTTCTTAGCCATGCATGAATTTGAGGATTTCCTATAAGGAGCAGCATCACTCCCCAAATTGTACTTTGTCCCCAAGGATCTGACTTCATCCTATCTTCTATTGCTTTTCCACTTTCCCCAGTCCTTTGAGATTGACATTTTACTTACGGCCTTCCAGATTTCTATTTTGTTTCTTTCATAAGAAGCTGTGTGCATGTCCCTCCCTTGGTTCCACACAATGTAACCCATGAGCAAGTGTGGCTCCTCCCTGGGACCCAGCACGGGTCATGATTCCCTTCCCAGCATCCCAGCCTCCCACTTGTCCGGGAGATGAATTGGTTAAGTTGCTATCCCATTCCAGGAACTTAAACCCTCAGCTCCTCTGTGATATTTCATATTTCAATTGCTTAAAATCCCAAAACTCCTATAGACATTCTCCATTATCTAGTAATAACAATATAGTTGGTTAAAAAATACATTACATTACATATTAGTAAATAGTCATATTCACAGGTCATATTTTGATATTCAAAAAAACCACACAACACTTCAATGGAGTTATAGAGAAATTACATACTTTTAAATTTTAAGTCAAAGAAAAGCCACTGAAAGCTGTTGGGAAATAAAATACTTAATAAGAGCATATATGATTTTACTCATATGTGGAATTTAATGAACAACTGGATTAACAAGCAAAATATAGACAGACTCATAGAGAGCTCTGGTGGAGGGTGTTGGGGGCAGATGGAGGGATTGAGAAAAAAAAGAACATATATAAAAAATAAGTTAAATCTGTTGGCAAAGTTGTTTTATTCCTTCAAAATCTATCTTGCAAAAGAAAAAAAAATAGCTTAAGTTTAATAAGTTTTGAATTTACAGAAAAATGCTGATTCAAAGAATCTTACAAATAACTACACTGAAGGAAAAAGTCAGCTGTAGAAGGAATATGAACTTTTCAGAGGAAAATCCCATTTCCTTTAACTAAGTAAGTTTCTTGGAGGTAAAGTCTGCAGCTCTATTATTTATTGTACTTTTTGGGTCTGATAATTCTTTTACCTACTTGAAAAATCAAGAGGTTATAAAAAGTTACACAATAATAGGTCACCAGTGACCCTGTTCCCACTCGACTTCCATGTGTTTGTTTTTACACTTTGAGTTTCTTTGTGTAAATACAAGTGCCCCATATATTCTTAGTTTCTTCCCTTTCCCCTCCCAAGACATATTATATACAAAACAGTTTTACATATACTGTTCTGCAGTTTTCTTTTTATCACGTTAGAATCTCCATATCAGTGCACAGATTTGTAACTTCCTTATGTTTTTTAGAGGAGCCTAGTGTTCAGTGTTGGGCTTTGTATTATCCAGCCCACAGGCAGTGGGCACAGGGTCGCCTTCAGTTTTCTGCTGGTACACAGAGCGCTGCGATGAATCACCTTGTTCACAACTGTTAGTTGTATTACCAGAGCAGAAGTGCTGAGCCAAAGGTAAACGCCTGGTAACTTTGGTAGCGATCGCCAGATTCCCCTCTGTAGGGGTGATATCGGTTTGTCTTTCAACCAGCAACGTGCGAATGTTCCTGTTTCCCTACAGCCTTTGTTATTCAGTTGGTTGTTGATTTTTCACTCAGCTGATAGAAATGTATCTGAGAACTGTCTATTATGTCCTTTGACTTTCATGCTGGCCAGTCTTAACACATGAACAGTGAGTGTTTATTCCTATATAAAGCAGAAGCATAAAATAGTGGCATATCCCTTGTAGCATGTATGTCTAGGTTTCGTTTTACGAAAGTGAGATGAAGCACTCCCTGCTCCAGTACCAGCCAAATCAAGAACTGAAGTTGCTGGTAGAGGTTTGGGATCCTAAACATGAATAATCATTGTCTTTAAAAGCCTACCCATTTTTTCTCTAGACCCAGTGGTATCTTGAAATAATTTTCTTTGTTAAGTTCTTTCAGTGCCCAGGAAGAGGAAGTATCACATATCAAACTGACACACATTCCTTATTTATTTCTAACAAATTGGGACAAATTATTTCCTACTTTTAGCGACTCTATAACAAAGGACTTACTGGAGCAAGGTTCCCCATCAATTCGGTATCCTGCCCTTCCAAATCCAGCCACGACATTATTTTGTAAGACTGTGTCGGTCCCTCTATTTATCTAGTACAATGATAAAGAAAATGCTTCGGGTCAGGCTCTTCCACAATTATGCAAGGAGAGCAAGTATGCAACACACAAAGGAAATTTAATTATGACCACACGTTCAGGAGGAAAATTTTAATTCATTGTTCACTCCATTCAAACTTACATTACAAATGAAGTGTTCACATTACCTTAGATTCTAGGTATAAAACCATCACTAGACATCTAAGGAAAGTACATTAAAGAGATTATTATTTTATTAACACACTTCTTAGGAAAGTGTGTTAAAGAGATTATTTTCTATTACAGCACCCAAAATCCACTGGATGTGACTCAAAATTTATAAGCCATAGACCAAATTCCAGTATCAGAGCAAGGTTATAAAGATTTTATCCCTCTTCTTGGTTCTATTCTGTTATCAGTTTGGTTTATTTAAAACAGACAACTCAGGCCATTACAATGGACTGTAAGATTCAAGAGAGGCATTCAATAGTTGAAATAAAATCTGCTGTAATAAAAAACTGGTAGCACAAGCATTCGGTAATTACTAAGCAATTTTATTTTATGAGTCAAGTCAATGTGGCAGACAATGAAAAGTACAGAGCAGAGAAGGTTTAGTTCTTGCCCACAGTGTCAGCAAAACAGACACAGTCTCAATTATTTAAAGCATATTAAACACCCTTATTTTCAAAGATTATGATAACATAGAGTCGAATGGAATTCATAACAGTAAAGTAAGTACTTTTCATTTCAAAAGATGCAGATAATTTGAAAGATTTAGAATTGACATTTTATTACATTCTAACATCTATAAATAGATGAAAGAGAACATTATTACCTAATAAATGTATACGAAGTTCCAGGCTTTCACATTTTACTGTAAAGTGATTATTAATAGTTGCACAAAACCAAAACCCAATCCTTATCCCATCTTTCCAAGAGAGCTATTTGTAATTCTTTTTTGTTCCTATGGCATATGTTAGTAAAATGGAAACAAAAGGAAGCTATATTTCCTCCAAATTCTTTCTCTGTACTATTTTCTTGCTTGTAATCTCCATCTAAATAAGGAACTATAGTAATTGAAGAAATTTCATGGGAAACAAGAAGGATCCAATGGTAGTATCAGATAAGAGTAAATAATCTTGCATAATTTCATAAAAATTTTAGGTGAGAAAGGGGTTGTAGAAATTTTTTAGTCTATTATTGTAATCTTCCATATGAGGAAGGAAACTAAATCCAGAGTTAAGTAGTAATATGTGCAATAATTCATGTTAGAGAAGCAAAGAAGTAAGAGAACTATTTAAACCAATGGATAGCAACACAAAGAAAAATTCAATGGCTTTTGGAGCTCAAATGATCTTTGAAGAAAGTTCATTTACTCTTTTAATTAGCTCATTTTATTAGTTCACCAGTCTGTAGCTAAGGAAGACATAGTTTTCATTAATATTTTGAGATTTACAATTTCTACAGAAATTATAATCTTCAATAAGGAAACTATAATTCTGTATAATTATAATTATAAATTGGTTTGCGTTACCTCGATTGCTGCATGCCACAGCGTTGAACTGAAATCTTTTCTGTTCTGATAAGTTCCCGGCCAAATTGAAAGTGCGACCAAGTTTCCCCGGACTCTGTTGGCATCCCCCCATATTCTTATGCCTGGAAAAAAAAAATCCACCCTAATACATATAAATTTGCAATAAGTACTAGGGGGGATGTCCTTGGGGGAAATTAGTTTTCTAGTGTAAGCCTGATAAGTGAATCCCTTAGATTTTACATTGAGCCCTCTGAACTCTTTGATGGTGAAACTCTACTTCTTTATTTATTATTATTATTATTATTTTTTATCCTACCCAAGGACATTTTTGCATTTAACTTCAGATAGAACAGGAGGGAGAGAGGGAGGAAAAGAGAGACAGAAACATCGATGTGAGAAAGACACATCGAGTGGCTGCCACCCACATGACCCCACAGGGACTGGGGACAAACTGCAACTGAGGTATATGCCCTTAGCAGGAAATGAACCCGGGTCTTTCTGGTCCACAGGCCAATGCTCTAACTGCTGAGCTAAAATGGGCCAGGGTGAAACTCTACTTTTTAAATAGAGCATCTGAATTAGGATCTTCTGGGTGCTTGTTAAATATGTGGGTCATAGGCTCCACCTCAGGACTTAACAAACACACACATACATTTTATACATATTAAATAAGTTTGTATTATGATTTTTACTAATATTCAAGAAAGAGTAACCTCCTAAAATCAAATATAATTTTTATCAAATAACCTTCATTTGTGAATAAGCCTTTGATTGATATGTGAGGAATATTTAAGTCATAGTAATTTAAACTCTTGGTATTAGGTAACTCACATAAGATTGTGGTTTGGTAAATAATTCTTCGTGAACTGTACTGTCCACTATGGTATCCATGGCCACATGGGACCACTAAAATGTAAAGTAAGTACGATTAAATTAAGTACAATTAAGATGAAAAATCCAGCCCTAGCCAGTTTGGCTCTGCAGTTAGAGTGTTGGCCCGCTGATGGAGGGGTTCCAGGTTCAATTCCTGGTCAAGGGCATGTATCTGGATTGTAGGTTTGATCCCTGGCCCTAGGCGGGGTCATGCAGGAGGCAACCAATCAATATGTCTCTCACACATCGACGTTTCTCTCTCTCTCCCCCTCCCTACCAGTCTATCTAAAAATCAATGAAAAAATATCCATGGATGAAGATTAACTAACTAACTAAACTAACTAACTAATGAATGAATAAATTTAAAGATTAAAAATCCAGTTTCTCAGTCACACATTTTGAGTGCCCAAGGGCCACCTGTGGTTTAATAATTACCATATTAGCACAGACATCAACTATTTTTATTCTTGAAGAAAGATCAGTTGGACAGCATGGCCCTAGAGTTTACAAATAAGACTATCTCAGAAAAATACATGATTTGAACCAAAATATTATTAAATTACCTTCCCCCACTGTCAAGTGAATGATGTTATCATCTATGTCCAATCCATCGGTCCCAAACACACCAATTGCTGGGGAAAAGCCATGGTGAAAGGCACAGCCTCGGATGTAAGAGGAGCCATGTTCTTGAATCTATAAAACATTGGGAATATTTTAAAAATAAAATGAAAACATATTTTTTTAAAATCTAAAGTAGGTGATTTTCAGGAAACACACCTTGATAAATAGCATACTCAATTTACATTCCATAAAAAGGGATGATTTCTCCAGCAGGTCTTTTAATCATGGGAACTTTCCACATCTCTTGAATTTATGATTAAATAAAGCAATAAAAATATGCTCACTTTAAACACAGATAAAAACATTCTCAAGTACTTTCCTATGCATTTATATTTTTATCCCTACCTATACAATGCTAAAGTACTAAAAGTTATTTTTTCAGCACAATTTACTTATATGATGAGCAGGGATTTTTTTTTTTTTAATTCCAAAATTTGGAATAGGCAAGGGGTTATGATTCAAATGTCTGTTGGACCCAGTCAATGAGTAGGTTAGAGGCTTCAATTTTCAACCTATAAGATTATTTTTATTTCCGTAAGAAATAAGCTCTCATTTTTCTTAAATCACCAGCCCTTTCAGAATATTTATTTTCCCACTTTTGACAGAGGCATGGATATACAGACAGATATTTTTCATTTGAAAAATTTAAGCAATACTCACTTTGTTTAATAGAAACTGTTTGGAAATATGTTTGGTTATTTCAAAATAAAGTGGAGATGTGAAATACTATTACAGGCTGTCAGTCCTTTCAGGCTCTCTGCTCCTTTTCTGTGTTTTTTTTTGTTTGTTTGTTTGTTTTTAAACTTACCTTAAATAAGTGCTTAATATGGATGGAACGAAATGCTGCTATATGTCTTAAAAAGTTAATGGAAAAAGAAATCTAAGAAAGTTTTGTTATATTAGGTTATAGTTTTAGTAATTCTAAAATATGGCTATTTAGGAAAGATAAATAAAAATCAAATCAAAATCAAAATATTTTACTTTGAATATATGCAAAAATTAAAAATAAAGTACTGACCTGCCCTAGGTTAAGAAACGTGACAGCATATCGTGGATCTGTGCTATCCCTGAAGCCTTCTTGGCCACTGTGATAAAATTCCACGTTACTTATTCTTGCATTTCCTGTGGGAAGCAGACAGTTACTTTTTTTTTTCTTTCTTGAAAAAGGATAAAACATTTTTGAAAAGTTACAAAAGTTGCAATTTTCCCAATTACAAATTTGTTTTCAACTCTTTCATGGAAATCTCACTGGTTGCTCTTTGCTTCCTTAATCTAAATGAGGCAGTATCCTGCTTTCTTTTTCACTACCCCCCAGAGCCTTCTTAGACATTTTTCCCTTATAGCTTCCCCTCCCCATGAAATTTTAATAACAGATATACTATGTGTCTGTTAATGTATGGGGGTCCTTTGGAGGGCTACAAACCATTGCAATACGTAAGGATGTTTTCATCCCCCAAGAACCAATTTTACCCCCTTGGTGGTGTTATTGTCCCTGTTGAGAATGCATGACATAAGGTACAAGATTATAATTCACCTAACATTTCCATTTTGATGTTCTAACGAGCTTTTAAGAGCATTATCTTTACATAATCTCTTCCAGAATATGCATTGCCAACTATCTGGTCATCAGTTTTTTATAAGCACCACTAAGCTGACAAAAGCCAATTTTATAGATTAGTAATAACAGCAATAACAACCCATGAGAGATTGCCCTGTGCCAAGTGCTCTACTAACTGCTTAATGGGCAATGTGTGGTTTATTTTCATACAACACCATATGAGTTAGGAATTTTATTACTCCTATGTTCTGTGTAAGAAAACTGAGGCAAAGAGATTCATGGCTGGTAAAATAAACAAACAAGAAAACAGTAGAATATATCCCTTGTTTCAAAAACTAATATCTAATAAAATGCATTAGAGAAGTTATTTTGTATTAGAAGGAAAGAGCCTATCTCAAAATCCATGGGCCGGCAGTTAGGTGTATGGTGGGGAAGATAAGATTAATAAGGTAGAGACAGAGAAGAAATGGTTACCACAGACCACCTGGGCCTACAAAAGCCATAGGTGTGTTTTCTTTACTTACATCACAAAACAATTGATAGGAGCAAGAAAAGATTGTCATGGGAACAGGGTCCATTATGGGACTTTAAATGAGAAAGACATGGATTAGTATCCAAGATCAGAGCAATTTCACCCCTCTAATTAATCATCTATCTATGAAAAGAGGAACTATATTGTAATAACTATGTATGATGCCAGGTGAGTACTAGACTTCTCAGGGGGATTGCCTAGAAAGTTATATAAGTGTCTGTACTATGCTGTACACCTGAAACTAATATAATATTGTCAACTGCAATTGAAAAAAAATTAAAAGGGGACCATATTTATGTCATAGTACTATGAGTATTAAATGATAAAATGTGTGTAAAATGCTTAGCACAGTGCCTGGAATCTTGTATCATGGCCATCATTATCATCATCACCATCAGTTGAACTTATGTTGGCAGACTGTGACTAATATAAAGATTTTCTAAAATTAGAGCTGTTAGAAAATGTTTCAGAACAGCCAGTATTATGGGCAAGTGAGGACCTGCTGAAGCACTTCAAGTCTAGAATAGATGACTACTCCTGGTACATAGATTGGGGGACTGAAATATCAGCTTCCCGTGAAAAGAATCAGGGTTACTTTGGAGGAAGAACTTAGTCTCAGTCTCAGAACAACAAAGTACATCAAGTGCTTGCCATATCAGAAGGTGAAGAAGCAACAAAAGATGAGTCAAAGGAGGACTTAGGCATGAACATGAAAAGGTTCTGAAGGATAATGAGGGGGCATTTTCAGCATCAATTAGACCGACAACCACAATAGATTAGAACATAACAAATATGTTTAAATCTGTGGATCTCAAAATGATACTAATAACAAAACAAAACAAAAACTCCCTGTCACCTTTGAAACATGTCTGGGAACCAACTCATTATTTTGAAAACTAGTTAACAAGGGGAAAGAATTGAGCATTTTTTCTTACATTTCCTATATAAACTGCTTCTCAAGGTACTCAAATAGTTGTCTTGAGGAGCTTTCCTTTAAAGAGGTATTCTAGATTATAAATGAGGGGGGAATGGTAGAATTAAAATATCATTATTTTAAACCTCAGTGATTTAATCCAGGCAATGATCATGAAAGGCTACAAACATCACAAAAGGAAAAACAGTCATACATTATATGCCTACTAATGAAGAAAAACCCACCATCAACTGTGAAGAATTCTTACCTAAAAACTGAATCTGCATCTGATCAGTTTTCTAGTTCTAAACTACATATGCATTGAAAATATAAGGGAGACAGGAACACCTTAAATTCTAGAAATGCAATCCCTAAATCCCAGACTGTTAGAAACACAATAAAATGCAAGAAAAAAAAATAAATCAAAGAGATTTAAGCTTCACAACCAACTGCAATATGGATCTTGTTTAGATCCTGATTTAAATAAAAAGAGTACAAAGGAAGAAGGGAAGGAAGAAAACAGAAGGGAGGAGAAGAAAAGGGAAGGAAGGAGGAAGGAAGGAAGGAAGGAAGGAAGGAAGGAAGGAAGGAAGGAAGGAAGGAAGGAAGGAAATAAACTGGAGGAATTTGAAAAATCATTTGATGATAAGGAACTATTATTCATACTTTTAAGTCTGATATTTACAAATGTTTATAAAGAAGTCTTTAGAATTATATTCTGAAATGTTTCTAGATTAAATAATACGTGGCTGCTTCATTCACAGTAGCCAAGATATGGAAACAACCTGAGTGTCCATCAACAGACAAATGGGACAAAGAAGACATAGTATATGTAAACAATGGAATATTATTCAGCTATGAGAAAGGAGAAACTCTATTGCAACAACATGGATGGATCATAAAGGCATTACAGCAAGATAATAAGACAAAGAAATATAAATACTGCTTGGTATCACTTATACGCAGAATCAAAAAGCTGAACTTGTAAGAACAGAAAGTAGAATGGTGATTACCAGGGGCTGGGGGGGTGGGAGAATTGGGGAGATATTGGTTAAGAATATAAACTTGCATCTAGAAGAAAAGTCCTGGAGATCTAGTGCACAGCATAGTGATTAGAGACATATAATACTGTATTATAAACTTCAAAGTTAGTAAGAGACTAGATCTTAATAGTTCTTACCACACACAAAAAAATAATTATGTGATGTGATGGAGGTGTTAGCTAACACTACGATGGTAATCATATTGCAATATATAAATGTATCAAGTCAACACATTGCATATGTTAAACTTATATAGTTATGTTAATTACATATCAATCAAAAATATATGTGGCTGCTTCAAAATAATCCAGTGGTTTAAATAGTGTAGGTGGGCATACAGATGAAACAAGACTGGCAAAAGTTGATAATTGTTGTAGCTGGTAATGGGTACACTGGGATTCATTACACTATTTTCAATATTTTTTAAAATTTTCTTTAAAAAATAACAGATACGTATGCTTGTTATAAAATAATTTCTGTGTGGGTGAGAGACTGGGTAAGCTATTATCAGAGGCCATTGTTAATTTTATAATTCTTACTGTGTGAAGATAAAATAAGTAGAATAATATGAGGAATTTGGTATAGGAGGGTAGCACCTGGGCTACTTAATCCCACTCAAAGCTTTATTTTTCCAACTATTACAAACAAGACATCAGGCCCAAAGTGTAGCCACACATCACCATACTGAAATTTAATTTACCTGGAGTTTTGGCTCTTCAAGGAACGTAATCTTAAACCAGTCAACTAGGAGCAGCCTGATAGCGTCAGGAGTAATCTGCCTGATAAACCCCTGCCATCCCTACGGGGAAAGGGCCCTAGCACTAACCAATTCGCTTTTTTTTATCTAGTATGACCTCCTTGGTCCTGCTCCCTTCTGCCTGCAAAAGCTTGCATTTTGTGCGGTTCTTCAGAGCTTCTTTTTATCTATGAGATTAAATGCTGCCTGATGCATGAATCATTGGATAAAGCCAGTAAAGTTCTTTAAAATTTTCTCAGTTGAATTTTGTTTCTTAACACATGAGATCCTATAAAGAAGTGAGAATTACTTAAGAACTGATTAAACACAGAAGAGACTATGGTACATTTCATTTAGGAAAAGAAACTGAATTTGTACCAACCTTTAAATGTCATCGTATTTTCAGTGAATGAGCTGACCAAAACGCGTGCACCAAAAGATTCCTTGAACCAGCCTGGGTAGTCTTCACCAAGAATTTTGATGTTCCTACTCAGTATCCCAACATCAGCTGCTAACCTGTAGCTCTGACCTGTACCAGGAACATGGTATCTTTCACCTGCAACAGAAGGACAGCTAGATTATTACCAATGCTGAGAAATACCAGTCTTTATTTGTTTCTTTACAGTTCACCAGGCTACATAACTTTTTAATGTGCCAACAGTCCGCACAAAAGCATACATTGATTCGAGATTAATGCTTTGACATACATAGATGGCAGACTGAAATTATGATGGCTTTTTATTTATAAAATGAATTATTATCAAAAGTATGTCTTCTATTAACACTAAAAAGATTATTATAATCAGCAATTATTAAATAATTGCTTAATAAGAATTTTACAATCACTTTATACACAAAAACACTGTTGAAAGGCAAGTTGAGAAGTTTCTCGTAATTTTAATGGATGAGGAAATGAGGTAGAGAATAATAAATTTACCCAAGCCTGTGTGGAAAATCAGCAATAAACAGATATTTCTTCTGCTGACCCCTTGGTTTGTTCCACATTTCCTGTGACATATTTTGTATCAACCATAATTCTTTTTTTAAAATTTTATATATATTCATTTTATTAATTTATTTATCAACCATAACTCTAAGTATTAGTAGCATAGCAAACACACTGTGTACACTTACATCTTAATGATTTGTAAAACACAACCTAAATTCTAGTCTACATTTCTAGAAATCTTAGTCAAAACTTTAAGATAAGCAGGTATATTTCAAACTGAGAGAAATGTTTGGTAGTTTAGAGAAAAGACCGTATAATGTCAAACTTCAAAAACTTTTGTTTTATGATTAAAATGTTCTTCAATGAAACCTTCCCATTTATATTTAAAGAAAAATATGTGATACACAATGATACCTACATATGCTTCTATCAAAATATCCCTTAGGCACCAACACCAGTCTGAATGGAATACTCTTCTGAAATAGTTGTGAAATGTTTCATCAGATAATTGTAATTACAGAAGAGAGCACTAAAATGTGACCATTTCAAGACATTTTAAAAAAATAATAGTTTATTGCTTTTTAAAGAGAGAGGAAGGAAGAGGGAGAGAGAGAGAATCATCAACTGGCTGCTTCCTGAATGCCCCCTACCAGGGATCGAGCCCACAACCTGGGCCTGTGCCTTGACTGGGAATCCAACTGGCAACCTTTGCTGCCCAGGACGATGTCCAACCAACTGAGCCACACTGGCCAGGACTCAAGACATTTTAATTATATATCTATTTGGTCAAAGAACAACCACTTACCAAGGTGAGTGTAGGAAAGGGTATCATTGAGAATGAGAATTTTGTGATCGTGCAGGATTTTAACGATGCTTCTAGTTTCTGTCTGGTGGATGTCATAGCTTGTGGTTGTTATCACAATCTCTTCTCCCTCCTTTGAAAAATTCAAGTGCCAAATACAAGAACAATTTTAAAATAGGTTTCTATTTCTTAATAACTACTCAATAACTCTATATCTGATTAGAATCATGGCATTATCATAGAGAAAAAAACTAGATATTTAGGTCTCTAAAATAAATATGTTTTTGTTTGATATTAAGAATCCTAAATTTTGAATTATCTCAGCCTTTCCTTCCATTTAATTCAGGTTCCTTGAAAAAAAATTAAATTAAAGAAAGTATGTTCATATTTTTATCAAAAGAACTGATCAGAACAATATTCTTTAAGACTTAAAAAAATTTCCCAGGATTTTTGAAACATAATTAACTATCACTTGATATTTTTGAAAGGTGAGAAAGGAAGAGAAAACTTCAAGAAGACAACCCAGTCTTAGAATCTGCATTTGTATATGACAGGCTCCTTCTTGTCATCCAAATCTCTGCTCAAATGATTTTTTTTCTCTACCCTTCTAAGTTCTTGGCTGGGACCCCTGTAACAAAAGACAGATTAACAAAAGGAAAGCATGTACATTTATTTAATATAAATTTTGTGACACAGGAGCCTTCAGAAGGCTTGTTGTACCTGAGTGTTGCTACGCTGGGTTTGATGAGGAGAGGAGAGGGAAGATGTGATAGGGTACAAGTCCAGTGTAATAAGCTGGGGAACTAGCAAGTCTTGCTCAGGTTTCTCCCCGTGTCCCTCTGTCTTCAGAGACATGGGTGGTCTTCTCCTCTGGGTATAGGGAGGGTACCTCACACATGAAGGTTTGTGACTGGCTTCAGGGGAAACTAGAAAGTTCTACAGCACAGGAAGCTTCTCAAATTCCTTCATCTTAAAATACTCAAGGTTTTTGGGTAGCATGTCCTAAATTTAATATTTTGGGGTAGCATGTCTTAAACCCCATCATATCCTTGAGAGACCCATTCTCTGGCCGCTCTATTCAACGCTATTTGCCTCTGTCTACTGAGGCAGCCTCACATCACCTGTTCTATTTCCTTCATCATGCTCATTATAATCTGAAATTAACACATTTATTTGTTAATTTAGTGTCTGCTTCTCCTACCCCAATGTCATTTCCACTATAGCTTGACCAATTTCTTCACAAATGAATCCTTTGTCTAGAAAATGTATGACAGTTAAATATCATTTAGATAATATGCAGAAAAATATTTATTGGATAAATAATAACTTAATTAGAGGAATAATAGGAATACTAAAATTATTTAATTACTTTCTAAAAAGTAATCACACCTCAACCATCACTAATAAGAACCTATTAACATAGATTATAATACCTCCCAATGAATCTTCTTCCTTTTATTTACCAATTTTTAAACTACATTAAGAGAGTCAACCCCTTTGTTGGAGGATTTGTTTTGATTTACTCAGACTAAGCCTCTCTGTTCTTGACTCAAAACCTGATTCGCAGTAGAAGGGAACTGGCTGAGATCTGAGCTTGGAAAAGGAATCCATCCATCTCCCTGACCCTTCAGCATTAAAGAGTGTTTGCAAACATGAGTCTGTGGCCTATGCACACCTACGAGACAGTGGAGACGGGAACCACACCACTCATTTTACCAAAATCTCTCCTTTAACACAGGTGTTATTTGAACATCACTGGGCATCAGGATTTATTTCCAAATGCTTAACATGTCAAATCACAAATTAGAAGTAAAGAGAGGACCAAGATAACAATAAAATGTATTCAAAACAATTTCTTTTTTCTGTTTTGCAAGAATTCGTAATAAACAAATATTTTGCCCCCAAATTTTCACATTCCCTTTCATAACTAATTTACACATGATGTTCTTTATGTATTCTGAAGGCCCTTGGACACAACACTTTTTAAATGCCTGCTATCAGGTTAGCTTTCAGAGTGCAGGCTAATTGCAAAATACACATTTCACATCTGGTTTATCAGGTGAGAAATAAATGTCCATGAGAATAAAGAAGAAACCTTTTCACATTGACCCACTGTGTGTTCACTTTCCGCCACAAAGTGTTTCCTCTACCTGCCAATCCACCGCATCCACCAAAGACAGGACTTTGGAACCTGCGTTTGCGGTTTCCGAGAGTTTAGTTTTGTATATGGAACGGGGAATTCCGTGAAGGTCCAGCTCACCAAACACTCCTGCAGGAGAAAAACACACTCCTACTTATTCACCACACGGTACTGAGTTAGGCCCTGATATAGAATGAGAGTTCGCTGATCTATTTTAATAAGTGATTGAACATAAAATCAGTTGGGGTTATCTGCTCAGGGCTTTAACCCTTTGATTCACTTCTAGGAACATGGTCCATAGACATTAAGGCCAGTACACAAAAACATATGAACAAAGGGGCTAACTTCAACAATATTAGGAAAGTAGAATTACTCAAATTGTACTTCAACAGAATGATGGGGTAAATTGTAATATACCAATATCATGGTGTAATATGCTATAAAAAGAAAGTGTTATCTGTAAGTATTGATCTGGAAAGATCTATAATATATTAACTGAGAAAAGAAAATTGCGTAGTAATTTATTTAGTTTGACCTTGTTTTTTGTAAAAGGCACAATACTATTATCACAAATCAATATATATAATGTAAATATAGGTATGGATAGAAAACATGAAAAGACATGTAAAAATTGCTAATTAATGCTAGCTATTTTCTTCAAGAGGGAAGTAGAATTGGAAAGATGTATATTTTTTCTTGATATTATTCCATGTTGTTTAAAATGTTATTTTTGTTTTTCTTTATATTGCTCTGTGTTGTTCGAAATGTTACTTTTGAAATAAAAATGAACACGTAGAAAACAAAACAAAAAAATTAAGACTGAATTTGTTTTCCTTGGAACATTTGTTAAGATTTGAATTTGTCTTGGGAGAGCTAACATAATCTAAAGCCATTTTTATCCCCTTATAAATGATTGTTACTGTTTTAGAAATTGTACAATGGAGTGATTACATCACATGTTGTATGTGTCTCTTAAATAAATATGCAGTAGTATTAATAAAAACAGTTATTTACTGTAACCAAATTAAACCTTCCCCTTCCTTTGTTCCCAGGCTCACAGAGGAATACATTCAGCCATACCAATGCAGCAGGGGAGTTCATGCTGTGGGTCAGCTGACTCTGTTGTCAGTTATCCACAGAGTACTAACACTATAAAAAAACAATGTATAGGAAACTTACCATTTAGGGAAAAAGCACTAAAATGTGAAGAGTTTTATTACTTATATAAAAAAAAGATTGTGAAGAAAACCAGATTGGATAAATAATATATATGGAGAGATTTGTTGCTGTTAGCTTTATAATGAATTATATTTTGGTTTAAAATAATGCACATCTATATCTATTTTAATGTGACATGACTTAAAAATCTCTGCCACTTTTATAACCTTTTACTACAAATAAGTGTAAAAGCTTCTGATACCATAACATCAGGAACTGATAATAATACTTTAGTGTTATGTGTTTTAATACATTCTTAAAACTGACATGAATAATACTTTTAGTACCTGGAAACACATACCTAACACCTTTGATCCTTGATTTGGTCCTTCTGAAAAAGCCCACTCTGGAGTGGAATGATTTCCTCTAAGAATAATCTGTAATTCTCCTTTAAAAGGGTTATCTTCCCAGCCACCAATTAATCTACCACCCTGCAGTGAAGCAGAAAATTGTTAACACTTAAAAATTGAGCAGAAAAAATTTTCCCCATAAAAAAAGAATTAGGAAAACTGGAAGACTTGTCTAGTAAAAACGAATAAATTCTGTTACACAAAGAACAGTATTATAACTGAAAGTGACCTTAATTTAATCCACTCACCCTGGGATAGGCAATTTAAATGATTTTTCCAAGGTCAAAATCAATATCTACTTACTGTCAGAATTGAACCTAGACCTAAAACTGTGACCTTTTAAGACCTAAACTAGTGCTGTTTGAGTAGATCACACTGGATTTTAAAATAATATGGCCTACATACACTATACTCCTGTAGTTATACCTGGGCTATGCTGTTTATGAGCCATCATTATTAATAATAATAATAGCTATTACAAATGCTTGCTGATTCTATGTCAGGCCTGATGTGCAAGGCTTTACATATAGTGTATCACTTAACCTTTAAACAAAACCCATGAATTGCTATTTTTCTCATTTAATGGGTGAGAAAACTGATGCTAAAAGTGGTCAAATAACTTACCCACAGTTACCTACCCAACTGTTAAACAGTGAGGTAAGAATTCAATTGTAGCTTTAATTTATCTCAAAGCTCACACACATAACCAAAATATCACACACCTTTAAAACATTGAAAGCTTAGTTTTATTAAAGAAACACTATTGCTCACTTTTATTTTTTAATGGTGCTTAATAGCTTTTTGGTTAGACCATTTTTTTTTTTTTTATCCTCACCCCAGGACATTTTCCCATTGTTTGTTCAGGTAGAGTGGGAGAGAGAGAGAGAGAGAGAGAGAGAGAGAGAGAGAGAGGGAGGGAGAGGGAGAGAGAGAGAGAGAAACATCGACATGAAAGGGACACATCAAGTGGCCTCCACCTACACGACCTACCAGGGCCGGGGACAAAGGGCAACCAAGGTACATGCCCTTATCGGGAACTGAACCCTGGTCTCTTGGGACCGCAGGCCAATGCTCTAACCGCTGAGCCAAACTGGCCAGGGCTAGACTATTCTTTTTGATGAACAATAATAACAAACTGACTGAGCAATGAGACTGATCAAACTATTACATGACCAACTGAGGTTTCTGAGAATGAAGTGATTGTTCTAAACTACTGAAGGCTTTTATTTAATCTGCTTCTGTTTGCATAATTCCATCTACATTCTGTCATTTTAGGAAATACTGTTAGGCCCTGGCTGGTGTGGCTCAGAGGGTTGGGTGTTGTCTGGTACACCAAAATGTTGCTGGGCACATGTAGAAGTGTGTGGGAGGCAGTTGATCAGTGTTCCACTCTCTTTCCCTCTCCCTTTCTCTCTCTCTAAAAATCAATAAAAATATCTTTATTAAAAAAGAAATAGCCCTGCCAGTGTGGCTCAGTGGTTGAGCACTGACCCATGCACTAAGAGATTGCTAGTTCAATTCCTGGTCAGAGCACATGCCCAGGTTGTGGGCCAAATCCCCATTGGGGGGCATGCAGGAGGCGGCCAATGTTCTCTCTCATCGATGTTTCTTTCTCTCTCCTTCTCCCTTCCTCTCTCTTAAAAAAAGAAATACTGTTTGTTTTCTAAAAAGGGGGGAGGGGGGCTTAAAATCTTTTAAATTTTTTCCAGGATCCTGGGGATTCTCTGTTGGTTGGATCACGGTGTGAGTTTAGCTGTATCTTATAATAGCACAACCATCCTATGTATGACTGCCAATGGGCAAACCTTACACTAAAAGTAGCATGATAATCACTCCTTAAGAAATGTTTAGTCCACAATATAAAGGAGAGCAGACATATATTAGACTTACATGAGGCTCGTGTGTCATGGCCAAGAGCCAGCTGTGTTTTTAATTAATATCAATTTAATATGCTTTATTATAATTTTTCAGTGAACCATCACTTTAGAATTTGGTTAATGAAGTATAACACCCTTACTCTTACCTGCAGTGATATGTAGGTAGCATTCAAAACAACTTTTCTGTAAGAAGACTCTGTAGCCTCCACATTCTGTTTATCTTCCAGTTCTAGAACCCCCCAAATAATGAGCCTTTCCATTGGTGGAATATCTGTGTCTGCTACAACCCATGTTCCTATAAAAATAATTTTATGTAAGAAATATAATCCATAGATTATAGCCTACAGAGAAAGCACTGACAACCTTTTCAGTGGGTCTTGGTTTTGAAGTGTGCAACCCTTTTCCCACATGATGATTGATTCTTGTCTCCCCAGAAAAATTTATATTCTTAATACTCAGGTTTAAGTTCACATAAAACCCAGGAGGCTAAGTCTGGTATCCAGGACACAATAATAGAATCCATCTCCACATTTGCTATTTCCTAAGGTGAGCTTGGTAAAGGTGGAATGCTACCTATTGTGTGGCATCTACCCCAAAGTTGCATGAACACAGGTTTTACTTCTTTATGTATCTACCTTCAGGAATAACCACATTTGCTCCTGGGTGAGGTATGGTATAATTATTTTCCCGAGATGATTGCCAAAAAGAATCATTTGACCATAAGCTGAAAACAAACAAACAAAAAATAGTTCCATTAAGTATTGTCTCTGTATATTTAATGACCATCTCCTTAGGGTGTAGCACTATACTAGATGATTTGAGGGTGATAGAATGCAAATTAAATCGTTTATAGCTTTTCCAAGTAGACAAGCTAATATGTGAAATTAGTAACATATTCAACACACACAACTACCCATACAGTTTTTTCTCCATTGAAGAAAACTTCCTTTCCATCCACAATGTGATTCACTTTTTCTGCCACTAAATCCATGTACTGCGATATCCTAATTTTGCTGCTCTGGATGTGTCATCAAGAAGTTCTGTAATCTCGGGGAATTCATTTGAGGGCATTGGTCTAGTAATCCAGATCTAACATTCTGCAAATCTGAGACTACCAGCAATGTACACACATAGTTTCTGTGAGCTTTTCCCATTTTCTCATCAGGGCGGTGGAAGGCTCAAGGGCAGTGATGAGTGTGGAAGTGCTTTGTGACGCACGAGGCACCGCGCAGTGGGGGATGTTACTTTTTCACCCAGAACTGCTGTGTGAAAGGATTATGCCCAGTGCTCCTGAAGGTAGTAACAAACAAAGGCCTATATACTTGTATGTGGCTGGCCGCTTCCTGGGAATCGGACTCCTTGACGGGGGGTGCACAGGGAAGCAGTCCTGGAGAATGCAGCAGTAAGCTTGGAAATTAATAGTCACATCTTTCACGTCAGGGTCCAGGGTCCCAGAAACAGGCTGGCTTTGAGGAAGGTCATTTCTCCCTGACACTAAAAGTGAAGAAAAGCAGCTTAAATTAACAAGATGACCAAAGTACTCAAATGTAAGAAAATCATGGTCATTTGAAAATACCCTTCAGACAGTAGCTAGGTATTGTTCAAATGCATGGAATATATACGGAGGAATTCTGACAAAATGCACATCTTATTGAGAAGCACATAGTCAAAATATCTTTAAAATAATATTTTAAAATTAAAAATTTATTTTTAAATATTTTATTTTCCAGCCCTGGATGGTTTGTTCAGTGTTTAGAGTGTCGGCCTATAGACCAAAGAGTCATGGGTTCAATATGCAGTCAAGGGCACATACCTGGGTTGCAGGTTCAATCCCCAGCCCTGGTTGGGGTTGTACGGGAGGCAATCAACCAATGTGTCTCTTTCACATCGATCTTTCTCTCTCCCCACCCCTCATGCTTATAAAAAATTAATGGAAAAATGTCCTTGGGCGAGGATTAACAACAAAATATTATTTTCCAAATATAATTAAATAATAAAAATAAAATATATGATAGTTTCCATTGTACTCATTTCCTCCAATTTTTTGAAATAAATTTTGGGGCCACATTTAAATTAAAAAATGTTCATGTTATCTCCAAACATAAAATGTAAGTTTTTAATTCAACTCAAGGCTTTTTCTAGCATGAATTTCATCTCCAGTCCTTTTATAATAAAAGAAATGCATGGGTGGTCTTTCTCCATTGCTAGTGGGAGTAGGGTCCTTACAATATCTTGAGAAAAAGAATTTTCTGAAACTTGCATGGGAGGATGAGTGATTTTTATGGGTGTGGAATTACATCCTTGGGTTTCCAAAGTCCCATTTCCCTTAAGCCAGTCCTGGGAGATGTGCAGCTGGAGATGTAGTAGAGCCAGAAGCAAAGCCAGCATCCAAAGTTTCCATTCCATGGTGGAACTGGGTCCGGTTTAGCATTAGGCTAGCTGTAGTCCATTAGTCAGTCCATTGTGTGTGGGGTCCACATAGCTGTGGGTCATGTGGGGGAATGCAGGACCATGAAAGCCCAGCAAGCCAGGAGTCAAGCACAAGCAAGCAAGAGTGCAACAAACTCCTTTGTTTAGGAGATTAAATATCCCAAATTTCAAGCCCTTGCAGTATCCATGCCCATCCTGACCACTGACCTGTTCCCAGGAGTGCCTTCCCTATTTCATCCAGACTTTACTGGACATGCATCTATTCTCCCCTGTCCAGTCACTTCCCCCAGTGGATCTGTGGGGAATAGACCTGGAGAATGTTAAACTGCAGCTTCCTGGCAAAGCTGCACAAATGACACGCCTATACTATTTGGCTTTCCCTTGCTCCTTTCCAGTTATTCATAACTAGTTAATTACAGTGGTATCACTGCCATTCAAAAACAGTTGTTGAATCTTGCTATATACAAGGTACTGTATAACACACTTGCCCATTAAGCAGTTTTTCTCCTTCAGACGAAACATTAGATAAAATAACCACTCTGCCTAATGAATACATACCCAAGTAATACAGAGTACTGGTGTTTGGTTCAAGGTGCCAGTCTCCATTCTTGCTAGTATTCCAGCTCAGGGGATTTGAGGAGCCATTCCTCATATCAACAACATTAAACATATCAGGATTTTGAGTGAAGTTATGAGATATGATGACATAGTCTTCTTCCTGTAAAAGTTTATAAAAACATGACTTGTTTTATATGTTAATACCCTGCCTAATATACATTAATTTTGATGGCACTGAATTAACCTATATATTAAGACAAGTTTTAATTTTAGTTTCTTTTTCATCTTGCATTTATATTTTGTTTATCAATACTTTATATGTCTACAGCAATAATGCTAACTCTGTCACCAAGGCAATAAGAGTCTCTCTCTATCTATACCTATACATATAAATCTCAACACACACATATATGTACATATTTAGAAAATATTTTATTTCTATAATGTTTGAAAACATTTAAAACATTGCAACGATGCTGGGATTATTTTGATTATTTTTTTAAGAATATAAATGAAAGAAATGAAGACACCCAATTCAGGATACTGGTTACCATTAGAGATGGAGAGTGAAGAATGAATGAAATCAGGGTAAGCCATAAGCCATAAGCCATACAGAGAACTTCCACTTCATCTAAATGTCTCTTTAAAAAAAAAAAAATCAGAGGTAAATATTCACAGAATGTTAGATTCAGATAGAGATGAGTGATGGGCATATTTTCTATAATATTCTATGTTTGATATATTTCATAACACAAATAATAAAGCCCCAAACTGGTACCTGAAACATCATGAGCACTCAGTCAGTGTTAGTTATTATCATAGTAATAATAACAGGGCACAGATTTAGTACTACAGGAAGATTGCTTACTTCAGACTCTTGAATAGGATCCTTTTATTGGCTTGTCTTAGATTTACAGGGGTTCATGGAGGGTGTGCAGGACTTTCACAGGCCAAAATGTGAGGCAAGGGCATTCTGGGCCAAACAGTCAGTGTAAGGATGAGAACGTGCCCTGTGGCTGAGTAGTGTTCAATCTTAATTAATAGAAGATGGACTTGATAGCTCTTTATTTACCTTGAATCCATAGAATGTCGATGTATATGATATGTTGGTTACGTGATCCACACCTTTAAAATACCAGTTAATGTGCTTTGCATTTGGAATCAGAGCCATCCATCCAGACATATGAGTCAGTCGTTTCTTCTGAAAGGGGACAATGCTTGTGCCTGCAGGAGAACATAAAACAAACAAGTAATAGTAATCTACACCTCTAGAAAATTCCTCCTTTTATGGACAAATGCAAATGTAAAATATTGGTCTAATCTATGGAAGTCTCTAAAGAGGCCAATATAGCATTTCACTATTTATATTCTAAATGTCAATATTTAATACTACACTTAACTGAAACATAAAATGCTTTTCCACTTGAAATTATGAATTAAGATGGAGACTTTATTCCTTAGGAAAAGAAAAATATTGAAACAATGATTATGACTACTATGACAGAAATGCTCAAATATATTAACGCAATTTTTAAAATATCATTAATTAAATCATTGATTTGCAATGTATGCAAATGTAAGTTCTGATCCTTTATTAGATTCTCTTACATTTGTTGATTTAATCAAAACCTGCATAGCCAGTGTGAGTGAACACTTTGATTTAGAACTCCTAAGGAACTAGGTTACAACTAGACCTACCACACACACTAGCGATGATACCCTAAATGTTGAGAGTGACACACTTGGAACCTGAACTACTGTTATGGAAAAAACTATGTAATTTAGTTATGCTTTGGTCATGAGAGAATGCCTGACATTTTTAGTAGAAGATCTAAAAGATCTTACAATATAAAGAAAAGACCAGTGATTAATTGCCCATATTCTATATTTTTCCTCTCCCTTCCCTTTCTGATTGAATTTTATATTAAATTTATAATCTCTAGAAGCAAGATTATAAAATAAACTGTCATCTTTTTTATTTTGGGGATAGGACCAAAAAAATTCCATTATCATGGAGGAACAAATTCATTAATTCTTAGGCTTACGAAGCAGTGTTAGTTTTGAAAGCACCATGAGCAGAGTCATTAGGACACAGTACAGAGGACCTGGAATGTGTGGGAAGAGTATGACCATATGGATCAGTCGGCAAATATCCAGTTCTCTCCCCTCCTTCAGGGGAGAGCAGACTTCCCTGCCTTGTAGATGCTGGGTGATTTCTTTGGCTCACGGGAGATTAGCAGAATGCCCATTTTGAATGTTTTTGTTTCTTGTCTGGCTTCTGACATACAAATAATTATGGTTTCCCCAATGTTCTAGGCAGGAACAACTCAAGAAGATGAGGAAAACATTTACATTAGTGGTTTCAACTATTCTACTCCACTTACCAAAAGCGTCTGAGAGCACCACGTCCTTCTCAAGCAGAGATACTGGAGAAGGCTTGTTGAATGCCAAGCGGTGGAAGCTGACTGAGGCGTCACAGACAGACCCAGGGAACCCAACACTCCACTCGGCCTCCTGAGTGCAGTGCGAAGGGTCCAGCAATGAGCTGTGTGGGATGACGGTGTGTCCTTTGTGACCTAGAAAAGGAACACAATCCACGTTTCCGACTTCATGCTATAAAAAGGAAAAACCAGTCTACAACATAAAGGTACTGTGATCCATTGTACTGCTAATACAATCTCAAAGTCTTAGTATTTTTCTTTCTTTCTTTCTTTTTTTCTTTCTTTCTTTCTTTCTTTCTTTCTTTCTTTCTTTCTTTCTTTCTTTTTCTTTCTTTCTTCCTTTCTTCTTTTTCTTTCTCCCTTTCTCTCTCTCTCTCTCTTTCTCTCTTTCTTTCTCTTTCTTTCTTTCTTTCTTTCTTTCTTTCTTTCTTTCTTTCTTTCTTTCTTTCTTTCTTTCTTTCTTTCTTTCTTCTTTCTTTTTCTTTCTTCTTTCTTTCTTTGTGGCATGGAGCAAGGGGGAATCCCTTACAGACGCTTTGCAGTGGACTCTGGTCAGGGAGTTAATTGTGGATGTAACTGTAACATAGCATCTGAAGCACCCACAAGAGCCAAAGTAGGGATGGGAAGCAGGATAAGTAACTTGGCCAAGAATTAAATCCAGCAGTCTGCCATGGGGCCTATACTCTTAACTGAGGAACTGCTAAGTTACTTTAAAAATCTAAGCTGAATTAAATAAACTAATAAAGGTTACACAAAGTTTTATATTAGAACCATCCAAACATTCTTCCTCTTAAAGCCACCATTTGGAGACAGAACTCACCAAATATAGTTGAGAACTTCCTCTGTTTGAATATTGAGATAAATCTTCTTCCATTTTTCAGTCTTTCAAAAGTAAATTGTTAATATCTGTAGTTTTACTTGTCAACTTTCTCTCTCTTCTAAAGTATTAGGCAGAACTATCTCCCACACACCCTCACTTTTTTATTCAGACAGGTCTTTAACATTAAAAAATTCTAAGTTCTAGAAACTAAGAATATTTTAAAAATGTGACATACTCTGAACTTGAAATGGTAAAAAATGTTATTAGTTAACATATTTATTCAACTTATTCAAATTCAAATTTTAGATTGGAAAGGAAAAGGTTAATATCAGGCCTGTAACTACTTCCCTTGAAGTTAATGAGCAGGATATATCCAGTCTGTCTTATATAAATAAACCTGCAATTTCTACATGTATGGTCCATGACTGATTAGAGAATTTGAGTAGTCATGTAAGCAGTTTCTTATCTGTGTAATTAACTGAGTATTTTAAAATGAAACCAGTTTCCTTTTGTGATCAATGTTTCCAATAATATTGCTCAAAACATGCTGTTATTTCAAAACCAAAGTGCAAATGCAGGGGGGAAAAGGACACAATTGGAGGCTGTAGCTGATAGTTTGGGGCTTTTCCAGAAAGGAATGTCTCATGTATGACTAGTGTTGACCTATATCCTTAAGTCATTAGTACAGTTTGGGACTGGGTAAAAATCTGTGATTCAGGTGAGTCCGCTTTGAAAATTCAACTCGGAGTTAACACAAACATATTTCCAATGTATTTTATCAGAAATTATAACATTACCTGTGAGTGAACCATCAACATCAATCAGTACCACTTCATGTTCCCATCGAAAGCCAGCCTTGTTTGGTGTGTCAAAATACTGGATATCAACAAATTTTGCACTCCAACCTCCACATCTCTCATTGCAAACTCCAGTGATGGATGTCACTCCCAAAGCTACACAGTTGGGACGGTCAAAGTTCATAAAGTGTGTGGAAGACACAGTTAAGCCTTCACTAAATGGGAGAACCAGACCTCTCATTGTACAAAATGCAGACCCCATTCCCAGTTCATCAAGATGACCAACGATTTTGGCATTTTTAATCACCGCTCCATTGCTTTCACCCCATCCTCCAACATAAGCAGCCAGGACCCTCTTGGTCTCAATTCCTGCCTCATAATTATTTACCATCACGAAGTTATGAAACTGAAGGGCACCTCCATTGACCCATTCAGCTCCTTTTTGACAATTCCAAGTAGTAAGTGAATTAAATACTGCAGGCAGTGCCACGGTAGAAGTACAAGATCCTGTTTGCATGGGGAAATATTCTTCAAATATCCACATTCCAAACCAACCTTGAGAATGAACAGTGTTGTTAAAGAATTCTCCAAGAGGAATTCTTTTTTGGCAAATGTTTCGGTCATAGGATGGCCCATCAGGGTGGTTGTTCATTCGGTACCAAAAGCCAAAGTGAGTGCCCCCAGCAGCTGCATTGTGCCGAATGGTATTGTTTGGGTTAGTTACCCAAAATGCAGCTGGAGTCACATCATCGTTCAGAAGACTAGTACTTTGCTGCACAAACACTGCCAAGTTATACTGCAGGATATTGCCATGTTCAATACCATCTTCTATGAAAAATGCTCCTCCCTTGATATCATAGATAATATTCCTCTCAACCAGAAGGTGATGTGTGTTGTGGATAGTAACAGCTCTGTTATAGGTCTGGTGAATTGCACAGCCTCTCACATAAGATTTGAACTGTAAATCTCCCAGCAGGTGCCAATGTATTGGATATCTCCCCAACCGAAAAGCCTGGCCAGCATGGAATACCTGTCAAGCCCAGAAATCATGACTGTTTAGTGATCCACATAAACACAGTTTACTTAGCTCATATTTTCTTGTTTAAGAACCTCCAAATTTAATTATTATTAATGCATTTATATTTTCCGTATTTTTCATGTTTGTCATTAGAGAATATTTGGCCCCCCAGCCCACCTTGTTTTATTCGGTATATAACAACCCATACTTGAAACCAGTTAATTAATGAATAAACAAAAGCCAAAAGCCATCTTTAACTGTTCTGCTTTTCAGCTCAGTCTATTAAAAAATTTTTGTGTTTAGTAAAATAAAGCCCCTTAAAAGACTTCTTTTCTCTTTCACTTTTATTCTTATATAATAAGAAACGCTTCTTGAATGTTGACCATGTGCCTGGCACTGTGCTAAGTGTCTTATGTGCATGACTACAATCTTTACCATAATCCTATGAAGTGGCCACTTACCATTAACTTCATTTTAAAGTTAAAGAAACTGAAGTTTAGAAAGGCTGAGGATCATATTCATGGTCATATGGCTCCTTTAAAATCAAGTTGGTATAATTCTTGGGTTAGCGCTCTTATTAACCACTCTGCTGTACTTTTCTTTAATAAGTCTTCAATCTAATAGTCTAATACAGTGGTGCTAGTGTGTGCAAGTGTGTGATCTGAGTGTAAGAGTATAAAATATGATTCCAGGAGGTCTGGTAATAAAATATGAGGGCGCCTATTTCCAGTCTTCATCCCCAAATACGAGATTAACCATTACTAATATTTAATATACAGACTGACCCTGGCAAACTCACTCAGTCTGTATGTCAGATATCACAAGTGTGTAACGTTTCCTAGGAGGAGGGAACCTTCACAAAATGTTGACTCTCTCACCCTCAATGATTTGTTTGCAGTCAAAGTGTCCCCAGTTTAATAGATTTAAGGATTTTACTATCATTTCCTTCCTTTCTTTCCTCCCTTCCTTCCTTTTACTGAATACTTGATAAAAAAAAAAACTATTGATTATATAGATTAAAAAACCCTTGATTATATATATTGAATATAATAAGATTCAAAGGAATTTCTAATCTCTTGAGGATAACTTGCATATTTATTAATATACTTATATATTTGTCCCGTTGATAGTCAGCTGACAATCTGCTGTATACCAAGCCACAGAGGAATCAGCAGAAAACCAGAAAGATACAATTTCTGAACTAATTGAGTTTATGTCCTACGGGAGAAATCAAATATAAATAGAAATAGATTTAATATTGGGAATTATGAGTAAATAAAGGAAGATAGGGGTTTGGGCAGCTATTTCAAATAAAGATGGTTAAGAAAGGCCTTTCTGAAGACAAGACATTTGCAAAGAAGGCTGACTGAATGACAGTGTGAGCTGTGCAAATATTTGGTGGATAATCATTTTAAGCAGAATGAAGAGCACACACAAAGAACTTGAGACAGGAATACGTTGACCATGGACGTGGTACACCAGGCCTATGTGTCTTGCATGGCATGAGCCAGGCGTATAGACTCCATCACAGGAGATAAAGTCAGAGGCCAGTGGGCAACAGATCATGTGGGTCCTACGGAAAGGACTCAGACTTTTAGTTTTAGGTATTCTGTGAAGCCACTGAAGGGTTTTGAACAGGATGCAACAAGATCTGATTTATATTTAAAATTTTTTATTTTGGCTGTGGTGTGAAGATTCTACTGGAGCAAAAGTGGAAATAGGAAGACCAGTTAGGAGAAAGTCACAGTAGTCCAGGCAAGATGTGAGAGGGTTAGAGGTCAGGGGGAGGTGATAGACAGATGTTGGATTCAGGGTACAGTATTTTGTGGGCAGATTACATAGAACTTGCTGATGAATCTGATGTGGAGTATGAGAAAAATAAACAAAATTTTGGCATGATTAAATGGGTGAATTATTAGGTGTATTAAAATAGTGTGTCTCCTCTACCCAATTATAACTAGCATCGGGCAAACAGCATGAATTTAGCACACACTTGTTATTTGGATAACCTTGGGCAAACCATTGTGATTTAATAACGATGCCTCTTACCTCTACATATTCTATTCTTCCAGTTACCATGTTAGCACCAGGTACAGGCGCATGAAACATAATGCAGCCTCCAAATTGATCACTTCCTACTTCTTCTCCAAACTTTCCTTGGAGACATGTCTGTGTAGCAAATTCACCTTAAAAAATAAAACACACAAGAAAACCATGTCAAAGTCCTCTAATTAAATCAAGATTTTATTTCATACCTAATTATATCTTTTTTATTCACATATAATTTTAATCTCATTCTGGAACATAATTATTCATATCATTTACTCCTCTAGACAGTAAGAAAGTAAGTACCTTGTCCCTTGTCTCATTGACCTTTGCATTCCCTAAAGTATTTACTACCGTATTTTTCAAAGATACTATATAAATATTCGAATAGTTGAATGAATATGGATAAAGGTATTTTGTCTTATTATCTCTGAAGCTTTACCCCAAGAGTTGGAGATTAATTAATGAAATCTTATACTTACATAGCACTAGACATGCGTTATCTCACTTAATTCTTATAACTGTACTAAGTAAGCAGAACAGGAAGTATTCTTATTTTAAACAGGATAAAATTAGGTTTAATGGACGTTTTGAGACTTGATGTAGATGAACTGATGATGGGGGGGAAATTAGAAGGGAATAAGCATTGCCAAGAGAGTCACTGAATAGTCAGGAGGCTGGTAAGGAAGGAGGTATGTGGCTTGTGCACATCTTGTGCTTCAGTTCTCAGAGCTGCTATTAAGCTGCTAACCTTGTTGCTAAACTCAGCTCAAGGATGAGACATAAACATCCTGGAACAACTGCTGCGGGGATACATGTGGACTTGACTTTCCCTTTGTAGTTTTTGCACCCCCTCCATTTGCATATTGGAACTAACCAACCCTTTAACCTAACCAGCAACCCTTCATTTGCATGAAAGAACTACATTTTGTGGTTTTTGTCTTTCTAAACCCTGCCTTTCTTTGTTCTCAGAACTCAGTTTGGGTTGCTCTCTGAATGTGTCTCCCAGATGGCAATCCTTCTGCTCAAATAAAGGTTTTCTTTATTCTTTACTGCAGTCTGAACTTTTTTTTGGTCGACAATTAGAATTAGAATGTAGGTCATTTGACATCAAATCCAGTGGTATAATTCCCATTGAAGAAAGAGCTACATCTAAGTTGTATCTGTTATTATTGAACTGCTTATAGGATTGTGATGGTATTGGTGATTACATAAACTATTTCGAGAGACTTGTAAAACACATTGTGCTGCATACTGTGGTAAATAACATTAACGTTCTCTTATGTGAGAACTTTAACATCATATCCAGCTCTCTTTCACTTCTGGATATACTGGGCTTTGCACTAATTCACATTCTTACAGTATAATAATAAGTAATATAATAAGCACTGCATAATCAGTTCTGACTAATGGTACCTGAGTGTAGGAGATACCTGTCACTTCAGGACCAAAGTAATTAGTTGCTGATATTCAACTCTCTGGCCATCTTGTGTCCTGTCCCTGAGATCATAGAAGCCTCAGCTGAGATAGAGCTTCCAGCAGCCTAGATCCTGGAGTACAATGAATGACCAGAGCTCGCCCTGTTGACCCATATTGGACACATGTAGTATCAATGAGAAATAAACCTTTCTCATTTTATTTACTTATTTATTTATTTACTTACTTACTTATTTATTTATTTATTTTTAAATATATATATTTATTGAGAGTATTACAGATGCCCCCTTTTGTCCCCCATTGACCCCCTCCACCCTGCTCCTGCTCCCCCCCAGGCCTTCACCGCACTATTGTCTGCACCCATCGGTTATGCATCTATACACATAATTCTTTGTTTCTCTTCCCGCCCCCACCCTCATCCCCCTTCCCTCTGAGATTCATCAGTCTGTTCCCTGCTTCCATGTTTCTGAATCTGTTTTGTTCATCCGTTTATTCTGTAAACCTTCCTCATTTTAAATCACTGAGATTTGGGGCTCATTTATTACTAGAGCAAAACTTAGCCCAGGAGTTCAGAGTCGGAGGTGCTTTTGCCTCCAGGGACTATTTCTGCGATGTCTGAAAGCATTCCAGTGGTCACACTGTAGCTGCTAAAGTTACCTGTGTCAAATCCATCAGGACATGCTGGAATTTGGTTATTCCACTCCACATTATCAGATCCTCTTATTAAGATATTTCTTGTAAGAATTCCAACTTCCGCCCTTGCTTCAAACGGCGTTCCATCGGGAAGGGGGACAGTGATCCCTAGGTGTGTGTAACTCAGCGGACTGGCCAGCGTTACGGTCACGCCGTCGGCGGACACAGCCGCCACGCTCTTCTCTTCGTTCTCTCGCTGACTGTGTCTATAAACACGTTAACAGGAACATTTCAAAATTAATGTAAACCAACTTGACATTGTTTTGGTGTATTAGTTGTATGATGTTTAGAATACTTCATCTGTGAAACAACACTTTTTTGTCATACAATATTCTGAAGAGAAATTTGAACGTGGTATTTTATTTTTTTTCTTATAGCAACTACATTTACAGGTGCCTTTCAATGAAGTATTTTCCAGTTGCTACCCTTGTTCACAGAACTGCACTAATTTCTGTAGAACTGTCTTGAAGTGAATCTCAGAGGGGAGGAGGGGGGAGATTAACCACAGAATTTATATGCATATACGCAGAACCCGTGGACACAGACAACAGTGAGATGAAGACCTGGCGGGGTCAGGAATGGGGTGGTAGGTCCATGGGGGACAAAGAGGGGACATCTGTAATACTTTCAACAATAAAGATTTTTTTTTAAAAAAAAAATCTATTCATTTAGAGCATCCCACAGGCAGTATGGAAAAGGAGTTTAGGCTGGGCTCTATTGAATTTCCTTGGATCAAGATGATACAAAGGTTTCTTTAGAAAAGAAGGTACTAAAAAGAATTTTTACATGTTTTGCGTGTTTAAATACTCCTTTCCTTCCTTTGTAATAACAGCTAACACTTACATGGTACTTGCTTTGAGCCAAGTTCTTCTCTAAGTGCTTTACATGTATTAACTCATTTAATTCTTACAGTAATTCCAAGATAGATATTAACAACATTCTAATTTTACTGAAGCCCAGAGAAGCAAAATAATATGACCACAAGCTTAATAAGTGGTATTGGTGGGAGTTAAAGCCAACAGACTGACCTTGAAGTAGTATTTTTAACCAGTTGCTCTCAAATACAAACTCTCAAATAGGGATTACCAATGAAATTGTAAACAATGAATTAGATTTGGTGGGAAAGAACTTAATTATTGTTTCTTAAAACTATTTTTATGTTAAATACTAAACTAACTTTTAATTTTCATTCAGAAAAGCTGTAAGTGAGGACTCTATTCTATTAGTAAGCCCTGCCATTTTGTTGCTTTTTATTTCACCATTGTGTAATTAAAATTTCTTCCAAGGGCAGGAAAAAAAATGGTCACTTTAAAAATAAGCATATATTCTATTCTATTTATTTATTTATTTATTTATTTATTTATTTATTTTGGTACGTGCCCCTAGTGGGAACCGAACCTGGGACTCTGGTCTGCAGGCCAATGCTCCAACCGCTGAGCCAAACCGGCTAGGGCAAAATCAGTATATATTTAAATAAATATATATATATTTAACTCTTTCCAACATCTGCAAGTCTACTTTTAACTTGGTAAATGGCACACTCAAAATGTCATCTTAAATTTTAATTCTAAAATGAGTCACGACCTTAACGTAATTTAGTTCTTTCTTGTCATAAATTACTATTTATTCCCTGATACTCAAAATTTGAACAATAAAGCAAAACTAAAGCTCCTCTTATCTCCCTCCCCCATCAGTATTCTAGTGTAATGTCATTAGCTATATTAGTTTTCTTCCTTTTATTTCTTATTTGCTAAAGTATACAATTAAATGGAAATTGAGGGTCATAAGCAGTTTTGATTATAAAATGTCAGACACCTAATAGGTCATGTTAATCATCACTCATTCCTTAATGATTTCTTCCCTTTTATTTAATAATTTCTAACAATTTTGGTCCATGGGAATCACTCCTGAGACTGTAAGACAACAAAGAGTTGACTTGCAGTTTTCAACATTATTCCTTTGTGACCCCAAACAAAGAAGCATTTACATTTTTGCATTCATTAATGTATTTAGCTAAAGCTCTAAGTCAGAAGTTTTCAAAAGACTTTTAATAGCAGAATGCTTTTCTCAGAGAAAATCTTACATGGGAACCTAACCATATAAAAAAAACCAAAGTATTTTATTAGTACAGTAGGTTCTTGAATAACGTCATTTCATTCAATGTCATTTTGCTATAATGTTGATGAGATGTACTTTGCTATAATGATGATGATGAGCTAGGAACTTCACTCTTGTTTATATCAATTAGTCTATGGTAAAATTTGGTTTCATTGTACATTGTTTTGCTTAAAGTCACAGAACCTATCAACAATATTAAGTGAGGACTTATTTTATAGGTTTAAATTAACAACTTTTCTTATTGTAAATTCAACTAATGAATGAAAACAACACTGGTGAACAATGTTAACATTTGGCAAATACATATTTGGCTGCTTGTGTTTTGTTTTTTAAAAATTTATTGATTGATTTTCTTTTTCAGCGAGAGAGAGGAAAGGAGGGGGTGAGGGAGAGAGAGGCAGACAGAGAGAGACATTGATTTGTTGTTCCATTTGTTAATGCATTCATTGGTTGATTCTTTTATGTGGCCTGGCAGGGGACTGAACCCACAAATGGGGATGATGCTCTAACCAACTGAGCTGCCCAGACAGGACTTCTTCATGGTTCTTGATTAGAAGTTTTACATTTAAATGAAATAGCAGTGGACCTTCTGAATCATCCTCTTTTTCGTAGTTAAAAAAAATTTCTGTTTACGAATCTAAATTATCAGGCCCAGAAGACACCATACCTGTGTCCTGTGCTTGCGATCACAATCTTATCTCCTGGTTTCCATGTCACGGCTTGTTGTAAAATCAAAGTCCTTTCCCCTGCCTGTGCAGTGTGAGCCAAACGAGTCCAGACCACAGGAACAGGACGACCTGGAGCCAACATACCAACCAAGTATTTCTAAAGACATGTTTTCTCGGTTATTGAGAGCTTTATGCATTTTAATCTTTTCCGGGACTGGATCAATTTGAGGAAGCTTCATTACCTTAGCATTTCATAGTTTTCTCACTAAAGAAATACATAGAATGCTTGCTTTGTGCAAGTAACAATAAGGTCTGTAATGACATATGTGGGTCTATAAATTAAAAAAAAAAATCCTTCTGCACCAATATATTCCATTTATGACCATCTTCTTTACATGAACACAATATAAATGTGATATGATACTATTGATAAAACAGGAAGAGGCCTGTTATCTTTGTTGAAAAATTGCTTAAAATGATAATCTAGAGACAAAACGTATAACTTTCTGAAAATTCCATTACTGTACATATTTAACACAATGCAGGGCATTTATGATCATAGTGTGGTACCATGTTTATATATCCTAAATTTTTAAAGAGACAGATTATGGCAATATAAAAGAGAACACCTGTGTTTCCCTTAAAAAAATAAGGTAACCTAATACCTCAAACATGACCAAAATCATTGCTATTTGCTCATAATTTTTTAGAATATAGTTATATAAAAGTACAACTATAAATTCATAGTTAAATTTCTGGAATAACTCATAAACAATCAGTATAAACTGCGGTGTGTGCTGAATTAGGCAAAAGATATTAAGGGAGCACATGAAAAGGATCAGAAAAGGCCCAGAAGGTTTCCCCAAGAGCGGCCTTGGTTGTCAGTCTTGGTCCTATGCAGGGCTGGCCAGGCCCGCGTAAGCGAGGGAAGAGTCAAGGGAGTAAAAAGGGAACGTATAAAGAGAGAAAGTTATCAGCATGATTATCGCAGGTTTCTGGCCAGTCTCCCCAACCCATTCCGTGAGCTCTTCAGGCCCCGTACCGTGTAGATCCAGGACTCCCTCGCGCACAGCCAGCGTTTTGGCACCATACACCGGGAGCTCAGGAGACCGCAGGTGCCCATGCAAGGTGATGACGGCTTTGTGTTGAAATGGAGATGCTTCGGTCCCAACCTGCGGGGATTTCACAAGCACCATCCAGAAAGTTAAAACTCAATATCCACAATTCTAATCACTCAAAAGGAATGTTTTCCTTTTCTCCCTTTTCTTTCAAGAATTGATGACTCAGTTGTATCTGTCTTCCAAAAGATTAACCTTAAATTTGCTGAACAGCCAAATATGCTATGCCAGATTTTTGCAAAGTGCACTGATTGACTTTAGCCCCATCTCAGAATTGTTTTTTTCCTGCTCTATTTTAAATTCTGCTCTATTACAATATGCTATTATCATCTCATTAAAAGCACAAGGATGCTGTGGAACTTTGCCCCAGATAAAGGATTTTAAACTAGTAACAGAGATCTATAAAAAGATAAACTTGTGAGACTTTGGTATAATTAACTATTTTACACTTAGTATTTTATTATTATTATCATTATCATTATTTATTGTTGACTCTATTACAGATGTTCCCTCTTTGCCTCCCTCCACCCTGCCCCTGCCCCACCCTAGGCATTCACCACTTCATTGTCTGTGTCCATTTTTTAAAATAAATGAAGACAGGTTATCAATGACTGTATCTCAGATTCTCTTGTATACCTGAAGAGTGCCTCCATCTGTAATTAGAATATTTTCTGCCTGGAGTTCAATGTCAGCTTCATCAAACATTAGAGTTCCACCTAGGGGGCATACAATTTTGAAATATGTCACAGAGTAAATTAATATCAAAAGCTATTTATTCAATTATACATTAAAAATTAAATTCTTATTCTTATCTGCTATCACTCTGCATGCCACTTCACTTTAGCTCTTTGGTAACGTAAAATATAAAAACTTCAGACAAGACCCAGGAAGTTGTAGAAAATCAAATCCCAGGGCAGGTTTTTTTTCTCTTGCCTATTGGTTATTTTAAATATTATTAAATAGGCATCCAAGTGAATTCTAGTCCTACAAACACAGGACCACAAAATATAAATGAGAATGAAAACAATAAAAAGTAAAGAAAAGTGGCTGGCTGGTGTGGCTCAGTGGATTGAGCATTGTCCTGTGGGCTGAGGGGTCCCAGTTGGATTCCAGGTCAGGGCACATGCCTCCGTTGCGGGCTCCCTGCAGGGGGCGTGCAGGAGGCAGCCAATTACTGTTTTTCTTTCACATCAATGTTTCTACTTCTCTCTCCCTTCCTCTCTCTCTAAAAACAAATCAATAAAAACATATTTTTTTAAAAAGTAAAGAATAAGTACTTTTTATAGAAACTATTATAAGGCCAACATTAACTGAACTTTTATCCACTAATTTGCAACAGCAACCGCTATGGCCTAGCTAGCATTATTAATGACAGTACTGTGATACATTTTTTATGACTGATGTAAATTTGTGGACAGAAAGCTTGTCCAAGGGTCCAACAGTTAATAACTTCAAATAACTAAAGCACTGCTATTATCCCAGAATTTAAAACAGAAACAAAATACAAAGGTCTTGGAGCAGCTAAAACCACATGGCAACATTTATACACTAAAACCCAGAGTATTTTACTCTTGACAGTGATTTCTTTTACATGCAATTGTAACTGTTCTAGTTACTTAGTTTTCTATAGTTAAGACGGAATATCAAGAACCAGAGAGAACTCCAGATAACAATGAAAGCAGGTTCAAAGGTATAAGTAAACCCTGGCTGGCATGGCTCAGTGGTTAGGGCATTGAACCCCATGCACAAAAGGGTTGCGGGTTTGATTTCCAGTCAAGAGCATACACCTGGCTTACGGGTTGGATTCCTGGTCAGGGCACATGCAGAAAGCAACCAATGGATGTGCCTCTCTCACACTGATGTTTCTCTCTCTCTCCCTCCCTCCCTCCCTTCTACTCTCTCAAAAAAATCAGTCTGGCCAATGTGGCTCAGTGGTTGAGCATTGACCCATGCACCAAGAAGTCACCGGTTCGATTCCTAGTCAGGGCACATGCCCAGGTTGTGGGCCAAATCCCCAGTTGGGAGCATGCAGGAGGCAGCCAATCAATGTTCTTTCTCATCAATGATTCTATCTCTCTCTCTCTCCCTCTCACTTCCTCTCTCTGTAAAATCAATAAAAGAAAAAAAATTAAAAAAAAAAAAAAACCAATGAGAAAAACATTTTTGGATGAAGATTAACAAAACAAAACAAAAGGTGTAGGAAAGAACCACAACCTGGTACCCAAGGGGGTCACTTAATACAAATTTCTATGATTTCACAACCCCTGGGACCCACTATACTAGTGTTTTTCTAAATGGGAAATACCTCTTACTGTTGTGATCCTCTGCGAGGATATAGGCAGGCACATGTGAACACGCGCGCGCACACACACACACACACACACATGGTTACTGAAACAAAAGTTTCATAAAAATAACATTTAGCTTTAAAAGATGGATGCTTACTCATGTAAATGCTATACTCTGATATTTTCTGTTGTGTTTCATTAAAACATTCTGGTTATAGTATTCAATAATTTCATGCCACAAACGGACTGTAATACATATAAGAACTCAGTTCAATACTTCATACTGAAAACATGATACAACTATGGATGTTTATAATAATGAGTTTCGATTAAATTAACCTTAAAGAAATATTCTACAGAAGGAGTCTAATAAGCAAATTTTCAGAAATTTACCCTGAATAAGCAACATTTTCAGAATAGGGGTATTTTGATCCAGCAAAATTGTCTGTCCTTTTGTAATGACAACCAGTGACCCTTCCTCTGGAGGAGGTTTTCCTCCCCAGGAGAAGTTGGAGGACCAAGCATCAACATACAGGAAGTCAGCATTACCCTGCAACAGAACATGAAAAACTCTTAAATGTTGATGTTTTATCAGAATTCTTCATTCAACTTCTGAAAAAAAGAAGAAATAAAAAAACAATAAACATTTTCGTTACTAATAAGTATAACCTACTTTGGATATTTTAGAGTTGCCTGTTGGTTTATTTCATAGGAATAATAAAGTGAAAAACCCATTACCAATTACCCCACAATTAAATTAAATAATTAAAAATCTGGCCCTGGCCAGTTTGGCTCAGCAGTTAGAGCGTCGGCCTGCGGTCCGGAGAGACCCGGTTCGGTTCCCGCTAAGGGCACGTACTTCGGTTGCAGTTTGTCCCCGGCCCTGGTTGGTCGAGCGGGTGGCAGCCACTCGATGTGTCCCTTCAAGTCGATATTTCTCTCTCTCGCTCTCCCTTCCTCTCTCTCTCTCCCACTCTATCTGTACAAAAAATGGAAAAATATCCTCGGGTGAGGATAAAAAAAATAATAATTAAAAATCTGAAACAATAAAATTCTAGTAATAAGCAAAAAAACTATAACCTACCTTAAATATATTATAGCCATAGCTTGGTTATTTTGGGGAGACATTAACAAAGTAAAGAGTTCATTACCAATCACATCGCCTCCCAGATGTTATTTCTTCTCTCGCTGTGGTTACTACACCCAGCAGCATTCTCACCCGTCTGGCCATGCCCACGCTTCCAACGGCGACGTGCACAGGAGCCCACCCTGAAGGAGTGTGCGCATTTGTCATGCAGATGATACATGTCTTGTTGGAATATTCAACATCACATTTGGCTTCAGCTATGGTGACGAGAACATCCTGTATATTTTCACTGTAAAGAAAAGGGGGCGAAACAAAACATTAATGGTTTTCTCCAATGTCTAGGTCACATATGCATTACAGCAAAACAAATGATCTTACCCTACGGTTCATCAAAGTGCAGATTGATACTTCTGTCAGTAGTAAGGCTTCAAAATATTTGTTCAGAAAAAAAGGAAACAGAGCACCAATATAACTGTACAAACTAGAAAGTATTCTCATGTTGGAGAAATTGGCTGAGCTCAATTAATTGAGAAATCCCTTGTTGGTCTCCAAGCAGGCACCTTTGTAAGAGACTTTCAGGGATCATTTTGTCTATGTGACATTTTCATCATATTCACAGACTTTAGAACTTCATCTCCAAGTAAAATTTCAAATCCAAGGTAGTTATAAGTACTGCAGGAATTAAAATTGCCTTCTGTGATTTGAATGAGCTGACTTCAGTCAGCCTTATTCACTTAAATGATGAAGCAATACATACATTTGAATTAAATGATGAATATTTTCAGGAAAAAGGAATCTGACCAGTTTCAATGAAACGGTTCTGATGCATGAAGAGATGTTTCCATGACACAATGAAGCAGGTCATGGTTGGAGATGAGATATTGAGGAAAATATAACAAGGTGATTTATACATGACATTACTAGGATTTTGGACAAGTTATTTATCCTTTATAATCTTTGTTTCTTAACCATAAAATGGGATAAAATATCTAACAAGGCAGGACATGTCAATGGGGTAGAAGGTGCCTGGCACAGATTAAGTACTCAAAATGCTAGCTGTTAGTATTAGCATGCGCTTCAAGCATGACTTTTGAGCATGGCTATATTTAAGCACTGTCCTGGCACACGAGAAAGCAGGCATGATGGCTTGAGTCTGGAAACAGGCACTGATGGATGTACACGTAAAGACAATACCTGAAGCCTGATCCCGTGACTGTTAGTCTGGTGCCCCCTGCTGTACTGCCTCTCCTGGGAGATATTTTAGTGACGAGCGGAGTCAGTGACAAGGTGTACACGAAAGGAGTTGTGGACTGTGATGAATCCTTCCCATTGACCACACTCACTTCACAGGCTTGCTCTGGTCCCCCGTCTATGAGAAGAGAGTGGAACTGAGTACAGTTCTGCCATTAGGACCTATTCATTTCCAAAACCCCCACACATGTTCTATTATTTTTTAATTTAAATTTTATTTTTCAACTACAGTTTACATTCAGTATTATTTGGTATTCATTTCAGGTGTACAGCATAGAGGTTAGACAGTCATATACTTTAGAAAGTGTTCCCCCAACATTTCCAGTGCCGACCTGGCACCATATGCAGTCATCACAATATCACTGACTATATTCACTATGCTGTGCTTTACAGCCCTCTACCTATTCTGGAGCTACCGATTTGTACTTCTTAATCCCTTCACCCATCCTCCAACCTGCCCTCCCCTCCTCTGGCAACCACCAGTCTGCTCTCTCTGTGAGTCTGTTTCTGTCTTGTTTATTTCATTCTTTAGATTCCACATATAAGAGAAATCATATGGCATTTGTCTTTTACTGTTTGGATTATTTCACTGAGAATATTATACTCTAGGTCCTTCCATGCTTTTTCAAATGTTAAGATTGCATTCTTTTTTATGACCAAGTAATATTCCATTGTATACATGTACCATGGCTTTTTGTACCCACTCATCTATTTTTGTGTGTGGAAATATTGATGATAGCCATGTAAACCAAACATTGTTCAATAACATCTTCCTTTTCCCCAAATCACTCTCACAGGCTATAGGTGAAGTAAAAAATATCTCTAGCAATTGCCAAAAACATCACAAGGTTTATATATATTAGCAACAGGGGAAAAAGTCCTCAGCTCCTCCCTCAGAGCCTCTCATTGAAGGTAACTCTACAAACCTGCCTGTTTCGCTCTCCAGGCCTAGAGGAGCCAACATGGCAAATTAGAGCAGGAAGAAAGGAAACAGTGCTAAGGGCAGGCACTCTGACAACAGCAAGGAGCGGCTGCTGAATGCAAGGAAAGGGACAAAAACACGACGGAAATCCAATACAAAGACATAAAAAGAAGAGCTAGTGTTAAGATAAGCATCCTGAAAAACTTAATAAATCTCGACAGCACTGCATTAACAAAAAACATCAGGATATAAACTTTGATGCTAAAATGATAAATAAGCCCAGACACCAAAATATTACATTTTCTTCAGTATTCTTTGATTAAGAAGTCAGTGAAAGATACCAAAATGTTTAGAAAAGCTTCATCAAATTTTGTTAATGTTTTAAAAAATGTTTGTACATAAAACATACTTTCTATTCTAGAATATTTCCTTTGGTTCTTAGATTGTGTTAGATAATTAAAAACTGTTGTGCATGTAAAATAGCAGATATTTAAACTTTACAATAGTCCATCAAATTAGTGTTAATAATATCTCCATTTACTAGATGGAGAAACTGAAGCAGAGAGGAGTTAAGTTACTCAGTTAAGGTGACACAGTTAATAAGTGGCAAATAGATTCAGGGGCTCCTCACAGCCCAGCTCTTAACTGTTTGGGAAAAAAAAAGAATCATAATAGCAAATTATGTTAACATATTTCAGGTATCATTCCATCCACTTTACTTATTAAACCTCATGATAATTCTATAAAGTAAGCCAATGTCTTATTCTTACTTCACAGATCAAGAAACTGAGACACAGTGAAATTGAATAACGTGCCCAAAACACAGTTTGGGTCTGCCTCTTGGAAATGCACTACAAGAGTTTACACTCATAACTATTACACTGTCCTATCTTCAAGGGAAATCTATTACTCCAATAGGAACTAAAAATGTCTTCTCCATTTGGCGAGCTTAATAAACTAAGAGCCATCAGCTTATGTGATAAACCAAAACAGCTCTTTATGTACTTTATTGTAAACAATTCAATGAACCCAAATGTTATGAATCTTGAAACACATATACATGTCAAAAATAAATTCTGAGGAAATTGCTTAAAATCAGGACAGTTAAAACTCAATTGCCCCAAAGAACACAAAAATTGGGAAAAAAGAAATGCAGTCGCTGATCTTAATAAAATTAACCATTTCTTGAAGACTGCCATTCTTTTTTCTGACAACTTACCATTATTAGGTGGAATTTTACATAATAATGTTGTGTAATCAGATTTATGCCCATCAACTGCACATTCTGAGCCGCATACTAATATTTTGGAATTTTGTGGGTTAAACCCAGTGCCTGTCACAGTCATGGTCTGACCACCACCGAAGCTCCCTAGTGAAGACACAAAAAAGGGAAAAACAAAGCTGATTAAAAGATAACCTCTTCTATGTATATATTTTTAACATCTGAAATTTAACTTCATTTTTAACATCTGAAATTGAACTGAAATTAATGTAAAGATTCTCATAAGTGAAATTATATTTATATTATACTACAGTATATTAATGCAATTGAATCTCTTTCTATTGTGATGTTTTAAATCTTCACTGGTCATTTATTTAAACTAGTAGGAACTACATTTTTTTTAATCCTCACTTGAGGATATTTTTCCCCCCATTTATCTTCAGATAGGGTGGGAGAGAGGGAGAGAAAGAGAGAGAGAGACAGAGAGACAGAGAGACAGAGAGAGACAGAGAAACATTGATGTGTGAGAGAGACACACCAACTGATTGCCTCCCACACGACCCTGACCCGGGCTGGGGACCGAACTGCAACCAAGGTACATGCCCTTGACTGGAATCAAAGCTGTGACTCTTTGGTCTGCGGACAAATGCTCTAACCACTGACCTAAACCAACCAGGGCGGAACTAAAATTTTTAAAAAAAGAGATATCACAAAGGATTTCAGAGCAGTAAAAACATGAATGCAAAATTACTGTTGAATACATTGTTTATACTTTCATAAGATTTTTAACAATTAAGATAATTTTCAAATAGAAAAATATATGTATGTAGACAATTACAAGCCAGTGATGTCTAAACATGATTTTAAAAGAAATTTTTACATATAACCTGGCCATTTTAAGTAGGGTTAACTCTTAAATAAATTATATAGCACTAAGAGAAATACAGGCATTAAACAGATATTTTGAAATGATTAATTAATGCCTTTGCATGCTTTTTGTATTTGATGCATAAACAAAAATATTTGAAACTATTTTTTTTTCTTTATTGAATTTAGAGAGAGAGAAAAGGAGAGGGAGAGAGAGATAGAGACATCAATGAGAGAGAACATCAATTGGCTGCCTCCTGCATGCCCCCGACTGGGGATTGGGCCCACAACCTGGGCATGTGCCTTGACTTGGAATCAAACCAGTGATCTCTTGGTGCATGGGTCGATACTCAACCACTGAGCCACAATATCCAGGCTAAACAGAAATATTTTTAACTTGTTAAAAGAACTACAAATTTTAGCAGTGTTTGAAGAGTGATTTTTCCCCTAAGTAAGGTAAGTGTTTACTGAAACAATATATAATATTTGTAGGTTCCTGCACACTCCAGACTACCTTGGCTTGGATGAATATTTTGAATGGCAAGTGGGTACTCAAATACAACTGTGGACACAGCAGAGCCTTTTGTCTCATGATGCATCATAACAGGAAACGTGCCACCAGCGTGATCTCCAACGATGCATTGCAACACACTATCATTGACCATGGTTACATTACACTGAATATTATTTATCATCACCGAAATTTCCGAGATGTCAATACCAAAATTAGATCCAGTGATCTGAATTTTGGTTCCTGGTGGACCTTTAAAAAAAAAAAAAAGCAAACAATATAAATATATCTAAATTCAAATACAGATGCATTTAAGATATACCTATTTAATTTAATAAACAAAATAGCCAGTATTAAAAAACAGATATAAATATTAACAAAACATGTTGTATCATATACATCCTAGTTTATAGGATATTAACTATAATTTATGACAACATTCATTACTTTCAAGCCTCTTCTGTCCATTCTATTGAGTTGTAAGTTATTAATTCATGCTAGTGGAGAAGATAGGACAAGAGAAGCCAGATCTGGCGTTAAAAAGTATGAATTTTTGAGCAGGGGCTGGTTGCGAGAGGGGAGTATATTTTAGGAATGGGCTTACTGTTTTTATTTTTGGTATTTTCCATAGGTGATCCAAATGACCTACATACCTAAGTATTAAGTGAGTGGATATTAAGTAACATAAATTGTTACAAATGCAGAGTCACCAAGTAGTAGTTAAATTTTAATTAAAATGTTAATAGTAAAATTAACTGTATAACTGACCATAGTAAAGATCACTAAAAATACATTGTGGTCATTTTAAAGACCACTGATGTTTATGAGATCTTTAATGTTAGGAATAACTTTAAGGTACAAACTAAAATCTTTTTGGGGTCTTAAATTTTGAATTTTATCTAGCATTTTCACCTTTCAAGTGAAGTGCTGTTTTAAGTGTGATCTACTGCCTTGTCTCTTCAGTAAATAAAATACCTCAAGTCTTACTTTCTACATGTCTTATATCTTCAAATACAATGTTTTCACAGAGAGATGAAACACAAATGATTCATGCAAATAAAAAAAATATGCCAAAGCTAGTTCATCATTTGCAATGACTACAAATACATGGCGGGGGGGGGGGGGGGAGGGGTTATGTCATTGCTATTGTTAATGTTTACTTTTTAAAAAATAAGAAAACTCGATACATCAAAGAAAATTTCAATAGCAAAGTTCTTGAAGGCAGAGAATACATATTATCCAACCTGAACACATTTGTAATGTAAACTAAAAAATACTTTTTGTAAAGGCTAACATTTAATGAGTTCTTTATTAAAGGTACCATTCTAAGTTTATCATATCAATGATGTGCAGTTTCATCAATGGGAAGAAGGAAAAAAAAAACAAGATTTGAACCCAGGCATCAAGATCACGTTCTCAGCCATTCCACTACAGCTGCCTTTCCAGAATGTGTTACATAGATGATGAGCATTCCAACAGTTTCAAGATGACCAGAAATAGCATAACATAATGACAAAGGATCAAGAAGACATCTCAGTCTTAGTTTAGAAAAAATAACATGCTCAATAATTAAGTAAAAATTTATTTAATATTGTTTTCTAACTGAATGTTCTAATCCTTTGAAAGGATTCTGTTGTGTTCATAAGTTAATAATCAATTATAGTTTCATAGCAACAAGGCATTCCAAAAATGTTTCTATGTTAGTAAGATCAACTACTTGCGATTTTTTTTTTTATCCTCACCTAAGGACATTTTTCCATTTTTTGTTCAGACAGAGCAGGAGTGAGAGAGAGGATGAGAGAGAGAGAGAGAGAAACATCCACGTGAAAGGGACACATGGAGTGGCTGCCACCCACACGACCCAACCAGGGCCAGAGACCAACTGCAACAGGAAACCGAACCCTGGTCTCTCTGGACCACAGGCTGACGCTCTAAAAATATGGAACGCTTCACAAATTAGCGTGTCATCCTTGCGCAGGGGCCATGCTAATCTTCTCTGTATCGTTCCAATTTTAGTATATGTGCTGCCAAAGCGAGCACAGCTACTTGTGAATTTTAACAGGTGTTTTCTGTGCTATCTCAATCAACATTAGTGACATAAGTGAATTACCAATTTTAGTCCATAGCTATCTATCTATTTCTCTTTCATTTTGAAATTTAGGTCAGCCCTGCCCAGTTTGGCTCAGCAGTTAGAGTGTCTGTCCATGGACCAGAGAGTCCCGGGTTCAGTTCCCACTAAGGGCACGTACCTCAGTTGCAGTTTGTCCCCAGCCCCAGTTGGGGTCGTGTGGGTGGCAACCACTTGATGTGTCTCTCTCACGTCAATGTTTCTCTCTCTCTCTTCCTCCTTCTCTCCCTCCCGCTCTATCTGAAGATAAAAATGCAAAAAAAAAAAAAAAAAAAAAAATTAGGTCAAGTTAATGGTGACTCTGTTTCAAAATAGAAATTGGAATTTGATTAAAAATGTTATGCCAAGAATGTGCAAACAAAAAAATCACAAAATAGAGACTACACAGAACTTAAATCCCATGTATTAATTGGTTTAAATGGGATTGTCTAAAAATACAACTTCTATGCTGAAAAGTATTACCAATAATACATCAAGACAATAAAAAGGTGGGTATTGGAGTACCTGTGCTTGGAACAACTTCTCTGAGCAGCGGTGTGTCCTCCGCGGCATATGTAAATGGCAGAGGCGGATAAGCTACCACGTTCACAAAGACCGTCACATTGACTCGTCCAGCGGTTCCTGCTGGGGTGCGGCAGTAGACTTCACTGGAGTTGACAGAAATAATTCGACAAGGTTCATCCCCCACAGTGACGGTGGTGTTGCCTGGATAGAAGCCATTTCCTGTGATCACCAAAGTAGTTCCACCACCAATGCTTCCAGAATTTGGTGTGACGGATGCTACTGGCGGGCTGCTAACACTCAGGTTTCCCAGAGCCAAGCCTTTACTTCCCACCACAACACTAACGGGATGGAACCCAGCTGGGAGGGGAGTGACAAGGACACTGATGTTGTTTTCATGAACATCTATTGCTCGGAACTGTTGGTTTCCAATGAAAACAGCAATGTCCTCCAAGATAGTGCCAAAACCTTCTCCTTCAATAAGGACTATAACAGATCCCCTGATAGAATTTGGAGAGACTCTTGTTATAAAAGCAGCGATGCTTTCTACGTATGAAAAGCTGCAGTTCCCCTGACACCGGGCAGGCACTCCATGGATTAGAACCTGTATGGTCACAAGCTGCTGGGGAGCAGGAGATGTTTCACATTCAATGGTTGTATAATTCACTGATAGAACTCTACATGGAAAATGACCCATAAGGACCTCGATAGCTGCAGAAGAAACGGAGAATCCAGAGCCTTTTATGGTTACTTTTGACATTCCTGTGGTTGATCCTGCATTTGGCAACACCATATCAATGTTTGGCAAAAGTACAAATCGCCTATCTAATTCATTGGACAGGGTGTTGACAGCAATGCCCAGGTTGTAGACAGTTACAGTGACAGTTTCCCTGATGCCAACATCCATTGAGTTTTGAGGGTCAATATGACATACCATGGAATTGGTACTACTTTCTTCTACGACACAGGGGTAGCTACCAATTGTAACCTGAAAGTAAGATGAATATAAAAATAGGTCAATACATTTCTCTAACACAAACTTAAATACTGTATTATCAGCAACTAAATTTTTAAAATCACCGAAGTGCAAATTTTTATGCATAAAGTTGATTTTGGGGACTGATTAAAACACATCTTGGATTAATCTTAAAACTAAATCATGACTGTCCGTAAATGTTCATAGCTACATTATTCATAATAGTAATAAAGGTGACTACAACTCAAATGTCCATGACCTGGTGACTGGTAAATAAAATGTCTATGCCAGACAATGGAATATTATTCAGCCACAAAAGAAATGAAGTTCTGCTACATGGTACAATGTGGATGAACCTTGCTTGAAAACAATATACTTCGTGAATAAAGCCGGTCACAAATGACATAGTGCATGATCCTATATACAGGAAATGATCAGAATTGGCAAATCCAGAGACAGAAAGTAGATTAGTGGTTGCTCGAGGCAGGGAGGTACGGAGGGGTTGGGAGTAATGTCTAAGTATTGTGGGGTTCCTTTTGGGGTAATAAAATATTCTAAAATTGACTGGGTGATAGATGCATAACCGTGAATATACTAAAAGCTATTGGATTATGCACTTTAAATGGGTGATTTGTATGTTATGTGGATTATATCATAATAAAGTTGCTAAAAATTAAAGTATGAGGTTATGAACAAAATGTCTTCCTTTTATTGAGTATATAGAAGTAAAAATGAGATCTTTATGGTCTTACCTTATTAGCACATGTGAGATTACTGAAGCCTTGTCCAGTAATCGTTATCAAGTCATTCACTGTTCCGGTAGATGGACTAATGCTGTTTATAGACGGTGAAGAACACCTTGACAGCTCAAAGAGCAATCTGTCTGAGTTTTTAGCCCCGGCGTTGTTCAGGCCACACAGGGGTTCTGTTGCTAGGCAGCCTGCCACAGAGCTTCCCAAGTGCACATTCAGAGGTTCTCCTTCAGACAAAAGAACTGCCTATAAGTCATGGATCATATTCTAAAATAAGAACTGTTTTCAGACTGCATTACTCTTTATGTTGACCACAGTGGTTTATATTCTGGTAAACCGTTTTTTGTTTTTTTTTCTTCTTAAAGACAAGAGGGGCCCAGGCAGTACAAAGTTAAAAGAAAGACCTGGACAATGATGATACGGGAAAGAGTGAATATAAAATTAACTTATTTTTCAATTTATCTAAGGCCAGATCCCATGGAAAAAATAAAACAATAACATCACCTCACATTCTAATGTATTTTCAGGCATATACAGAATATCAGAACTTTTTTATACTGTATCTTATTGTAGGCACACAGGATTCTGGGAGGACAACATTAATATGATCAGTATTTTGTAGAATACGTTCCAACCTCAGACTGGTCTAGACCTATTCAAGGTCATGTGGCTAGTAAGAGATAGAAGCAGGATTAGACCCAGTTATCTGCCTCCTACTCCAGAAATGTCAAATATATCTGGGTCACTGGAGTAATGGGCTATCCATCTTTAATTCTTACCCTGAGTATATGTGGCTTCAGTGCTACCCACAAACAGGTGCAGGGGAATTTGCCTGGTTTCAGCCGGTAAAACGTTAATGACTCCTTGGAGAAAAATGGACTGAGCTTCATCAACATACCCGCTGCTATAATAATGGATTCCAGGCGAAGTAAATTGGTAAGAAAATGAACCTGCCATAATATAAGATTGTATATAACAAATACAAGCAATTAATGCACCTATGAAAAGAAGTTTGAAATGATCATTCAAATGCCCATGCAGATGACAGGCTTCTTATTTTTCATGCATATGATATTTCAACAGAAAGTAAGGAAATGACTGGCTAGAAAGAGCTATCTCGCATAACGAAATTACATTCCAGGAAGACAAGATCCAGCGTTAACTTTTCTAGAAAAGCCATGTCAAATCTGGCATAACTTACCAAATTTTAAAGAACAACCCAACATGGAATGAACAATAAATGAATAATACTTAGTGTTCAGGAGTAAAAAGTTTCAGACTGCTACATGTACAGAACAAAATAAGCAGTCTACAAGGCACACTTTACAGAGTTGTCTTAAAATAAATACTTATTTCAAAGTTAATTCCAATCAACAGAATTTCATTATATGTTAGCAAATGGGTATGACTTTTAAAAATTCCAGTTTTCTTTGTATTTTGTTTGTTTCTCTCTATATATATTTTTAGTTGGTTTATTCTGGAATTCAGAAAGATGTTTTTAGGTATCAGAAACTCATCACCAATGTATACAATACCTTGCTTACATTCACTTATAATATGTCATGAATTTGTAAATTTTTATTACAGCAATGAAGTACCAACTAAATCATTTTGTATATTTGTATATGTCATTTATGCAAATGTATTTAAATCTAAACAAAATAAATATCTTTCTATTATATCGAGAAAAAATGAGCATGATGTAAAACTCAGCAAAGTAGAAACATACCTGCTGCAGATTTTTCTCTTCCATTCATAAATCCTTTGCCATCATAAGTTACACTTGCAGGACTGGAGACAGAGAAAACTCTATATCCGATTCCCCTAAGAAATGGATGTGCTTGCCAGTACCATGTCACTGTGTCTCCCACAGACACATTTAAGACTGATGGTGACCAGGCATAACCTAATCCATGTACTGGGAGCAAAAACTGAGTCACATTTTATAAGAAAAGGAGTAAAAATTCTTATAATTTTCTTTGAAAATATTACATTTTTATAATCGTGAAATCTTTTAAAATAACACTGTAAAACTTTTATGTGCATCATTTAAACATGTAACAAAAATAAACAGAAATAATAAAAATTAAGGACAGAAGCTAAGAAAAAAATAAACCATACAAATAACAAAACTGATGATCAAGGGACAATCTGAAAATAATCAGAAAGTCAATAAACACATTGTTCAGAAATATCACATGAAATATTTTTTAAAGCTGAATAATTCTTTAAACATAATTTTTCTCAGGCATAGAGGCATACAAAAATCTACATAATTTCAGTGTGAGTATTCATTAAGAAATCCATGACTGATAAGAAACTAGAGTAATCCAGGGCGTTCTGTATGCAGTAAAATCAATCAGCAATTACTGAACTTGGAGATTAAAACCTGGCCCTTCGATTCACTCTCTGTGGCCCTGTATGTCAAGGGGATGCCATTGACAAATTATAGAAATAAACAACAATAGATATCCTTGGAGAACTTTGAAATATAAAATAAATAAAAGCCAAATTAATTTCAAGCTAAGTGCTTCCATTATATACACTATATAAGTGTTGGCTGTACCTGAATCTTCCCCATCGTTGGTAATCCTGAATACATTCCCTGTTGAAGAAAGAGTACATTTTATGACATCCGAGGAGGATGATGTCACACTGCAAGGGAAGAACCCTAGAAAGAATAAAGATGGGGTTTAAAAACTCTCAAATATTTTTTTGAACTATAGAAATAAAATATAATTACTAAAAAGTCAAGGCCCTACAACAACTCCACATTAGGTAGTAGTAGGCTGTTGGTACATTTTTCTGATAGTAATCATGCTTGAGTCTTGCTTATTTTTATAACAGACACCTTTGTCTTTTTAAGCATTTTGTACACATGAAATATACAGTCATCATTTATTGAAATAAAAAGCAGTTACTCAGTTTCCTTTCACCACCTTAACCAAATACACGTGAACTTTTATACACGAATAGGAAGGTAAAGCTTCCATGATTGAGAACATTTCTGTAATGACTCAGCAACTACAGCACATCCTTTAAACTAGGAAAAATGAAGCAACCCTCCTGCGAGGATGGAATAATCTTACCTATGCGCACGGTGTTCTCAGTGGGTATGGTACTAAACCCCAGACCCATTACAGTGATTTCAGTTCCCCCATATAAGGAGCCTCTCTGTGGAAACATCTTGCTCACTTCCAAAATATACTGTATAGAAGCATTTAACCTGTCTCTGCAAAAGAAAAATTAACAGAAGTTTCAATGGTTTATGTTGTTAAACTTTTTACTAGCATATGATTCATTTAAGAAGAGAAAGTAACTGAAAATATACACTTTTTCAAACTAATCTGATAATTATCATGCACCGCCATTGGATTGGATGGTATATAGATAATAGATTTTCCTTAACTATTCCTATTGGATTTCTGAAAATCCCATGGTAGTAGAATTTCAGGCACAATATTGTAAAATATTGTGGGAAAAATATGGTTATGAGAACTGAGGTCCCAAAAAAGACATAAAATCCTTTAAAATATTTTATATTTTCATTAGAGTAAAACATAAAGGCAGCAGTATGTATAAAAAAGAATAGCAATGAAATTTCATGTTTTATGAGTAAAAAAAGTTTTGTGCAATTAATTTGAATTTATCATTCTGTGTTTGTTAGAAATTTGTCCTGCTCTCTCTCTTCTAATTATTATTTCAATGAGAGGATTTAAATTATTTTGCTTTGTTACAATGTGTCCACTAAGAGTTCATAGAAACATACAGTGCTTTCTGACCTGAAACAGAGTTGACACACATCCCAGCTCTTACCACAACCTGAATGAGTCTTTGTGTTAATTTTTGTTTAACTTCCTCAGCATAACAAAATTGTGAACAGCTACCCTGTCAATGTGCTGTAAATTCTGCCCAGTGTATCATTTTGCCAAAGCACAAGCCAGTAGCGTTTCCAGAACCCATGTGAGCTCTGCTCTTTGAGTCTTAGAGGGGATGTAGCTCCGAGGTCTATGTTTACAGTTGCTCATCTTCCTTCACCTCCCACAAGACTTCGCTGCAATCATTTCTCCTTCCACTCTGACATCAGCTTTATTTGCATTTTCTTAATCATTACATTTATGTTTCCTCTTTTTTTCCCTAAGTATCCTAAACCCATAACTTCCTATGCTAGAACTAAAATTTTACCAGTTTACAAACAGCTTTTGGGGAAGAAAATACTAGACACTTAAAGGAAAGTTAGAGTTGGAGAAGTACTCTGTCCACCCTCTCCTTCACATGACAAACACCTACCCATTTTTGACTTGTCACCGTTTTAAAGAACTCTTCCCTTTTCCTCTGGAAAAGTTAGCTCTCTTTATGACATACTCTTACAGCACTTGGTAGCTCTTTTCATAGCCTTTTTCACATGTATAATTAAGTTAGTAATGTAACCCTGCTTGAAATCTGCCTCCCTAACAAAATTGTGGCATCACTAGCAATGGGAGACATGTCCCTTTTATTCTTCATGATGAGTCCAGCCCTGAGCAAGTGCCTGCCCCCTAGTAACTGCTTCATAAGTATATTCAGAATGAATGAAAGTCACATGACATACGCAAACCTAGTTCTACAGAGAATTTTACAACCTAATCTGAGTGGTGATGGTCTCAAAACTAAGAATCATATGTGTTTACAAGATATTCTCAGAACTTTTTGCAAAAGGAGATGTAGAAAGGTAAAGAAAGCAACTAAATATAAGGTTAATGACAATTTCTTTTCTCATCCTTATACTATCAGCCCACCTGTTACAACGCCACCAAGTTTATGTTCATTGCCGTACCTTGTCGATGCAAACCCCCAGTTTGTGACTTCTACACAGATGTCATGTCTTCCAGGAGACAACTTGGGCAAAAGGCATCTGATGTCAGTGAAGTTCCAGTGAAGAACCTGGCAGCGTTTTCCTCCAACATACACCTCCACTCTTCGAGTGAGTTCAGTTCCAAAGTTATAACCCTTGATTGTTAAATTAACTTCTCCTATTATTTAAAATAAAAAAGTTTTACAAAAAGGTTCAACTTATTATGCAGTGTGCAATTTGCATATTAAGCAAACCAACTCATCTCTTTCACTGGATTTAGGAAATCCTAATACTTTCAGAGGCAAGAAAAAAAATCAATGCAAGAGCTGACAGCTGCAACATAGAGATAAAATTCATGTTTAATTGTTTCACGGGGGGGAAAAGATAGCAAAGTGCTTTAAAAATAACTTAATATTTTTCTCCTATTGCACATTTTCAAAATAAAATAATAAATAGACTAATACATGGTTTTAAAAAACAACATCATGTTTTGCTTTAAGAGACAGAACTGCAAGAGAAACAGTTTCAAATGCCTTTCCAGCAATAGTGTGTCTGTCTCAAATAACTGATCTTATCGAAGAATTCCTTACCTAGTATTGTTCGTACTTTCGGACTAAAATCAGTTATAACTGGAGTCTGTAAACAATTATAACTATAAACATCCTTTGCTGTGGCTTGAAATCCATTGGTTATAACTGAAATATCAACTGTACCCTCAATTCTCTGAAATAAGAAGAAAAATTAAAACACTTAGAAAATACTAAATGTTGAGATACAGCTATCCAATGGGTAAAAACAATCAGAATTACTCAAAATAAACTTCATAAGATGATTTCTTTCAAAGTCATAAATAAGAGTCAGTTTTAAGATATTTAGTAAGTCCTGATTTCAAATGTAGGTTACATGTTTTCATTCTTTAGGTAAAGGCACATAATATAGTGGTTTTGATCAATTTACTTGCATCTATTTTACTGCATTCTTGCAGTTTTGACATTATAGTCAAAATGCTCTGGACAAGTGATTTTCTAATTGATAAAACAAGATATTATGTCTAATATTTACTTAATGCACACTGATTGTTTAACTTAATGTCATAATTTAAACAAAGTAAACTTTAATTTACCTATCTTCCAGATTCTTATCTTGATTATTTAGTCCTTTGTATACTGAAATTTACTTTTCCTACAGATTTCAGCTGCATAGTATCCACCTTAGTCTGCAATGTTAGTAGCTAGATTCTTTTTGCACACAACAAGCAAACTGTTGTCTTTGTTTTAATTTAAACACTATTTTTAAAAATAAAGAACAATTAGTTCCAAATGGAATATTTCATGGAGAACCTCATAGGTTTTGTTTTTTTTGTTTTGTTTTGTTTTTTTATCAACAAACTGAAACTTTAAATATCATTTAAAATATATGTACCTTTTTAAAAATGAGAAATGTTTAAATTTGCTACCCTGAATTTTTTAGACTATTTATTAGTACTAAATTTTCTTCATCCTTTGATTTACTTCATCAACTCCCATTCATCCTTCGAGCTCTGATAGGCCATCAACTTTTTTTGTGAAACTCTTTCTAATACACCCTTCCTATGTATTTTATCTTTACTTTGTATTTACTCCTATTGTTTCAAATGGAACACGCTGTTTAATACTGGTTTATATGTCTGTCTTCCTTAATGATGTTAATTTAAGTATCTAGAATATGGAATAATATTTTGTATTTGGATAGTAGCAGAAAGATGTTGAAGAAATAACTAGTAAAGAGCATAACCGAAACTTTGCACTTCCTAAGTAAATGTGGTAATTTGTTTAACCCTCTACTGAGATGTTCATTAATTCATAAGATTTCAGAAAAATGACCAAAATCAGATGCCTTACTTTTGGGGTTCTGCAGGTTATCTTATTCAAATCCCCATCAATCACATTGCAGGTTTCATTTCCAACTAATACCTTTGAATTTTCATTAAAACCAGATCCAGATAGGGTCAGAAGAGTACCACCTACATAAGGAAAAAAACAACGCAACAATAACAGATTAACTATAACAAAAAGAAACTTTTGGAAATAATCAACTCATCACTCAAGAGTTGTCTGATCATCCAAGAGATGGGATGGTAAATTGATCCGGGACCAGACTGGAGATGTACACAATCACACCACACACCCGAGACTGCGCTCTGGGGTCTGAAACCGTAAAGAAACTGAGCTAAGCGATGTAATGAAATAACAGATTTGCAACCAACATTGCTTCTGGGACATTACCAGCAGCATCGGTTATTTTCCCTAATGGTTTCTCCATCCTAAAGAGAAGTTAGTGCTGTTCCTATTTGCTCAACCATTCCATGGTGGGACACGAGAGTGGATTAAGACTCTTACCAAATCCCACATTTTAATACCTGTAAGTAAAAAGAAAACTAATACAAAAAATCCCAATAAGATGAAGTAAAATAAAAATACAAAACACACCAAAAAGTTCAAGACGAGCATAAAATCCATAACTAAGCATGGTAAAACAAAGAATTCAAAGGAAATGAAACAACAGACAAAATGCGTTATTTTTTTTCTCATCTTGTGTGTGAGCCTTTCTTTCCTTGATTTGTTCCTGGAACCTTTTCTGGGTCAAGTAGCTCCATTGAGACTGTGGTTACAAATGGAGCAGCTGGTAAGCAGAATAATAACTAATAAATCTTATCTTGACATAACTGATGAGCTTGTTATAGAAACATGTAATAATGGATGATATTAATTCAATAACCTAAGATGTAAATATAAGCAGTCACCCTGACATGTGCTTCGTAAGAAACAAAAGAATTAGTCAGCCATTTAATCACTGTGACTTCTACAGGGGAGTCTCTTTGTTCTGTAAGAGGGAGGTTTGGGTTCCTCTCCTTTCACCCTGTTCTAGAAACAGTACAGTGGAATGATGGAAATGTGTGCAATGTCCTTTGTTTAGGACAATGAAGTGTTACCTGCCAGGCTTCCAGAAGCAGGCCAGACGTGCGAGATCCGACTCTGGTAGGTGAAGTGGCGTACCTGGCCCTCCACATGCCGTGCCAGTCCAGCGTCAGCCACGGACACGGCGACTGGGAAATGTCCAGCGCTTCCATTCAGAATCTGGCACTTGATCTCATTTTCTTGTGATAAAAAAGAAGAAAATGAGAAAGCCAATGTTTTTATGAGATCAAATTACTGACATTTTATATTGGTAAATATAAACATTGGCCTTCATTTTAATATGCCCGAGAAATATGCCTAAAGAAAACTAAATTATTAATGGGAGGAAACAAATGGGTACAAACTAACTGAAAGCAGACACGCCTAGAAAAGAGTTAGATAGAACGATGAAACCAAAGCAGACAACTGGCTCCTGATTGCTACTGCGGCAAGAACGAGGGGCATAATGATTTAAAAATCACAATCTGTATAATAATTTATATCAACAATTTTAAAAGTTTTGGCCCTGGCCGGTTTGGCTCAGCAGTTAGAGCGTCGGCCTGTGGTCTGGAGAGACCGGGGTTCGGTTCCCGCTAAGGGCATGTACCTCGGTTGCAGTTTGTCTCCGGCCCTGGTTGGTCGTGCGGGTGGCAGCCACTCGATGTGTCCCTTTCACGTCGATGTTTCTCTCTCTCTCTCCTTCCCATTCTATCTGAACAAAATATTGAAAAATGTCTTCAGGTGAGGATAAAAAAAAAAAAAAAGTTTTGGCCCGACATATTGTTTATATCCCAAATTGAGTAAAATAGGTTTTAATAAAAAAGGTGTTTGAAACTAAATGAAAATCCCGTCACTTCACTTAGAACCATACGTCTGCCCTTGTATTACAGGTGCACAAGGCAAACCTGAGTGGCAGATCTCAAGGTGGATAGAAGAGCTAACTTAAAAACAACTTAAATGATATGAAAATTAAGAAATGCACCCAGGATCTACTAGAACATTAACTGAAATATGTTGTTTCAAAAGACAATAACCAAGTTGCAAAATATAGTTAGCCAATCATTTTTCTGACATTTAAACTGATTCTTGTGGATGGAAACTGCTTAAAGAATGTTGGCAATATAATTATGCCACTTTATTTTCTTTACTTCTGACACTTTGTGAGTTTTTCATCTTTAATAAAATCCTCAGTCACAGATTGCACTTATATCATATGTTTGCGTATTAATTAGTAATGACATTATCAATACACCAAACCCTCGATATAATATGATTTGAATAACTATCAACAATAAAAGAGGTCATCAAAATATCACCTTATTAAGGTGCTTTTCCTTCTGTTAATAACTGATTAGATTTCATCAACCTTTTACACACACACAAAAGGAAATGCACCCAGGATTATGAAAGATAATTTTTAGGGAAATAAATCATTCTGGCCCTCATTTTTTCAAGAGCAGAAAAAGTGAGAGATCTTTAAATTCTATGTAAATGGATAGAGGTCCTGTTGGTCCAAAGTTGGGGGAGATGGCCACGTCCCTTGCTGCATGACTAAGGTGGCACTGTCAAAGCACAGGCAGAGGGACCTTGCAATACCAGAGCAGCAATTCACATATTTCTGTGTCCCAGAGACATCCAGAAGGAAAGATTTTATGTAATCACTTTATGAAGGAAAAAAGAGGAGAAATCACTTATCATGGATAAAGACACTACACAGCAGTGTGAGGATGTTTGTGTTCATAACCAAAGATTAAACAGATAAAACATTTTCCCAGAGCAGTTTGCCAATTTCATGACCCTATAGCTTATCCTATAGGATAATAGCAGTCTTTCATTCTACTTCCTTTTAGAGAAGGACAATTAAACTCAATAATAATAATTTTAAAAAGAACTTACCATTCACAGAAAGAAGGGAGCAATCTATTGGTCCAACAGAGACAGAAACAGCTGAACTAGGAGAGAATCCAGAGCCTGATATGGTTAGAATTGTTCTTTCTTCATAGGACCCTGAAAATGATGTTAATGTAACAATGTTAAAATGACAAAACAGAATCTGTTGTTATGAAATCAGCTATTTTTCAGAGAAAAATAAGCCTATCTTCTAAAAGCCTATAAACAAGCAGGGGGGAAAAGACACATTTATTTAGCAATGGTATTTTTTTCCATTGGAATTACTCTAAATTGCTTCTTAATTTTAAATGATGTGTTGATAGAAATTAGTGAAAAGAATTATCTTACTAATGTATGAAATAAACTCAGGAAAGAAAAACTTATTTTTACAACAAAGAAATTAAGCAAACATCTCTATATGGTAAGAGACAATTTCAGAACTGCCATCACAAATTCATGAGAAAAGGATAAACAGCTGAGTGCTTGTTATGGACACTTCCGTTTGAAATACAGTAAGATTCCTCTATCTAGAGTGATCTACATCCTCAAGTGCCTCGGACATTCCTGCTTTACACTTCCCGTCCCAGAATCTCATACTTAATGGTTTTCCATTCAACTCTTAAAAGTGCCCAAATTTGATTAATAAATGATATAGTCACCCTACTTATATAACATCACATGGAACAAAGATCCCACATGGATTTAAATAACTAAAAATGAGAAAGAAAACTCTAAAATTTTAGAAGAAAATAATCAAATGACTTTTTAAAAGAAAATTTATGTGAGTTTGAGCCGAAAAACAATCAAGTGACTTTAATATAAGGATGGATTTCTTAAATATTATACAAAAGCCATGGTTAACCATGAAGTAAAAGATACATAAAATAGAATAAATCAATGATTTCAATGTTTCTATGAACAAGATACTAAAGCAAAACACAAGTGATATACTAGAAGGTGACATGAGCAAAGTATTGGCAAACATAATATGTAGTACATACACAGTTACAAGTCGATGGAAAAAAACAATCTCATAAATGGATAAAGGATGTTAACAAGAAGTTTGCAGAAAAAATAATTCTTATGTCCAAGAAACATACAAGAAGATATGTACATTACTAATCCGAGAACAGACACATTAAAACAATAACTCCTTTTGTCTATCATATTGAGGAAAATTACAAAGTTGATAATATTATGTATTGGCAAGCATGTAAGAAATATGTTGCTCTCATACTTGCTGGAAGTACAGCCACTTTGGAGAGCAATTTGATTATCTAATAAACTGAATACACATATACTCAATTAGTACCCAGCAAATTCCACCTCAGGGCATATACCCTAAAGAGCTCTAGCATGCATGCCATTGAAGATTTGTACAACAAAGCACAATACATCTTCTATGTAAAAACAAGAACTGGAAGCAATCTAAATTGTCCATCAATAGAGAAACAAATACATTGGTATATTCATAAAATATTTTAAACTGATGAATTAGATATGCAAAAAACCATATAAATATTTTTAAATGAATGCTGAACAATAAAAAGGAAGATGCAAATGATATTTAGATTGTAATATCATATTCACAAACATAAAAACTGGTAAAATTACTGTGCGCTATCTACAAAAGGTATTAAAATGGCATGGAAGAAAACACACAAAATTAATTACTGCGATTTCCCCTGGGGAGGTTGAGAGTGACTAGGACTAAGAATAGCACTTAAAGAGGACTTCAGCTCTTCTGAAAATAATTTCTTTCTTAGACTAATGATTTAAAGTAAATATGACAAAATGTTAATAGCTGTTAAGTTTCAGTGAAGAAAATATGGGTGGTTTTTATAACAGCATTATTTATATTTATCTTTTTATTATTTTTTAAATGTATCAAAATGTGGCAAAAAGCAACTCAGGTTATTAATTATTTTGAGTAAGAAATAATATTTTCAGAAAGTGCAGATAAAATTGGATATTCATTACAAAATACAAAGATGGATGCAAAAAATAAAGATACCAAAAGACTACAACCAAATTAAAGTTCATCAAATCCTTACTCTTGAAAGTTTTGACCCCATGTGAAATGAATGAACCCAAAGTTAGTATCATTACTCTTAAAAAAAAAAAAAAAAAAAAAAAAAGCCTGAAGAATATATTCTTTCATCACAAAGATGTGCTATTTTTTTAATTTCAAACTTTATTTTCTGATATATAGTTACACTTCAATCATTTTAGGATTGTCAAAGGCAAACTGAAGAAGATTAATGGAGACAATGGTATGACCCCAAGCACTATTGTCAAAAATTAAATCTGCAGTTTGACCTTATACTAAATGGCAAGGGTTAAAAATGATTACTGATATCTACCTTAAACACTTGCAAACATTTTATACAATTATCTTTAGCTACAATTTCTTTGCTCTTAAAATCTTACCAATTCTGGAAAAAGTATACTGCCTATTCTCTAACAATTATTTTGCTCCCTTCTCCCCTTCTTTGTTTTTATAGGGACTGTGGGAAGAACAGGGTGAATTTTTCTACTAACCATCAAGACTTAATATGTGATTGTAGTATCTGAGTTAACTTTCTAATTGGAAAAAAAGCCACTGCTTAGAATCCTTAGTCCTGATGTTGATTTCAATCTTGGGAGTTGAGACAAAGCACAATTATGATTTTAGAAGCACTCACATACTATGAAGACATAGTATAATGTGTCCCCTAAACCGAGTTCTTGGCAATAATTTTTCTAACTTTTACTCTCAAATCTAGGACCTAATTATTTTCTTTTACTAAAGAGCAGTTGTCTCATTATTAGCCTTTTAGTACTAAATCTCCTAGAAGTGGTCTCATATGACAAAAGATTTCAATCAGTACCCTAGGTATTAGAATATAGGAAAAGTGCCTCAATGTAAGAGAAAAATTTTAGAGACTGATTCTAATGTTGTTAAATTGAAGAAGTAGAAGACGAGCGGGTCCAACTTTAAAGGTTTTTGTTTGTCAAAAATAAGTCATTAATGATCTTCACATAGCTTTCCCAACTGACTATTTTTCCCCCACTATGTAGAACTGTTTTCTTGCCTTAGTTGGTGACACTAGCATAGAAAAAATCATTATCATTATCAGAATTTCCATTTTTGCTAGTTGTCTTCCATCTCATACTCCCAAGTTAAAAAGCATGACGTTACCTTGGGAAGGGCTTGTTGCCCGGACTATGGGAGTAGTCATGGGATCCCATGTAAACCCACAGTCACCGGAACATTTAGCAGGAATTCCATTGACATAGACTTCAACCTTCAAATAAAAAGATACAGAGATAGAGACCAGAGGTAAAGGGGTAGCATGGTTCAGAATTATATGCATAGAATTTAGAATGGACAATGGAATTTATTTGTTTCCTTGTTTGTTTATAAAAATTAGTCTATTCTACTTGTACTTTTTTTGCTTGCATCGATCATTCATTCATTCATTCATTCAGCAAATGTGACCATTCTATTATCAAGCACATTTGTAAATATTAGAATATAGGAATACAACACTGAACAAAGCAGAAGACATCCTCGCTTTACCAAATTTTATCCTAGTGGGGGTGAAATAGATAGTTGCATAGGAACATAGAAAATAATTATAAAAAGTAAATGCATGTATGGCCTGGTTTTGAATGCTATAAAAAATAAATAAAGGTCATTCTTGGGAGAGTCACCTAAACTCCTTACACTCTAATTTTTTCATCATTAAAGTGGTAACATTAAAAATTACTTCACAGAGTTTCTGTACAGATCAAATGAAAGAATATATTTTCAAATTCTAACAGGCAGTAGTAGAGCTTCAAGAATCCATTATTTTATCATAAGGAAGATAATTTTCCCAAAGGTCATAAAATAATATTGAGTTGACCAAATGTTAACACTAATATGCCCATGAAAATAAAGAAGTCATTTTTCCTGTTTTATCAGGTCTCTAGTGTGTTACAAACTAGCTACACATTTAAAATTATGTTAAACGTTGTGAGGGCAGTTTCAGAAATACCTGTGGCTGTTGGCAGGGTGCGCGAAGTAGGTCTCCGAGTATGCGTTGTCTGAATAAGCCACCTTCCTTTACCTTTGTAACTTTCATGTTAGCCTTTTCTCCAATAATGTTGGAATCGTTAATCTATTTTAGACAAAAATTTTTTACTAGAAAGCTTTGATGACACACTAATTTTTCATTTTAAATTTAAGCATGGGTTGAAAGTGAATAAAAGATAAAAAATGGGGAATAAAAAAACCTTCAAAAAACTTTAAAACCATTTCAGTCCCATTTCTTGGAAAAGAAGCCTCTTCAAAAATGAGCATAATCTACCCCAGGAAAAAAATGCTAAAATCATTGCTTTATCATAATATTGTACCAATTACAACTTGAATTACATGACTAGAGTTAGCTTGAATTTTAGAATAAAGTATGTCTAATAAAAAAATTACCAAATTTTATTTTCTCAAAATGTTCTATGCCACTTTGACAGGTGATATTTTAATAATTACAAAAGTTAGTCCTCTATTCACCCAAGGGTCAGCTTTTCCACTTCTAGCATTTCTCACTTCTAACTATCCTGGTTTTTTAATCCATTCATGGAATTTTATTTTCTGCTAATTTTAAAAATAAAACTAAATCAAAATGTACAGCTTGGTCATTCCAAAATCTCTCTACCAACATGGTAGCGCTGTGATGTGCACAAGGGCTAGCAAACAGATCAGTATCTCCATGCTGAGAGCTTAAGGTATGACTACCTAATGAAGTTGAAAAGGTCATGTGTGAGCCAAAACCACAAGGAGTGGAAGTGATGAATACACAGAGGAGACTGGTCAGGAAAGATGGAAGGCAGGAGATGCATCAGCAGAGATACCACAAGGAGACGAGTCACTAGACAATTCTACTTCCAGGCCATGTACTAGCTTTGTGCTTATATCATTTAATGTCTCCATCATCATTGCAGTAGAATAGAGTTACATAGCAAAGAGTGTTGAATCATTAGGTATCGATATTCAGATACTACTAAATTGTCCTTCAAAAGGGTCATACTAATTTACTTTCTTCCCAACAGAGCATGAGGGGGAGACTGTTTCCTCGCACTCTCATCATCATCGAAAGCACCATCTTTTTAACATCTGACTATCTGAGCTGAGTCTCTTCTAGACTTCTGTCCTTCACATACTCAGCCTGCTTCCCCGCCCTCGTCCACACTCTAACTACTCGAAGGTAATCAGATGAGAGTTTAAGCTGTGACTACCTTATGAAGTTGAAAAGGTCATCTTTAAAACCACAAAAGCACCCAGGGCCCCAGAACGCAGCTCTCATGCACAGTGGTAGAATGATAGACAATAAGGCTGATGATGCCTGCCCACCCCCTCTCCAAGTACACCCAGATTTAGTTCTCAGACTGGCCCTGCCCCTGCCCCTCCCTCCCCGTCCAAGGTCTTCTAACACATATGCCTGAACTTTTCCCAGGGGGGATAGGGAATAAAGTCCCAACGGCTATCCTCTAAGACAGAAAACACCTGGTCAACTTAATTTAGAACAATCTTCTCCTCGATTTCCTTTCTTTAATGTTTAGTCTAGAATTGGCATTTACAAAAGTATACAGTCTCCAGTTCTTTTCAGACGAAGGCTGGGTGCCACAGGCACGCCTCACACAGAAGAACACAGACACAAAGGCAAAGGAGGGAACCTGTAGAAGATTCTGCTTCCCACACGCGCTTTTCCACTTGATGTTCCACGAGTACCCAGCACAGGTTCCCTCTCGTGTGACTGAGACGAGTCCCACCTCTTCCAGGCTCTGCAGAGCAAACCGCAGATCGGCCGCTGACACCGCCGCAGGGAGGCCTGCCTCACAGAGGGAGTCAAAGAAACCACCTAGTTTACCCTTAAAACACGTGGCACGTGTACCATGCGTTATCACTCGTAAAGCACGATCCTCCTCCAATATAGTGAAAATGGATTTGCCTCCTACTTATGTCAAGGATTTATATATTTCTTGGAAACAAAAATTACATGAGTAATGTACCTCAGATTATAGCTTTGGCTCAGATACTTTTGAATATCAATTGATTTTATCGGCAACCTAGAAGCCATGGATATAAAATAGAAATAAACCTTTGAGATATGACCCGGCATATCTGGTGAAGCAATGAATAAAAGGTGAAAATGTTTTCTCCCCATCGGTGGCTAGTTTCTTGGGGAGAAAATACTTGCAAAACACACATATGATAAAGGCCTCTATCCAAAATATGCAAAGAACTCTTAAAACTCAAAAATAAGAAAACAACCCAGTTTTATTTTTATTTATTTATTTTTTTACCCCTATCCTAGGATATTTTTCTACTGATTTTTCAGATTGAGAGAAACATCAATGTGTCTCACATTGATTGATTGCCTCCTGCCTGACCCTTACCAGGAGCAGGGATCAAACCTGCAACTGAACCCTGGTCAGTTTGGCTCAGCGGTCCCGAGAGACCTGGGTTCGGTTCCCGCTAAGGGCATGTACCTCGGCTGCAGTTTGTCCCTGGCCCTGGTTGGGTTGTGCGGGTGTCAGCCACTCGATGTGTCCCTTTCACGTCAGTGTTTTTCTCTCTCTCTCTCTCCCTCCCACTCTATCTGAACAACAACAACAACAACAAAAAATGGAAAAATGTCCTCGGGTGAGGATAAAAAAAAAAAAAAAACCTGCAACTGAGGTACGTGCCCTTGATAGAGAATTGAACCTGTGACTCTTTGGTCCTCGGGCCAATGTTCTAACCACTGAGAAACCGGCCAGGGCAACAACCCAATTTTAAAACAGACAAAAGATGTGCGGACACTCTACCTAACAAGATATATTAGATAAAAAATAAACATACAAAAAGATACTCAATATCATATGTCATTAGAGAATTGCAAATTAACAGTAATGAGATATCACTACATTCCTATTAGAATGGCTAAAATAAAAAACCTGACCATATCAAATACAACTGAGGATTCAAAGCAACAGGAATGCTCGTTGATTCCTGGTGGAAACGCCCAATGGAGTACTGGCTTTGGAAGGCAATTTGGCAGCTCCTTACAAAGCTAAACATAAACTTACCTTGCGATTCTGCAATCACATTCCTAGGCATTTACCCAATTGTGTTGGAAACATGTCCAAACCCAAACCTTCACAAAAATATTTATAGCAGCTTTCACTCATAACTGCCCCAAACCGAAAGCAATCAACATGTCCTTCAATAGGTGAATGGAGAAACTGTGGTACATCCACACAATGAAAATTACTCAGAGACAGAAAGAAATAAGCCATCAAACCATAAAAGAGACATGAAGGAACCTTAAATGAATATTGCTAGGTGAAAAAATTAAATGACAATCTGGGAAAGGCAAAACGATATAGACAGTAAAGAGATGAGTGTTTGCCAAACTTTCAGAGGGAGAAGGGAGAAATGAATTGGTGCAGCACAGAGGGTTTTTAGGGTGGTAAAACTATCCCATGGTGGGCAGACAACATTGTGCATTTGTCAAAACTATGGAGCTTTACAACACAAAGAATAAACCTCATGCATGCAAATTTAAAAAATGTAAAAATGTAATTTGTTCTGGATCGTTTAACTTTACATTAATAAATTATGTAGAGAAAGAATATTACAAAGAAGTACAAGATGTTTATTATGTTTGTCTTGATCAGCACTGTCCAATTGACACATATACCATATTCTGGACTTTTCTGTATACCTTTGAGAATACGTCCATGTGCCTGAATGTCAAAGTTGCCACCAAGAGGTGAAGAGGCTGCTTGAATTCTTTGAATACGAATCCTTGACTCCCCTGGCCAGTTGCTTCCTCTGTAAACAGACTCATTCTCTGATGCATTCGTAATTATCTAATTTCCAAAATAAATATTGATAAAATGATTAACCATGACGACAGCTAAGATGATTTCTATTTAACTATGGCACAATAGTGTGACACGACATGAATGAGCCTCACGTATTCAGGATTCTTCAGAACATTAAGGAGAGTCACATAAATCAACACAGACCATACCTATGCCGCTACAATAATGAGGCCAAAGTCAACTCAGTCATCTGTGCAGCTGGAACCACAGTAATTCCTCATTAATTCTGAGTGTACCCTCCATCACTCAAGGAACAAATATTTATTTAGCAGGCATTCTATTCAAGATACAGTGCTAATCACTGTGGGAGGCAAAGAAACATGAGATGCAGTCTTGGCTATTGAAAACCTAAAAACCTTTTTGGAGAAATACATACAGGGACTTGAAAACTTAACTACGAATATGAGGCAGTGAATGGTCAGTACCGTGAATGGTCCAGACATGGGAAATACCTGACTAGCGCTGAGTACCAATCAACTGACACGTGCTGTAACAAGTCATAGACTGTAACTCTAATAGTGAAAACGATATTCTCCTGCTTCTGATCCCTCACAGTCTACTGTTAATCTTGTAGAATTTAAAACTCTATGGCCCATTGCCCACAGAAATAAGTAAACGTAAGTGTCAAAAGACATACACAAGAATGTTCATAGCAGCTTTATTCACAATAGCCCCAAACTGGAAATACTACAAAAGTCCATCAATAAAATGAATAAGCCCTGGCCGGTTTGGCTCAGCGGTTAGAGCATCGGCCTGCGGTCCTGAGAGACCCGGGTTCGGTTCCCGCTAAGGGCATGTACCTTGGTTGCAGTTTGTCCCCGGCCCTGGTCGGTTGTGCGGGTAGCAGCCACTCGATGTGTTCCTTTCACATCGATGTTTCTCTCTCTCTCTCTGTTCCTCTCTCTCCCTCCCACTCTACCTGAACAAAAAATGGAAAAATGTCCTCGGGTGAGGATATAAATAAATAAATAAATAAATAAATAAATAAATAAATAAAATGAATAAATTGTGGTATATTTACACCATAAAATACTATAAGGCAATAAAAAAGAATGTACTACAGCTATATGCCACACATGAATCTCAAAATTGAATAAAAGGAGCTAGATGCAAAAGAGGACAATTACTCATTGATATGATTAAAAACAAACAAAAGTAATTGATGGTGACAGAAGTCAAATAGTGGTTATCTAGGAGTGAAAAGTGATCTAATGACAAGGAGATGGCACAAGAAAGTGTCTTGGGGACTAATGATTTCTTTATCTTGATTTATCTTGATTTAATAAATGAGAGCATTTATTTTTATCTTGATTTGAGTAGTGATTACAGGAGAGCATTTACTTTGTAAAATTCATGAAGTTCAGCACAGTTGCAGGATATAGCATCAACACACAAAAACCAATCACATTTCTCCATACACATAACAAACACAAGAAAACCAAAATTAACAATACCAGACCACTTGCAATTGCTTCAAAAAAAAAATGAAACACATATAAATCTAACAAAACAGATATTGAATCTGACCTGAAAATTGCATAATGATGCTGAAAGTAATCAAAGAAGACCTAGGTATGCTAATAAAAGAACGACCTAAATAAATGGAGGGACTCATTGTATTCATGGATTGGAAGACTCAACATAATAAAGGTGTTAATTCTCTCCAACATAATCAAGATTTAATGTGATTCTTATAAAAATACCAGCAAAATTTTTGTAGACATAAACAAGCTTATTCTAAAATTTATATGAAAAGACACATGACCTAGAATAGCTTAAAACACTTTTTCACTAAAAGAATAAAGTGAGAGGAGTCACTATACCCAATGTATGGTAAAATTCTAGGCTTACCTGCCCAAAGCTTACAGCCATCATGGGTATATTATAACTGCAATTATATGAAGTCATGGTGACAGAATATTTGTTCTTCATATTTGATCCATTAATTTTGGTCTGATTCACCTGGAAGTGCTTTAAAAAGATTCCTTTATTTGCTAATGCTGGAAGTCTTCTCTTTGGCATTTCTAAAGAATAAAAAGTAAATGGAAAGTAAAACTGCAGAGCTCCTGCTGCTAAAAAGAAAATCATCATTAAATAATATCCACAAGTCATGAAATAAGCTGCTTAACATCACATTTTAGAAAGAAGATCTTAAGGCAAATAGTTTGTGGTGCTTGGTAAACTTTCACTTCTAGAATATACAGCTTTAAGTCTTTTGACCAATGAGCCTTATTAGGTAAAATAAACAAACAAAAAATGGTTTAAATAGTTACTTAACAGCCACCAAGCCCTGGGCTCCATGCAGCATTCTGCAGGCCAGTTAGTCTGCTGTGCTCCAGGTGCCCTGAATGGGGTGCTCACTAGGGGTGCTCCAGGAGGGGTGCTCCAGGAGGGCAGGCTCAGCGCTGGCCCGGTCACTGTCCTTTCTTTAGTACCCGCCACAGTGCCTGCCACACGGTAGATGCTAAGTAAATGTTGTTCAACGAACTACGTCTATCCCAGCACAAGTCAGCTGTCTTACACATGTGTTCCACCAATAATAATGCAGTTGATGACAACGAATTCAAAAGGATTGACTCTAAAGGAGTAACATTTAATTTTTTACCAGTTGACTCATGATCTTGTACTTCAAAAGAGTTGCTGAAGGAAAAAAAAAAGTCCAAAACTCTGAAAAACTTTTTAAGGTAACTGTTTGGAGTCAGGTTGATTTTTCTAAATCACAGTTTAACTTTAATTATTTTATTAGTATTATACACACACACACACACACACACACACTAACATGATCGGAAATAAGACTAATAAAGTTTTCATTTATCACATCATTCATTTATCACATCATTAATTACTGCTATCAAGTCCATGAAGAGAGTCAGCTCAATCTTACTAAACAGACATCAATGTCAATATCAACATCAACAATGTCAATAGTAGCAATTTAGGAATAGATCCCTATTTTGGTAGTTTGTTTCTCAAAAATCAAACAAAACAAAATGAATGTCTGTCACAGAATCCAGGACTATAAAACCAATTTTTGCTATAATGACAGCTTATATTAAGGATATACTTATCCTTAGAGTGATCACCTAGTACTATTCATTAAAAAAATAATGATTTAAGTATTATTTTGATAAAAAATAACTCATAAATACTTAGAGATTAGTATTGCTATCTAAACTACAGAAGATAAATCATTTTCATGGTAAGATTTTACTACACAATAATTTAGGTGGTTTAAGTAGATATGAAATGACACCACATACCATCCCATACTGAAATTGTAGGTGTCTGTCCAATGTATACTACATCCACATAGAAGGACTGTGATTTTGATGCTCTCTGTACACTAATCCTCTGAAGAGAAAAATTAGTCCCGACGTATTTGGCTTGTATGAGGTCCAGAAGGTCTATGCAAGCGTATGTCCAGCTGAAACATGGTTCATTAATTAGGTATATCAATCAGCTGTAATGTTTAATGTGAACAAATACACTATAAAAAGCATCAGAATCTTCAAGAGTAAAAGGTACGTGTTTTTTTGTTTCTTTGTTTGTTTGCTCACAAGAAGATCACGGAGCACACTCATTAGCATAGAAAAGCAACCCTAACAAGGAACAGCAGACAGAGACTTACATTGGCAGTGAACGAGTTTATGTTACATCCAGATATAGGTTTTCTTTTACTTGCAGGCTTGGCAGTAGCCACAGGAATGTAAAATATTCTTTAGCAACATGTAAGGAAACTAAGGAGCATGCATCTTGGTGTAGAGAACATAAAAGACACAAGGATAAAGTAAACTATTTTAGTAAAAATTGTCAGGGACAGAGAGGTGAACTAAGTCCAATACTAAGAAGTAAAACTGGATCTTGATATTACTTCCAAAAGAACTCACTGGAGTTGCATTGTCTGGTGTTCTAAGTTAAAAAAAAAGGGGGGGGGGTGCTGAATTATTTATAGTCAGTACCTTTTAAGTGCATAATTTAGATTCAGATTCAGATTTTCCATTAATTACTAACTGCATTAGAATCTCAGAAATTATAATTAAGCAATTCTGCTATGAGAGTTTACAACAAAGAGATAAATGCTGCCATCCAAATAAGTAAGTACAGTTTAACAATAATCTTTCATCAGCTGCTACTGCTTATTAAATGTTTACTTTGCACATTTTCTACACTCATTTCTGTCATGGTTTGCAAACTCATCATGGGATCCATCTGTGGTGAGTCAAAGCTCAGACAAAACTGCATCCGATTTAGGAAATTACATGCAGCACTACATTAAGTCAAAGTGCCCTTTAAATTAATAAAAGTACTTAGAGCCTCTAAGTAGAATTCTTTTAATTAGAGACTCAAACTTTTTAATAATGTTGGTATACTTAACAGTTTACCATGTTTTGTCTTCTAAATGGTCATGGGCGATGATGACACTAGACTCGTTTTTATTTTCCTAATCGATAGATTTATTTTTGGTTCAACTACTTTTGTGAGGAAGCTCATGTAGAGGGCAGAAATATTGCACTTAGACCCATGGTAGACATGATTTCTCAAAACAACAAACGAACAAACAAGAAATGAATTTATCTTCATAGTTTATATACCGATATATAATTGAAGTTTTCAAACTCATAGTGAAACTTACTTGTTTCCATAAGCAAAATTATATGTAAATTGTGTATCAGTGATTCTAGTAATCTTGTTGTTGTCTTGGTATTGAAATTTTAGACCAATATAATTTGCCAGGAATCCTTTGTATGCTAAACATAACTATACAGAAAATTAAAAAAAAAAAAAGTAAAAATGTCATATGATTACATTGTTTTGTAGCAATTCAAATTAATTCAATCCAATTCAATACATATATACTGAGCATTTCCCATAAAAATGTATTAGAAACACAGGAAGGAAAAATTAATTTCAATTAGGTGCAAAAGAATTGGAGAAATTTTTATAGAAGACAAAATAGAGTTGAAATAACCTTACAATTAATGATTAACTCTTTATTGCTTTTTTAGATATGGTTTCCTTAAAAAATGGAAACAATCTACTCTTATAGTCACTGAGCTATGTAAGAATTAGGTCCAGCTCTTACTGAACTTGTCAGTGAATTTCAAAGTCTATTACACATAGAGAAGTGAGACAAACATTTGTGTAGATTGAGCTGGGAATGCAACTGAGCATGCAGAGATGAAGATGTGGCTGTAAAACAGTGATTAAATACCAGTGTTAATGGGCGACAGCTCCTTAAGAATGCCAAATAGTTTTAGAACTTCCGACTTCGGAACATGTGCTACAATTTGAGAATTTTAAAACAAGACAGAGGGTAAATCTATGATTGCTAGTCTTTCTTTTCTTTTCTTTTTTCTTTATTGATTTCAAAAAGAGAGGAATGGAGAGAGAGAGAGAGAGAGAGAGAGAGAGAGAGAGAGAGATAAAAACATTAATGAGAGAGAACATCGATTGGCTGCCTCCTGCATGCCCCCCACTGTGGATTTGGCTCCCAACTTAGGCATGTGTCCTGACCAGGAATTGAACCAGCAACCTCTTGGCGCATGGGTGGACGCTCAACCACTGAGCCACACTGGCTGGGCAATGATTGCTAGTCTTAAACACCTATCCTAAAATTGCCATCTCCTCTTCTCGGAATTTTTTTTCACTTTTCCCTGATTCGATACCTGAGATCACTTTATGACGGCTATCCATTTTTGTTGTTTCTTAATTAGTGAAGGGATATTGAAAAAAATATATACATATGTAATTGTTTTAGTGTTTAAATGTATATGCAAATAATTCTTTTTGAAATTATGAGACAAAGCAGAATACATGTGCATGGTACTGCATATTCCTTTAATTTCTTTCTTTGAGAATCACCAGAAGAGGAAACTATAAGCACCCGAGAGTGAACCACAGTGCCTGTCCAATGTGACATGATTTCACATGACAAGCACTTTCCCTTGTCTTAAAATTTCATGAAGTTATATTGCCAAGGGATTTTACAAATTTAATTAGCATATCATTTTGTTGAGCTTACCTGATTATAAGGAAATAATAAAATGTCTCCATATGGTAGTCTGTTTGGTTTAACATCTGCTGAGTCAAAAAGAACAGCTGGGTTTTTCAAGGAATAACGACCACAGTAAGCATCGGTTTCAGCTGTCTTCTGCCCTCTATTAATATGTTCCTGTAGAAACAGTAATATTTCAAATGAAAACATGATTTATTGCCCTGCTTTATTCCCGCACATCTCCACCCAAGTCCTTCAAGTTCAGACTCAGATCCTATTGCTTCCCAAACTACTGTAATTTGAAAAGCTCTCTCTTTGAAATTCTAAAGGCTCTCACCCTATATCACTCATTTGGGTCCATAATCGCATAATCCCCTATAACTGTATTTCTAAAATCCTATTTTACTCCTATGTTATGAACTCCTTAACAATATTTAATCCTTCCTTCCACAAATGTTTATTCAGTGTTCACTGTGTGCCAGGCTTTTGTTTGTTTGTGAATTTGTTTTTTTTTTTTTTTTAATCTTCAGGGCTCAAGTGGGCAATACAGAAGCCTACCAGCTTGGAACAAAGGAACCAAGGATATAAACCCAAGGCTGAAGAGAGGCATCTAACTCAATAAAGGCATCAAGAAAAATGACTCAGAGAAAGTGGCACATGAGTTGCCTTTAAAGATAAAAAGGACTATTTTAAAGGGAAAGGGGGCCAAGGAGCTTCAGAAGAGGGTAAAATATATGCAGAGAGGCAGGGATGTGAGTGAGCCGTGCTGTGAAATGCAAATTGTCGAGGTAAGGTGAGCAAAGAATGTGCTTTGTGATGACGGGTGAAGAAGGAAAGAAGTGATGTAAATTACCTGCACAATTCCCATGGCTGCAAGTATTACACTGAGGGTAGATTTGTTAAATTACGTTTAAAATATAGCCCATTAAGTAGACCTTCCCCCCTTCCGCTCCCACTAGTAAATCTCTTCATAGAGGCATCACATGATATATATTTTAAAGACTCATATTTATATCTAGGGTATTGAATAACTAGCATATTTCTTATTTGGATGATATTTGCTTGGAAATGGTGACTATCTGGCTTCCTCAAGTCTTCAAACTAGGAACTAGGAAAGTAGTGTATTTTAAATTTTCTTTACTATATATCAATGAAAAATCTTTATATCTCACCAAGAAATAAATAATCACTAGGCATTGTACTAATTGATCAGAGAGTGATATCAAAAAGCAAGGGAAGTGATTTTACAATGTAATGCCCTACTATAAGTTCTATCTTCTGAAGCCAATGAGGAAAAGGGATATACTCCAAGTGAAGAAAACAAACAAAAAACTTTACATTTGCTTACTTTTTATTATTCAAGAAAATTCATGTGTAGTGGAAATACTGCTTTCATGGTGAATTATTTTATAAGGCAAAGATATGTTAGAACAGGCCTTACCAAAAATTATATTTGCAGTTTGACTTTGAATGATAAGAAATGAATGCTAGTTGATAAAAGAAATTACAACATTCCAAACATTTATATGATTTCTTATCTGGTCAGTTTCACAGTTTATTAAACATTCCGTACCAGGTTAAAATCCATTTCATAATCTCTGAAGTATTTCACAACAAATCCTTCTTCAAAATTTGCAACTTGCGGTGGACACTGAGCGCTAACCATTTCTTCCACTGCTGCCTGAAACTGAATTAACAATATGAACTTTGGTAACTTCTATTTCATGAAGTCAGAATATTAGGAATTCTACTACTAGTTCTACTAATTAGTTAAAACATATTAATATGATAATCCCCACATTTTAGCCATAATTAAGAGATCATTTCCTAAATAATACGTGATTATTTTACTGTCCTATAATTTTTTCAAGAGTTTTAATTTAGCATGAAAATAGCAATATCAAATTGACTAATATGAGCTTACTTGGTTATTACTAAGGTAGACATATTTGCTTAATAGTTTTTTAAAGAGAACAATGAAGCAAACCTAAATAAATTAACACCTAAATAAGTAGACTACAAATGAATAGTTTTCCAAATTAACTCAAAATTAACTGGGAAAAAACTATACACTCCAATGCATCCTGTTTTTCAAAAGAAGAGATTCAGATATTGAAAACCTGTAATTCTATTTTTAAAAATAATAAATAATTTCGAGTGTATGGGAACTGGTACATATTCACGAGGTCTCTTATAATTTTCACATCTGTTTCTTTGGCAAAGGACAGCTTTAAATGATGTTTAGAACTAAGGACTTGGGATAACAGGTGATCTTTAATCATCAAATAAATTTAAACTCATTGTACAGGTAGTTGTCAAAATTCAGTAACTCGTGATAAACATTCTTTACAAACAGCTGCCCATATGGAGATACATCGGTTCCTGTTGGTGCTGATCTAAGAAATTCCCTTTTGTTCCCTGTCTTTGTGAGTTTTCCTCCCTTCTCTGCTTCTATTGGTTGGCTCCAACCCATCATGCCAAGTAGGAGAGTGTATTCCTACTTAAAGTGTTTTTCTTATATATAGAAAGGTGATGCTTGAACAGTTTTCTGTTTAAAAAATTAGTACAGAGCATACTTCAGTTTCTGATGACCGTGGGCTAAGAGGCTTCGAAGTGATCCCATCCCAATTCAGTGTGAATGTGTCCAAACTGGGTTTTCCTTTTGTTTGTTCTGTAATATCCAGTGTGACATTATATCCGCCAAATACTTCGAAATCAAGCAGATCAAAGTCTCCTGCAATGAAGTGCCAAACGGAATTTTTAAAAGTTAATTAAAAATATGTCAATACCATCCATAGCGGTACTCAAATTTAACAAAATTTGTTTTATTTGGAGTTCCATTAACACAAAATAAAAATGAATAGGGAAGATGCAGATCCTTAAATTTGAGCAGATTTATCCACAGCAGAAATAGGAAAGTAGCAGATAAAGTTCTGTTCATTTAAGATTCTGTTACTATGGCTTAGGAAGTATTATAAGATAAACAGAAGGAAGTATTGGGACCTTGAGGTAAAGATGAATGGCAGTAATATATCCCCCAAATTCTTTAAGTTTTGTGCCAGTACCACTATTTTAGTGTAAAGGGCTAGGCAGGAATATTGCTATTTTTTTTAGGCATGAATAAGGTACAAAGCTGGATTCCAGGAAGAGTCCCCGGCCTGTGAAGTCTGCTCATGCGATCTTACTTTGAGGGAATTAAGGCTTTGTCCTCAAATGTCTGTTTTCTTTTGGAGGATGCTTTACTAGTGAATCTCACTGACTCTCTCTGTTAGGAAATGCCCCAGAGTTTGCCCAGTTATGATTTTAGTACCATATTTCTTAATGTCTCTTCTGAAGCCGTAAAATGTCTCTCTGATCTATAAATATGTTCCTGGGAGAACAAAGATAATCATAGTGTTATGTATGTAGTGTTCTGACAATCTAACTTTTGGTGACATTTTAGAACTTCAATTCATGTTAAACAAAATTCTTCAATCTCCACCCAACAACCAAATGGACAATTTCATAAGATAGGACATACACTGAAGGAACATTTTACTTATGTGAATTGGGAAATAATACTTGCCCAAAGAAAAGTAAACACACAAATATTCAGGGACCTATTTCATGAGCTATATCCTAAACCCAAATTGGTTGCTAGAATTGGCTATAAGACTTCAAAATATAGAACATTAATAAGTTAACAGCTATTACTTGAAACAAAAATGTAGAGAGGTCAAATAGTTTTGAAAAATGTTGCATTAAATACAGGTGAACTGGTCGTTTGTTTGTTTGTGTTTGTTTTTCACTGCAGGATTCCTTGGGGATTTTAATATTCCAATAAGCTCTGTCAACCTTCAAGGAGAAGCCGTGGTAAACTGTTTCCCACGTGGATCTGACCACAGGATTCTTTCATCTTGCAAGACCCGGCCAGACTACTGTCTCCTAAGCAATACTGATTTACTTAAATTTCATTTCTAGAATTAATACCTTCACTGATTTTTGCTAATTTATAAATGGCTATTATACTGATAGTATGTTTGTAGTATACATAGTATTTCTCATGCATTGGAATTGTACATTCTTTGAAATACAATGGGGATTTAGATTACAATAGAAAAAATTAACCACTTAATTTCTATTGTTTCTAAAACTGATCAAGGCTGCGGATCCAATTTTCCCCTCTGTTATTTCATGGCGCTTTTGCCTTTTTCAGCCTTTTTCAGTGGAGTTGTGCAGGATACAAATTTGTTTCCTAGAAAAAACTTTAGATATGTGCAAAATGAAGTACATGCTTACCTCTAGTTGATACAAAGGTTATCGTGTAAACAAAACTGTGGGGATTTTGTGTTCTTGTTACTTGAACTGTATCCGGTTTTAAAGACCAGAGGTCATTTAAGGCTGACTGCAGTATGAAGTCAGAAGCATCAGCAGGTAGCAAGACTTGGATGAATTCAGGGGGGAAAAAAGGAGAAGAGTTGAAATCTTTCTGCACTACCAACAATGATGTCTTATAGTTGAATCTTTAAAGCACTCATAGTCTGCACTATACATCATCACTTAATGAAACTGTTCTGAAATTGATTCAATTTCAATAATATTGACCACTTAATTGGATTGTGGCCTCTTGAGGATAGGGATCATAGTTTATTGTTTTAATAAGCACTGTATTTGGCAAACAGTAAGTATTCATCAATATTTACTGATTGAAACTATTAACCGAAAGAGCAAAATTAATTTTTTCAGGATTTATGATGAAATATAGAACTACAATATTTTTATTAACAGATAATTAGTGCCTCATGAGACTATCACTTAATTTGAGAAATGACAGCAATGTTTTACTTCTCTGCAATGATGAATTTAGTTCCTATTAACTTACACCTGTGAGTCACAGATATCTAAAATCCTTTTGAGTATTTAGATATACATTTGTCATGATCCTTACAGAAGAAAATGATAGTATGTACTATATTTTTATGATTTTATTGATGCCCTTTTCTATCCCAGTCTGAAGGCTTTTCTTTATATTTTTCTGCTTTTTTTAATCTAGCATACTGTTAAAACTGAATCTGACTGCAGCAAATACCTCTCTATAATTACATGTATAAACAAAGAGAAATAAAATCTACCCTGTTATTTGTCACTTACCTGTTTTTTCCATGTTGTAAATTAATCTATATTGGTAAAGGGAACATGAATTGACTTCTATGCATGGGCTGGTTATCATGACCCTCTGAACTTCTTTAGTTGCAATAGTTGTTTCCCAGTTTTCCAATGTTATAACCTATTTCCCAATTTAAAAAATATCTTTACTATACAAAACAAATTAAAAACATCATAATTCAGCTATGCAAGCCTCTTTGTTGCTCTATTTTATTGCAAATAATAAAATATTTTATTTTATTTTTTTGTTAAGCCTCACCTGAGGATATTTTTCCATTGATTTTTAGAAAGAGTGGAAGGTAGGTAGGTAGGGAGGGAGGGAGGGAGGGAGGGAGAGAGAGAGAGAAAAAGAGAGAGACAGACAGACAGACAGACAGACATTGATGTGAGAAAGACACACTGATTGGTTGCCTCCCACATGGTCAGAGGATGGAAGCTGCAACCTTGACTGAGAATTGAACCCTCGACCCTTTGGTCTGAGGGCTGACACTCTAACCACTGATCTAATCTGGCCAGGGCTAAAATTTAAGTTTTATCAAGTAACAGCCTCTTCAGTTTATAAAACAGATACTCCAAGCCACATTCAGTGATTTTCCATGACTACTTTCCCCCCAAACAGTATCTTACCTAGTAAAATAAGTAACAAAATAGAGCTCCTATCTTTAATATTTTCTTTCTAGATAGTGGGGCTATAGTCGTAACAAACCTGAACTTCCTGGACAACTGTTGACTGCGATTGAATGACTTGTTCTTCATTGACTGCATCTTCTGTTTGCTGCTCAGTATAGACATTTCTATACTGGTACAGTCCCACATCAACAGAAGCACTCAGTGTATACTCCTGCAGCAAGATTTCCATGTAATATCTGGAAAACAGGGTAACTAATAAATATAACATTTTCTCTTCAGAGCACTTGCTGTGAATACATTTTTCAATGAATATATTTCAATACTATATAAAACACCTGCCTATTAATTGATTTACATTATGGTATCCCTGGTTTTAAATATTAAAATATCAAAAGCTTCCGACTAGTTTGCTAAAATAAAATGAATTATGTAAGATATCTGCATAAGTAAAGAGTTGCTGCCATTCATAACTAATTCATTCAGTTTTGTTAATAAATATTTATTGAAAAAGATACCATCTCCTATCCTCAAGGAGGTTAAAACAAAATTACATCATTGCCTATAATACAAACGCCTTGGCATAAAGCACAGAGGACATGCAGGGGTTAAATATTTAATGTGTGTAAGAAAATGGCATGCACAGGCAGACATATATATTTTGTATCTAAATGGCTGCACATGTCCAGGATGAAAGTTCCGACTCTCATGTTCCTTAAATACTGGCTCCACTTGTAACTTGGGAAATAAAAGATTGCCTCAGGAAACCTTTACAAGCTGGATGGGATTCACACTTTCTATTTGGAATTCTTGATTGCTGAGGCTTCCTGCCCACCATCCAGCTGCCTATCCAGGGTAAGGTGTTCGCTGACCAGTTATTACAGGTGAGTGCAAAGCTACTGCTTCCCTACCTGAATCTCCATTAGGGCTCCATTGCTCCCATCTTTGGAGAGGACTGCTGGGAATTCCATCATTCAACAAGGACTCTTGCACATGGAGAATATGTACCCACAGCTAATGGGAGACTGAATGAGGGGCATTTACCACCTCTCATCTGTCTAGACTGGCAGGGCTCCGGGTCATTGCCCTTATAGAACTGATACTGGAGGATTGTTTGCATCAGGCTCTTGGCTGCCCTGAGAACCTATTTGCCAACACTACCAAATGGAGGTAGGCAACACTAAGGAGCAGGACTCAAAGAAGAACCATTAAATTCTGTATCTTTACCTAGCAGCTTAAAAATATTTATTAGGCACGTTCCATGTGCTAGACACTAATCTGAATACTTTACGGATGTTATTATAGTGAATCGTCACAAAATCGTATAGAAATATATATATTATTATTCTCTGTTCATATGAACAGTAGAGACCAAGAGAGTTTTAAAAATTGAAAGATTAGTTAAAAATTAGTAACTGCGGCAGGATCAAAGTAAAACAAGGTGGCCAAAGAGACATGCACTTAGGAGTGGGGCTACATCAGCTGCGTAGAACGGAATGCACTGGAGATAAGAGCTCCCTTTGGAAAGGCCTCCGAGACCACGGTGCGATAAAGCAGCAAGAGTGGCCTCGGTTCCGGAATCCGCAGCCATCATTCTAAGAGCAGAAGTTCCAAGCTAGCATGCGGGAGCACAGGTACCAGGCAACAGATGTATTAAGAGATGCTTTCATGCAAACTCTGTTCCTACCAAGCAGGTAAATTAAGCTCATTTGCCAAGGCCAAGGCAAAGCCTGAAGGTGAATTGACACTGAACAGCAGAAGGGATTAATGAGGCACTCCATTTACTCCAAATTGGCTCAGTGATCTCAGTGAAAAAAGAGAATGTTTAAGCACATAAAGAAGTGAAGGCAGAAAGAGGAGGAGGAGAAAAAGAATGGAATGCTTTCTGCATGTCACTATGGCCAAGACTTCAGTGAGAGCACTGTGTAAAGGCTCCAGGTACTGTGGATCCCAACCCTCTGTCCAACTCCGTCAGATCTTCATGGTGCTACTTATGAGCAAAATCTCATCAACATCTAGAAGGGTGATATGGTAGAATTAAAAAACAAAACAAAGCACAACTACTCCCATCAAGAAGTGAAATCTAGTTTTTTTTTCACCCTTGAATCTAGGTTTGGCCATTTGCTTTGGCTAAACTAGCAAATATGACACAATCAGAGTCTTTAAAGGTGCACGTGCATTATGAATTGCCCTCTTTTCTGCTGGGAACACATTCATCAATGTGACAAGTCTGGTCTAGCCTCCTGGAAGGCTAGAGACCATGTGGAGCGGGATAATCCCAGATAACTAACTCCAACCATGTCAACCGAGGCTCCGGATATGTAAGTGAGGCCACCCTCTACCATCAGTTACCAACTAAAGCAGTCAGCACCAAAAGAACTGACTAGCCAATCACAAAATTGGGTTGCTTTAAGCTACTCAAGGTTGAGGAGTGGTTTCTTATACAGCTAATCCTAACAGATACAATGATAAATGGACAATGATCTCAGTGAATCTCTTGATGTTCTTCATGTAATTTAGCTATTTTAACTATATCGTGTCTTTTACCTCCCTGTTTCCTAGGAATTTTGAATGATTTTGTTGAATGGCATTATCTGCTATTTGAATGGTACCTTTCATCTCTCTGTGCTTGACATTTCAGCACTAAATGATGTAGTTCTTAAGGACAGAGAGTGTATTTTATTTTTTTTAATTAATTAATTTATTTTTTATCCTCACCGGAGGACATTTTTGCATTTATCTTCAGACAGAGCTTGAGGGAGAGAAGGAGGAAGAGAGAGAGAGAAACATCAATGTGAGAGAGACACATCAAGTGGTTCCCACCCACACAACCCCAACCGGGGCCAGGGACAAACTGCAACCAAAGTTATGTGCCCTTAGTGGGAACAGAACCCTGGACTCTCTGGTCCGCAGGCCATGCTCTAACCGCTAAGCCAAACTGGCCAGGGCAGGCCAGAGGGTGTATTTTAATATCTTTTGTATTACATTTCTAATACCTGGCCCAGGGTCTGTAGGAAATGAGTGAATAAATAAATAATAAATATGTATTAACTGTGGCACCAGTCAATATGATTTGTGATTTTTCTCTAGCAATATTCAAGAGGTCAGGTTTCTGGAGAAGCAATGAAATTAAATAGCTGGATTGACTGAAAGGTCTTAACAAAAAAGTAAAAATGGGATTAAGTATATATGACAAAGTTATAATTTCAGCAACAGGGATTATTTAGATGTTGAATTTGATTAGCTGAATGACAGTGTTCTTAGAATATAAAAATAAAATTTATTAGAATTACAGAGACAAACCAATTATAAATTAAGCCAATAAATTAATATTACTTCTACCAATAATAAATTAAAAATATATTTAGACATAAACATAATTTTTTAAATATCACACAATAATTTAAAGAAAGAAACCTTACTCTTTTCCTTTCTGAAGATGAATGTCATCAGATCTTTGTGTAGGACTGGAAAAATAACTGTTGGCACTGGAAGAATGATATGCAATCCTCATCTTATCCCAAAAGCAGAGGGAGAGAAAAGGGGCGATGAAGAGAGGGAAAGGAAGAGGGAAGAGGAGAGGCAGAGAAGAAATATTAACAAATCTTTTCAGCACTTAGTATTTATTATTTCTGTTAGTCTTAGGACTTGAATGAATAGAAAAAAATGTGAAGCTACTTCATATTTTTCTTCTAAGATAAGTTATCCATGATTAAAGGGAATTTTAAAAAATTATCAAAGCTCATTTCATTCCTTCCACCCTAACCAACATCAGCCCCACTACCCAAGTGTGCCCCACAGACCACGGCTTTTCCACAATTAGAACTGCAAGAGAAAACACGCAGCAGGAGGACAGTTCTGATTGTTCAATAAAATATTATTTTGCTCTGCAGAGAACTTCAAGGGACTTAATTCAAATGAGATCATTGAAAGTATGTCTGGCAGATGCCAAAGCTCACTAGGTGGGTCCGGGTACTAGGAGAAGACCGTGGGTTCCCATTAGGAACGACTGTGCCGTGTTTGCAGGAAGCACACTGACAAGCTACGGTCAAGTCAGAATGCATATATCACAGGCAGCGATTCAAACTCGTGCGTCCAGTTTGAGAGGTAACTTTCCATATATATGGAGTCATAGAATGTTCTTTTGATTTGATCTAATAGTTTCACATCTGAAACTATTTTCACATATGAAAATGTCTTAAGGAAATAATTTAAGATACAGAATAATTTAATAAACACAGATGTTTGATAAGGTATTCTTTGTGGTCATAAAAAATAAATAAAAAGAAAGAAACTTAACCAGTATGGATTGATCTAAGCTTAGTCAACCCATGCAATAGCATACTATTTGGTCATTAAAATGGTGTTATATAAATTATTTAACAACATGTCGACATGTTAATATGTGACAAAAAGAGACTATGAAATTGGATGCGTGATCTCTTTTATGTAAAGAACAAAATAGAGATATAAGGAAATGACAGACTTTTATTTCTTGACTAAAAGCACAGTAAAATATTTTTATCCTTTTCCAAATTTCCTCTAGTGTACTTATAAGTCCTTCAAAATAAAAACAAATCTCAATTGTAAAGGAAACAAGTTTTTCCCATGGAAGAGAAAATTTAGATATGGGAGAGATTTTATTTTAGGTGATGGATTCTCTATGACAACTTTATTGTTCATATCACACATGTTAATATAGCCAAGAATCCAACCACATGAAAAAATGTGTCTAAAAAATTATTTAATATATTGATTGGTTTGGTCATAGAATAAATTATATACATTATATATATAATTATTATCATATTGTTTTAATAATATCAAAGATTATCTTCTTCTCCCCTACCTTATGTTCTGGAAGTCCAGTCTGGCTGAAATAAATTGCATAACGATCATCACCTTTGATGTAGAATCTATAAACATCAGACTCCGGAGCCACCAAAAACCCACTGAAACGTGCTACAAAAGTGTCTTGCTCCATGGGCCAAATGTAGGACGCTGAATCTACCCAACTGGCGCCCATGTAGCCTGGCGTCTTTTCGTTGTATTCAAGTATCTCTTCAAGATGCACTGGCCGACTATTATTCCACACCTCAAGTTTTAGGCCTCTCCCACCTGAACATAAAATAAAAGCAGCCTTTCATCAGAATTTTGATATGGTATCTCAATGGCCTTCTATTTGGGTGGTGGTTATAGATGTTCTATTTCGATTCATATTTTTAGAGTATGTGTGTAATTTAAAAATTACTACAGCCCTAGCTGGTGTGGCTCAGTTGGTTGGGAATGATCCTGTGTATTGAACGGTTGCCAGTTCAATTCCTGGTCCAGGGCATATACTTGGGTTGTGGGCTCATGGGCTCAATCCCCGCTAGAGGGCGTGCGGGAGGCAGCTGATCAATGTTTAACTTTCACATTGATGTTCCTCTCTCTCCCTCTCCCTTCTTCCCTCTCTAAAAACTCAATTTAAAAAAAATTATTACACGTACCTGTATCCAGAGGACAGAGTGCTATTAAGACTGTCTACGCCCTGGCCTGTTTGGCTCAGCGGTTAGAGCGTCGGCCTGCGGTCCCGAGAGACCCGGGTTCAGTTCCCGCTAAGGGCATGCACCTCGGTTGCAGTTTGTCCCCGGCCCTGGTTGGTTGTGTGGGTGGCAGCCGCTCGATGTGTCCCTTTCACATCGATGTTTCTCTCTCTCTTCCTCTCTCCCCCTCTCACTCTACCTGAACAAAAAATGGAAAAATGTCCTCAGGTGAGGATAAAAAAAAAAAAGACAGTCTACAAGTTTACAATTTATTATTACTTCACTTCTCTGCATCTCAGGCTCCACCTATATAAAATATAAGTAATACTACTATTCGCCTGGATGCTATGGGGATTAGATATAATATATATATATATAATATATAAAACACTTTGCACTTAAAAGTGCTTCGCTAAAGATAACAATATAATATTACCTGTGATATGACTGATGTTGCTTTATATAGTTGTCTAAAAACTTCAAGGTGCAGACCATTTGACCACAAAATCTTTGCCTTAATTATTCTCTGTAACAAAACTTAATTAATGGCTTATCACCAATCAAAGAACAGATACTGTTGGCTTTAAGATTTGTCAGCAGTTTTTTTTCTTTTTTTAACATACTTCTGGTAAGGGATTTCACCTCCTTTTTGGACAGAACCAGAGAGAGAATACTCTCATTAAGGTGTATCTGCACTTGACACAAACCCTAAGATTGTTTCTTCTCAACAAAAAAGGGGCAACCAAATGTTTTATCTCTTCCTTAAAATAAACAGTCAAGCTCCTGACTTCTTCTGGCAGCCTTGAGCTTGTGTGGAGTGTCTAGATGTGGAAAATCATGTGGAAAATATTCCTCTTCAGTAAGTTTGTTCAGAGAAAAGCTTGAGCACTTCATTCCCTGATGTATACCACTGTCTTGGAAGTCATCAATTATAAATATCAAAATTCTTTCCTTAAACTGGTCATTTTTCTAATATCATTCAAAACCAGGCTGTTTAAGAGTTTGGTAAACAGAATTTATTTGGCTTCAAATACCAATCCCTGATGTGATTATAAACTGATTTCACTGTACACACAAGAAAAGATACATAGCCCACTGAAGCTCATGTGCAGAATCTCAGTGGAATTACTGCAGATGTCAAGGGCATCAGCTACACGTTCACTGGGTCACGGATGAAAGTCTGAAAAGCATTCTGAGTTCTGTTCCTCTCATTCCTTTGTCACTTCTAAATCATTCTTGATAAGGAAGGATTAAACTCTGCCATTTGTTTTTGTTGTTTTTTTTCCCCAATTTTTATTAATTTATTGTTACAGATGTTTCTCCTTTTCCCCCCCTAGACACCCTCCTTCCCACCCCACTCCCCTCACCCCCCAGCATTGTTGTCCATGTCCACTGGTTATGCATACATGCATCTAAGTTCTTTGGTTCATCTCATCCATCCTCCCCGCCCTCCTACACTGAGGTTTGTCAGTGTGAACCATACTCCTTTCTATGTCTCTGGGTCTATTTTGTTCATCAGCCCACCCACCTTGTTCATGATATTCCACAAATAAGTGAGATCATGTGGTATTTGTCTTTCTCCGATTGACTTACTTAGCTCAGCATAATACTCTCGAGGTCCCTCCATGTTGTCTCAAAGGATAAGAGATCTTTCTTTCTTATAGCTGCATCATGTTTTTTAACCAGGGAAAGGCATAATTTAAATTTCCATGTAGCCGATGATCATGATTTAATTTGAAATGAACACAGTATGGTACTCTCTCAATAGAAATGGATGTTTTCTGTAGGCCGCCCAGGGGACTTAGATAGGATTTACCTCCACTGGTGCAGGCTTGATGCAGCTATTTGATACAAATATTTCCTAATCCAGAAAGTGTAAAGAGAAAAACTAGGAAGAAATTTATTATAATTCTAACTACAAATTCTAAAGCATTCAAATAATTTTTTCTACTAATTGTTGTAGGCTGACCATGTGCCCCCAAAACTCATACACTGCAACTTAATGCCCAATGTAATCGTATTAGGAGGTGGGGCCTGAAGGAGTTACTTTGGTCATGAGGGCAGAGCCCTCGTGAATGGAATTAGTACCCTTGTAAAACAGACCCACTGAGCTCCTTAGCCCTGACAAGGAGACATCTATGAGCACCATCTGTCACACACACCCCATCTGTCAGCACCATGGTCTTGGACTTCACAGCCCCCAGAACTATACGAAATGAATGTTCGTTGTTTATATGCTATCTAGTCATATAGCATTCTGTAACAGCAGTCCAAATGGACTAACACCCGAATGATGTATTTCAATAACAGTCTTTTAAGTAAATGTAGAAATGGCCATTTCTTCTGGTAACTCACCTGGATGTACAGTTTTGAGAATATCAGGTTTAGGGGATGTCTTGCAACATATACTATTTTCTGTGACATTCAAAACATTACAGGCTTGACCTATAGAGAAGCAAGGTACAAAGCTATTACTACAGAGATTCAGAATGCAAATCACACCAGCCTGTCCTGAAGCACTTTTTCAATTAAACCAAAGTTGTACAAGCAAGAGGACAGCTGGGGGCCTTCATTTCTTTTATATGTTCTCCACGAAAGCTTATCACTCATTAATTGTCATACTTCCACAAGGCAACATTTTCTTGGCAAAATATCACAAGTCTGAGTAAGAAAATGTTACAATTTCTGAAAAACAAAATTTTAAATTTAATAAAATTATGTCATAATGAGAGTTTCACTTCTGGGTCCAAAGTGAAGCTTTCTATTTTAATCCTTGAAAAAAATTGCTGAATAAATCCATGATGTTCAGAATTTACAAAAGCATATTATTAGTCCTCTTAGGTTAAAAAAAAAAAGTGTTTTGATTCATGTTTTTCAAATGAAAACAAAAGGAATAATAATTTATAAATGGGCCCGGCTCGTGTGGCTCAGTGGTTGAGCATCGACCCATGTACCAAGAAGTCACCGGTTCAATTCCCGGTCAGGGTACATGCCCAGGTTGTGGGCCTGATCCCAAGTGGGGGGCATGCAGGAGGTGGCAAGTCACTGTTTCTCTCTCATTGATGTTCTGTCTCTCTCTCTCTCCCTTCCCCTCTCTTTATAAATCAATAAAAACATAGTTTTAAAAAATTAATACTCTTTCCAAGGCTAGTATCTTCAGTAATTACTGATGTCCAGACAAGGTACAGTATCTGAGAAGGGGATGAGGAGAATATCCCTAAATACTACTTTAAATGTACTCATAATTAGCCAACGCTTTGAGAATTAACAATAGTTGAAGAATGACATTTAATAATTCATGAAACAGAGAGAAAGTGTGTCAATAAGTGTGGCAAGGGATTCATGGAAGGCAGCCACGATGCCACCACACAGCCCCCTTTGGCACTGCCCTCAGAGGCCAAGTCTTCGTCATGTAAGGCGGCAAGGAGAGGCCCTCGCTGCAGAGGTGCAGTGGGAAAAAAACCAAGACCCAGAACCAAATGCCTACGTCAAAATACCCGCTTTAAATTTAAGACATTAACTGAGAAAGGACTATTATTCTTTTTACAAAGTATTAAAAGCAGAATTTTTAAAAATAAAGTCATATATTAAAAATGATGAAAAAATACCTCCAACTAGAACTCTGACTGGGAAGTCTGTCTGATCAAAGAACCGTCCACTTATAGTTAGCGTGGTGCCACCTTGAACGCTTCCTTGTGAAGGTGAAATCGTAGTAACCTCTGGGGAGAGGGAGGGAAAGTGCATGAACTAAAATGTCATAAATATTGCATTTAAACACAAATGCTTGCTTTTAAAATTGTTTCTAAATTTCCTAGCTACAGCACCTGGTACAGGGTAGGTTTTACATTACCAAATAAATGAATTAGGTGTTTCGTTATTTAGATTCTGATGAAATCCTGCAGAGGACAATAAATACGGCTTTCATAGAGACCTACATCTCCTGGGGACCAGGCTTTAGTGGAGACTGATGTTAAGGAGACACTGGTAATGGGAGGATCCAGGGAGTAAGGAAAACCTGGGTTGAGTATAGATATTTGGTTCCAAAAGAAAGCACAGGGAGGGAGGAGAACAGCCTCATCTCCCCTATGCTCTTGAAGAATGAATTCTTTATTTTTATGGGCCAACACCTGATATTTATATGTTTTCTCATATAGTAATACATTAACTATGATTGGAATTCTTGTGGCTTTATATATAAAATTTTTAGCTATATTGGTAAAAGAGCCCCGGTGCATGACATATGTTAGATTACTATTAAGATTTATTCTATTTAGTTCAATTAAAGTTTATGTAGTTTCACATGAACTTCATATTAAATAAATTTCCAGAAAAAGCCCAGGTGTAGCATAGTTGATTGATTCCAGGACACAATTTTTTCACATGTGAACATCTGTGAAATCTGAATATGCCAATTCCATCACTCCTGAGCTGGAGTGAAGTATACTTCTTTCAAGAAGACTTGTGTTTGCTTCTGACACTCTCCTAAGAGTACCACCAATCTGAGACCTGGGTAAATTAAAATAAAATATAATCTGCTTGAGGATTCTTTCACGCCACACTGAGAACATGTATCTGGCTTGCAGTTCAAACTGACAGCAGAATATTTTTTCCCTCCTTCAACCAGCAGCCAAAGTTGAGACATGCAAGTTTCACTTCTGTCTCTTTTGTAGTGCGATGGCTTTATTTTCCAGTCACCCTTACACTAGGAATGTAGTCTTGAGGGTCCTAGTTTAATGACAGGGCTTCCTATTAGACTCTCCATCTGAGGCAGTTTTCCTTTGAAGTACATAAAATGATATGGTACACCTTACATCAGTATTGTCTTTGATTTAGTGAAATGAAGTATATACATCTCTCTTCACACACACACACACACACACACACACACACACACACACAGTGAAAGGTCACATACCTGCATATGTTTGAAACATTGCAATTTTATTCAGAGAAGAAACAAAGTATGCCATTTTTTGTGGGAAACTCCTGTTTTAAGAAAAAGTTTAAAAACTCTTATTTTAAATATAAGCTTTATTTTAAGAACATGTCATTCATTTATTAGTGATATAAATCATGTTATAATTTGCAAAGGAGCTGGATAGAACTTTTTGGGAAGGTTATGTTCTGTGTCTTGATTTAGCTTTTGGTTACATAGCTACAGAAGTATACAAATACTACACAAATATCCACTTGTCAGGGCTTTCTGCACTGCACACTAAACATACGTGCATTTTATTATATGTAAGTAATAACCCAATAATGTAAAAATTTATATTATCCTAAAGAAAGGGAAGATTACCGTTTATAAAGGTAAGGCTCTTCTGCTGCCCACCCCCACCCCCCCATACATACACACTCTTTCTTCTCTTATAACCCACTTAATGTCACAATAACTAATATTACGAAACACTTATTAGGTATCATGCTAAGTGATTTAAGCAGATGATATTTTTTTAAAAAAATTAATTTATTATGCTATTTAATCCTTACATCAACCCCACAAACTAGGTAAAACTCAGAGAATTTAGTTATCTTACACTAGATCACAAAGAGAGTAAGTGGCAGAAATGGAATTTGAACTCTGGTAGGTTGAGCCCAGAACCCTGACTCCTGACCTACTAATTTGAATGAGAGTCCAAAGAGCTGACAGCAAGTTAATAACAATCCACCAGAGTTAAGCATGAAGGTGTGGGAAGGAAAAGAATCTGATCTTAGAAATCCAAAGTTGTTCCTGAATTACTTCATTGAAATTTGTAATTTAAAAAGTGACGAAATCAAAATGTTAAGTCTCTCACCCATTCAACATAATTCACTAGAACGCAATGAATTAAAATCTAATAGGATAACACAAATCTTGGGTTTGAGACCAATAGTTTTAACTCCCTTGAAACACATTACAATGTGCATTTGAAAACTAAAGAGTCCCTGGAAATATTTTATACTAAATTGGTTATCTAAGAAGTTCGTACTGGATTTTATATTTCCATGTTATAAGCTTTTCATTTGATTTCCTAAAGATCTAAAATAATGTTAATTTCAACATATTGCCTGTGGTCATATCCTGCATCAGAAAAATTAACTCTGCTCCTTAAGTTGGTGGGAAAATTGCCTCCTGGATATAAAATTGGAATGTAATTTATTTGGTATGACACTGAGGTGATTTTCACTAATTCACTGATAATGACCAGGCATTTCTCAATTAAGGCAGCTTCATCTGAACCTTATCAGTTTGAAACAGCTGTTGTTTGAACTTGCGTAATAGAGGAAAGAAGGTTGACTATTAAAAGAAATACAGAATGGGGGCCACCATGGTCGTTCTTTGGTTCATTTGATATTCAGAGATGCACCTGCAAATTGTAAAATATGTATTTTGTAATTTATAAAATGGTTTCACATTTTAAAAATGACATATAATCTTAAAAGTAGGCTTTTATGTAGTAAATGTCATATTTTTAACAGTTATCTTAAATTCCTAAGATTGTTTTAAATAGAAACACAATTTCATCAATTTTGAGGCAATATTAGAGGACAGCAATTTGCTTTAAAAATTTTTATGCAGTATTTCCCTATATTATGTGATAATTTGCTGGCTTTTTTAAATTGAAAATATGGGAGTATGTTAATGCAACATACTGATTTATGTATACTTGTCAATCATATTTAATCTTAATCACTCTAACTTTCTATTTCTGGACAATTATTTCTTTGATAGACATATGATGGATTTGGCAATTAATACCTTTCACATAGACTCAGAGCTAAGAATTCACTCTTCTCACCTGAAGATGATATTGAGAGCATAAAGGAACATTATATAGTTCAAGAAATCATTTAAAACTCAATAACTGTGGCTTCCAACATGGTTTCCTAATATTTTCAATAAAATCCTATTGATCTGTCTTATCAAATTATATGTAAATATGTTGTGTCCTTGAAGAAAACGACAGTTAACTCATGGGGCTTAAAGTCATTTGTCACAAAGGTAAATCTTAGTACCATTTCCCTATCTAGTTTGTCCTTGAATTATAACATTCCTCATGGTTTTGGTTCAATCTACACTGGTCTATAATAAAATTTTTTCTTTACTGATATTTTTTTAGAGAGAGAGGAAGGGAGAGGGGGAGAGAGATAGAAACATTGATGAGAGAGAACATCAATGGGCTGCCTCCTGCATGCCCCCCACTGGGGATTAGGCCCACAATCTGGGCATGTGCCCTGACCAGGAATCTAACCAATGACCTCTTGGTGCATGGGTCAATGCCCAACCACTGAACCACACCAGCCAGGCTATATTGGTCTATAACAAAGTGTCCAGCCCAGGCATCACTATGTTACAAACCTATCACCCTGAGATGTCTTGAACTAAGTGATCTCTAACCACTGTGATAATGGATTTGGTCTCACCAACTCACCTGCAATTCCATGCATGCAGGGAACAAATGTCCTCCTTCTCTTGCAGTCTGTGAGCATTAACCAGGCATAACACCTACTTTGTTTGAATATCGCCATTCTTTTCAGTCTTCTAGTCACTGAGTCTCTCATCAGAGACAGCAATGAAATTAACAGACTTATCCTGTTATTGATCTACTACAGCTATATGAATATTCAATGGGCAAATAATGTGATTTATTTGGATTTCTACTAACTGGCTCATTTTCTCAATGGAAGATGTTATGGCATTTTGGGCAGAACAATTCATTTAGGTTTGGCACATCTTAGTCCTGCCCACACAAGGCCATTAGCATGCCCCCATTACTGTGTCAGTCGGCAACGGTATCCACACATTTGCAAACGCACCCAGGAGTAGGGTGATCCTGCCATGGTAGAGAATTATGAGTGAAAGGGAGTTATAGACAGACCCCCTAAATGTTAATTTGTGAGAAGAAAGTGATTAATTTTTTTTAATCTCTGGATCTACAGCATAAAGTAAATACACTCTTTTATTTTATTTATGCAGTTGAATCAATTATGAAAACTATTATTTATAAAATGACCTACCTTCCATAATCACTATCCAAGATGAAGCTGACATTGTGATGACCTGGAATTAATTAAAATACATAATCATTAAATTCTCAATCATAGGAGAACAATAACTATATATTATAAAGGAGATTTAAAAGCAAAGAAATTTAAAATTAAAACTGTAATTATACAACCATATATTAATCCTCAAAGAAATGACAACTGAAGTATCTACCATTTTAGTAAAAGGTGAAAGATTTATCTACTATTTTAACATATATATATATATATACATATATATATATATATATATAGATATGCTATTTCAAGGTTAAAGCTAGAAAAACTGGACAAATATAATGATAAATGAAGAGTAATGAAAGAACATATGTGAAGCCATCTGGACCCCGGCTTTCTTCCATACATTCACCAGCTATTTAGTTGGGTCAGACACTCTGTCAAGGGTTGAGAGATGGAGGGTGAGCACAGTTTGCTCTTCTCCTAACAGAGCATGCTGTCTAGTGGAGGATACTGTCAGTCAAGAGCAATGACACAACCAGAGAACCACAAATTGTGATAACGTTATCAAGGAAAAGGAGTGTGAACTTTGAGAATGCAAAGGCCCTGAGACAGAAGGGAGTGAAACTCACTCGAGGATGAAAGGGTACATGTGCATGGAGTACACAGAGCAAGGGGGAAGGACAGAGTGAAATAGCTGAATTTGTCATGGTATCTCCCGGATAACAGAATTTAAAAAAAAGAAATCTGAAGAAGCTTACCTGAAATGTAAGCCTTAGGGAAAAGGTAATTCATATATGTTTACATGAAACTGAAAAGAAGCCAAGGAAAAGAGGAAATGCTAGTATTTAATAAACGGTTGGCGTTGCGGGAAAATACAAAGCAAGGAAACAGAGGCAGTCATTTCTGAGATATGAAGATCAGCATTTACCAACGTAAGTTCCGGTCGTCTTACAAATCATAGAACCCATGTCTCCACTTGGATGGTCTAGTTTTAAACCATACCTAATAAAATATGTATGTTAATTTCAAAGCTTACATTGACACTACTTTTTAAAATATTGTGCTTCCCTTAAAAACATCTTAAGAATCTCTAAATAGGTATCTAGATAAAAACTGTTGCTACAAAAAACAAATTCTGTGAAATTAAAATATTTTCTAGCTGTGGTTGAAGATATTTGAATAGAATATATTTGAAGAAAACTTCACTGAACAATTAAATATTTTATAATTAATTTGACTATCCCTATTGACACTTCTTAAAGTTTAAAATACTACCAAATGAAACAATTATTGGATAAAAATATTTCTCAAAACATCTTTCTCATAATTATCTAAACAATAGTTCATATCATACAGTACTGGAGACAACAGTGCATATCAGGTAATATCTAAGTATATAAATTCTTGCTAATTTACTATAAAACATTATAATTTATACTGTTTTATAAAGCATTCCTCTATGCAGTATTGCTAGAAATTACTCTTTAAACTTAGTATGTTTATATCTACCATTTATTTTTCCAAAGAAAATTATTTGAATTACTTACAAATTATCAGATTGTGGTATAAGAAGCTCACAGGGCATTCCTCCAATATACACTCTGTATAAATATTTTATTAGAAAAGAACAAGTTATGTTTAATAAATTGTTTCAAAATGCTTTCCTCCCACCAATTCAAAGCCACCTTATATTTTTTTCTCTTGATCACTTATTATCCATCACTTATTTGTTCAACAAATATCTATTGAATGCTTATTACGTTGCAGTCTTTGCTTTAGGTACTAGAACACATCAATGGGAAAAAAAAAAACACAAAGATTTCTGCTCTTGTGGGGGAGACTGATCATAAAATGATAATCAGAACATATGTGGTGTATTTGTGAGTGATAGGTATTAAGGGAGAACAAAACATACAAACAGATAATGGGGACTCCCCCATCTGAAATTCAATTAATTCAAATACAAAACATAACTTTGTAGTAAGTTTCATACTATAGAAATTCAACATGGCCACAATAGAGGCCCCACAGAGTAATCAGGATGAAAAGAATGTCTAACAGCATAAGTGAGGTTGAATAAGAAGCTGAGAAGAGGCAGGGTCAGGCTGGAGAGAGCACATCTGTCTTTGCTTTTCCGCAGGTGATTAGGTGCTTTAAGGCTGATAGAACCTGAGGTTATTGGAGGCCTGCAGGTTACTGACTAGTACTGTATTTTTTGCATTATCATAATAAACCCCCCAGCTTCTGTGACAGCAAATCCCAGACTCAAAATAAGGCCAGACACAAACCTGAACTTAAAATATAAGGACTTCTGATTGCAGATAATTTTGAACTTTTTAATATATTTTTATGTACCAATCCTTTCATTTGGTCATTACATTAGGTTTATAATGAAAGTAACCTGAATTATTGTACCCATTATAGATGTATGGATTCGAGTTCTTCTTCTAATCTCCTGCCTCATTGTACCCAAATGATAATTTTAGCAGCTAACACTTATTAGGCACTTACACATTTAATCCTTACAACCTTTTATAAGTTGGTAACTATTACTTTTTCACTATACAGAATAAGAAACTGAGAGAGGAAAGTTAAGTAGCTTGCCTAAGCCTGTGGCCAGCAAGGGGTAAATAGGAATTCAAATCCAGGCAGTCAACTCCCTGTTTGCTTTTTTTCTTCTTCTTCTTTATTGATTTTAGGGAGAGAAGAAGGGAGAGGGAGAGAGAGATAGAAACATCGATTGGCTGCCTCCTGCATGGCCTTCACTGGGGATTTGGCCCACAACCTGGGCATGTGCCCTGACCGGGAATTGAACCGGTGATCACTTGGTGCATGGGCCATTGCTCAGCCACTGAGCCACACGGCCGAGTGCCCTGTTTGCTCTTAACCACACTGAGTAATTCCCACAGTTGTCTGGGTTTGCCTGTCTATGGTAATAATACACTATTTGGCCTTAAACACATGAATTTTTATATTTTTCTCATCTGGTATTTTAGATCAAAATCTCCTTGGTAGGTACTAGATCACTGTAGTCATTTGCATGTCCTCTATAATTTGTACCTGTTCTGAATTTGGAGATTTGGCAGAATTGACAAGACTTGTGAGTAGCAGAAGCGGCTAGAGCACTGGGGTCCCCTGACTTCCTGCCTACTACATGGTCCACTGCTTCATGCTAATGAAATTCAGGCACAATTAATGTGGTAAAAATGAGATAAATGCAGGTCAAAGGTGTTCTCTCCTCCCATTATTAGGTGTCTGAAATTCTTTCTATATGAATACATAGTGTTTCCAGGTTTCCAGAGTGTGAGAGCTGGGTAGCCTGACCTCTGAGGTACCTGCTGAGTTCAGTTCTGTGATTTTATGACATAATTTCCACCCATTCCTTTGTGTTAAACAGAAGTAACTTCAGCTACAGTAAGAGAAAAAAGGAATCTCTCTTTGAAAGTTAAACTTTCTATTTCTTGGCAGTATTATGGGAAAGGATGATTTACAAAATCCCACTTAAGAATTAGATTGTAAACCATTCATAACACTCAGTTATACGGCAGCAAACAAAATCTCTACTTATGCTACATTGTCTATATAAAATGTTAAATCTTTATTTACCTATTTAGTAGTTATTTTCTTATATAGAAGGAATCAATACGAACATTTCCAGATTATAGATTCATGCAAATGTTATTTAATTGAGACTTATACCTTATAGAATTTCAGATAAATAAACTTTATTTCATTTAGTAAAACCTTTCAAATTGCATGTTTTACAAAATTATCTATGCAAATGTACATGTATGTGTGCTATCTGAATTATTGTTTAATTTTTCTATTTACCCATGTTATATATGTATTCAGTAAGCATGAAGCACTTGAAAGTCATAATACTGATTCTATGCTTCCTTCTATAGGAAATGAACAGACTTTCAGTCTTTTAAGGGGGAACTGCGGTAACCCCACCCATGCTACAGGACAAGAACTCTAGTCAAAATGCTAGTTTCCAGTCCAAAATGTAGATAATTGTTTTTGATGTTAAATAACTAGCCAGTGTTACTGTCTGGTCCACAGCTGGTAAATGGAAGAACTAGGATTCAAACTGAAGCCTGTTAATAGTTAATAATGGTTCTTAGCTTTAGCAGTCTCCTGCAAACCATGGCACAGTATAAGCCACAAATGGCATGTTAGCAGACTTGGGTTCTCTTCCTGATCTTGACTAAGATTTGGACCTCTAGGATTCAGTGTGGTTTTTTTTTAATGTGTGCAAAATGAGGCAGTTCAATTGAGTAACAGAAATCCCTAATAATAAAGTTCTGTGACTTTAACTGAATTGCTCTGGCACTTGCTTCCATGTACCTTCTATTAATAAAACCCATCATAGAAAAAGAATGATGCTTCCATGTCAATGCATCCTCCAACAGTTTATTTTTCTTTCTATAATATGGCTGCAAAAAACACTGGTTAATTTCACTGTAGTAGTTTTTAATACAATTTGACCCATTATTTTTGGAATATCATATCCTGTCTGTGAGTTATAAGAATATATTTCCACATCAATAATTTACCTCAAAATCCTAACATTTTTCCCATTTGAGCTTAGTGCAGTATTACTTCCATAGACATCAGTGAAGATTCTGCCTTGGATTGTGATTAGTGTACCTAAAAACAGACAAAAATTTCGGTGTACAATTATCTACTCATATGCTTACACACTTACTACCAAAACATTAGAGGGTCTTCCAATAAAACGAGCATCCAAATACTCATATGTCATGTCCTCCACTACTGCTTAGCATTGTTCTGAAAGTTCTAGCAAATAAAATAAAACATAAATGAATATTCATAGTATTAATGAAGTATCTATAATGAAGTATCTATAAATATTTATAAAGAGATGTTTCCTGACAGGATGAATTAGTCAATAAATATCACTGAGGTCATGGGTGATTTAATTGGAAAAGAGTAAATAAGAACCCCTACTTTATATTAAAAAAATAAAATCAATCTTAGATGAAATAAAAATTAAATATAAAATATAAAACCATAAAAACTCTTAAAAAATAAGTGAAAATGTATGTAATATTTTCATAATTGGGATTTGTGAGTCTTCTATAACATAAATGCAAAGGAAAAACTAACAAAGGTTAAGATTTACAGATTTGATAATAAAAATTAAAAGTGTCTGAATTACAGAAAAACTATTGATTAATTTTAAAAGCAAATGGTAAATTAAAAAATATGTCCCATATATATGGCATATAAATGGTTAATATCCTTAAATTTCTCATAATCTAATATAAAAAAGTTCCCTAGCCTTAATTTAAGCCAAGGAAAAAAACAGGTAATTTATAAAAGAAGAAATACCAACAGTCAGTAAGTAAAAAATATATTTAATTACATAAATCAAAAAATTGGAAATTGTTTTTAAAGCTTACATTTTTCATATAAATACTTGAAAATAATTATAATTATCAGGTCACAGAAAAAGCATTCTCACATATTCTTATTGGAATTATAAACTGGGATAACTATAATTATTATAATGAACACTAGAAGACAGCTAAATGTCCAATAGAAAGATAGTTAAATACACTATAGTAGATTCAGATGCAGCCATTGAAAATAATTTTATAAAAATATTGGGTGTAACTGTACAATAAAAAAATGCTATTTATAAATTTTCAGACGTTATAATAATTTTATACAAAAGTAAATTAATTAATTACTACAAACCAAAAAGATATTTTAGCTGTCATATAACAGACCTGGAGTTCCAGATAAAGGTGTGATCCTCCTTATTGTTGGGGTTCTGAAACTTTTTGCCTGTAAAATAATAATTTCAATAAGCAGTCTTAGCTCTATTTTTTTCCTTGTTTTATGGAATATCTGTGCTTCTTACATTATTTATATTTAAGCAGTATCCACAAAATGACTGTCAAAATATTCCTTTTTACATCTAAGAAATAAAATTTAGAATATTATTCTGATTATTCAAGATCTTTTCCCTATTCCCTTAAAATTCTCCCTCATTTCAAAGTGTTTCTAGCTTGCAGTTTGAAAATTCAAGCATCTTTTTGTTATCAGTGTAAGTCAAACCACAGTGATAAGGCTCTCTGGTAAAGACTTTAGGAATTTGGTAGAATGAAATGAAAGAAAGCCTATTTTGGATTAAGCCCAAGAAGAAAAATAATAATGCATATTTCAAAAACATGAAGCAAAACTTGGGGGAAAACCATCAAAGTGAGCTTTCGATACTGTTTCAGAACAGTGCAGGTATAATTCATAAGAACTGGGACAGCAAATGAGAACTGGAAGAGAGCAGAATTCCAGGGAAGCCACCAGGGTGATGGAGACTAGTATTTTGTGACAGACTAATGGCCCCCTAGAGAGGTCCATGCCTCTACGTCTCTGGAAACCGTGAATATGTTCGGTTACAGGACAGATGGTTACAGATGGAATTGAAGTTGCTAATTTGTTGATCTTAGAATAGGAAGATTGTTATCTGGCTGGGCTCAATGTAATCACAAGGGTCCTTATAAATGGAAGAGGGAGAGAGAAGGGCCAGAGTCGGAGGAGACGCGACAATGGGAACAGGTCAGGGCGCTGCAATGTGATAGGGACTCCACCACCACTGCTGACTTTGCAAGCACAGGAAGGGACCACGAGCCAAGGAATGCGGGCGACCTCAGCCTAGAAGAGCGATTTTCAAAGTGGTGTGCCACAAGAAGCACACCGGTGCCCCGCAAGAATTTTTAAAACATGCAGTTCCTGACTATTCAGTCAGGGGCACAGACCTCTTCTCCCTTAGATTGTCGAATAAAAGCACGACAATAGCCAACACAACAACAGCCATCTGGTAGGAATGAATCCAAATTATACCTATATTTTGTTAGATCAGCAAAAAAATGTTTTTTGGTGTGCCACAGAATTTTAATACTTGGTTTATGTGCCATGAGATGAAAAAGGCTGAAAATCATTGGAGTAGAAGACGGAAAAGGAAAGGAAACAAATTCTCCCCTAGAGCCTCCAGAAGAAATGCAGAGCTCCGGACACCTTGATTTTAGCACACTGAGACCCCAGATGTCTAACCTACAAAGCGGGAAAGTAATAAAGCTGTGTTGTGCAAGCCACTAAGTTTGGGTACATTTTCACGGCAGCAAATGGAAACTAACACATACCTCCTGGAGATATACAAGCACGTGTGCGAGGCAGGAGGGGACGGTGGTTGAGAGTCAGTTTTGAAGTGATGCTGTCTGAATTAAAATTTGAGCTCTACCACCCCCGCGTTGTATGACTTTAGGTAAGTGATGTAACTTCTGTTTTACTGTCCATAAAATGGTGATAATAATAAAAGGATACAGTTACCGGATTGTTGTGAGAGTCAAGAGCAAATATTTATAACATACTTAGACTGCCCCTGGCACACAGTCAATTACATATTAATTATTGGTTATTATTATCTAAGTAAACATATGCCAACTTATTTTCCAAAGGAAGGATGAGAAATAAGTACTGCAAAAGGGATATAGACTACCATGTGAAAAAGAAAATGAATACCAAATAGGTAAAGAGCAGAGCTGATGGGCAAAATAAAGAATCCTCAGTAACCGAGATACATACAGGTCAAATTCTACACTTAAAAACGAAAAGGGTAGTCCCCCCTTACCCGCAAGTTTAGTTACCCATGGGTCAACCAGGGTCCAAAAATATTACATGGGCAATTCCAGAAATCAATAATCCATATGTTTTTAATTGTGTACTGTTCTGTCTATTGTGATGAAATCCCAGTAGTCCCACTCCATCCTGCCCCAGACAAGAATCCTCCCTTTGTTCAGTGTCACCACGCTGTACACGCTCCTTGCCCGTCAGTCACTTAGGAGCCCTGTTGGTTATAAGATCAACTGTCACAGTTTCATTGTGCTTGTGTTCAAATAACCCTTATTTTACTTAAAGATCGCCCCAGAGCACAAGAACAGTGAAGCTGGCCCTTTGGATATGCCAGAGAAGCTGTAAAGTGCTTCCTTTAGCGAAAAGGTGAAAATTCTTGGTTTAGTAAGGAAATAAAAACAGTTATAGGCAGAGTTCAGCAAGGGATCCCCTGAATCAAGTGATGTCAGGCCATTTACTGCAAGTGAGGGGTGGTTACACAGATTCAAGAATAGATTTAGACTGAAAAATGCAAAAACTTCTGCATTAGCCAACGAAGCTGCTGCCACGTTGCCAGCAGAGTGGGAGAGGCTGGTCGGGGATCGGTACTCTCTGCAGTTTCAGGCACCCAGTGGGGGTCTTGGAACTTACCCTCCAAGGATCATGGGGGGACTACTGTTACGCAGAAGAAAACAAATGGACTAGAAATAGATCAAGAAGAGTCCATCTGCAGAAACACCACAGAAACAGGAAACAAAACAAAACAAACAGAAATATGGGCAACATTTTTAAGAAAGACAGTATTTTGGAGGTGGGGGGTTGTTGATGCAGAAAGGGAGGCATGGATACAAAATAATACAAACAAAATAAGCTAGCACAAAGTCAACTTTCAAGAAATATCTGTTGTCCCTCCATTCTCATCCAGGCACAACCTGAAGAATGCCCAGATCTCCACTTACAAGTAAAAGGACAGATTTTTAGACTAACAAGAAAACAGATACATTTTCAAATGCAAGGCTAAGAATGACTTCAGACTTATTCTTTCACACTTTAAAGTGGCAAAAGGAGAGAAATGCTTCCAGGAGAAAGAAAAAAACTTGTTATGTTTCTATTAAAAATGAAGGTGGTTCCAGTGAAAATAGAAAAAAAGAAGAATCAAACAAAGAATAGAAATGAAGAGAAGAAATAGTGTAACTAAGAAAATAATTTAGAAGTATAAAAGTTCAATCCATTAATAAAATTAATTTAGAGGAGGGAGAAACAAATCAGAAATAATGAAAGCGATTCTATCACTATGGAAGATAATTAAAACTGAGTGAAAATATCCTTAGCTACATGTTAACATATTTTTAAGTGCGGACACAGGTAACAATCTGTAAAATTAAAAAGTGAAAGCCCAGTTCCACATGAAGGGAAGTGTAAGATCAATTCTCTGTGAATTAAAGACAAGCTCCCACATACATAGAAGCGGCATGCTCGGCTGTGGATGTGACCTCTGCAGGTATTATTTTCGGTAATAGGAACCCCATCCACACTGACTCTAACAGTGTAGGAATCTTCTGGCATTGCCCTGGAAGGCAAACGAAGAACATATAAGAAATGCAATAACTGTTTTATTGTATGTATAGTACTAATGAAAAAATACTACCCCAGACTGCTTGTCATTTTTGAAGAGAGGTGTCTAAAACTTTAATTGGTGGACAGTCAAATTCTACTTTACATTATGAAAGACTGATCTCCATCCTAAATTCCACACTGCAAATTCTAAATCGTGGACCTCAGGCAAGTGCTTATTCTAAGTGCATTGACGCTTATTGAAAAGTAAAATAAATGCAAAAACAACAAATGTAATAATAATAATTTAAAATAGTAGCATATCACTTTGCTTTGTTTAAAGAAAACTTTTAATCAAGTTTCTCCATAAGTAAGCTTTTGCTGTCAAAAAAAAAAAAGCCAACAAGCCCAAAGTAGATGAAATCCTCTGAAATATATGCTTTATGTTACAAGATTGAAAGTTGTAGTTTAAAATGATTAATTTTTCCCCTATGTTGCTAATAACAAACATTAATTTGGGCTAATAGTAAAAAACTTGAAATGTCACTATACACAATGACCGTCTTTAATCTTAATGACTATGTCATGATATTGAACAAAATTCATCAAACCTGACAGGAAAGCATAATTTTGATATTTTGAGGAGCATCATTACAATTTAATAGCAGCCATTTATCTTCTAAAAGAGATCAATAATGATAATAGCGCTAATAAACTGGACAAGAATTTAGAATATATTTTATGCCAATATGTGGAAAGAGCATTATAATTGAATGCAATAAAGGTAGAAAATGGTCTAAACATCATGAAATAAAAAATAGCTGATAATCAGGAAAATATTAACAGCCAGAGTGATACAACTATTATAATACTACTAATATGCATAAATGTAATTCTGATATGATAAAAAGGATGTTATAAAAGATACTTGAAAACATACCTAGTATAGCATGTAATTTGAGTTGAATGACTTGCATCTTTTTCTACATCACAAGAAATGGATCGAAAAGAAGAAACTAACTGCACACTGTTTCCCAGCTCAGCCTCATCAACTCCATAGTTAAACTGGTTTGCTTGAGCAAAACCTGAAAAAGTAAAAACACTCAATTATCATTATTATTTTAATATGTTTTTATTTATTTTTTATAGGGGAAGGGAGAGAGAGATAGAAACATCAATGTGAGAAACATCAATTGGCTGCCTCCTGCACGCCCCCTACTGGGGATTAAGCCCACAACCTGGGCATGTGCCTTGACTGGGAATCGAACTAGGATCTTTCAGTCCATGGGATGATGCTCAATCTGCTGAGCCACACAAGCCAGACAACACTAAATTATTATTAATGGATTCTGTTTTTAGAGATCTAACCATTGTCATTCAATATCGAATTATTCAATAAATAATAAGGAATAGTACTGAAGTAAGCAGTTAGCTTATATCATATTTATCTCTATAATTGTAATCCTCTTTAGAAGAGAAATATTAGACTTAGACAGCAGAAAAGAATAGTAAATAGATTTTCAGAGAGAGAGGAAGGGAGAAGAGAGAAACATTGATGTGAGAGTGAAACATCGATCGGCTGCCTCCTGCACGCCCCCTACATCAAGACTGAAACCTGGGCATGTGCCCAGACTGGGAATTGAACCAGAAACCCTTTGGTGGACAGGATGACACCCAACCAACTGAGTCACACTGGTCAGGGCAACAAATATTTTATATACAAATATATAAACATGTATATATGTACATATATATATACCATCGGAAGCTATATACTATATCCAGTGCAGACAGCTACTATGAAAAAAGCATGCTGACAGGGATAAAAGAGTTGCATGAGGGAATGCTAGAACACTATTTGCCATGAGTTCCTATAAAACAAAATCTGAGGTGAGGACTTGCAAGCAGTTTATATGGGTGGTGATCTCTTACAGACAAGGGAGAGTGAAACATGAAGAAAGAAGAGCTGGGCACCACGGAGGACAACTGGGGCTCGTCTTGCTGGTAACAAAGAATCAACAGCAAGACGCACTTATTCATCAAGTCCTGTCCCCATTAGTTGAGGGTTACCTCTGGGGAAATAACCTTTCCTGCACTTTCGGGCAGCTTATACGCCATGTGGGATTCAAGTCCGAAGTCCCTCTCTTGGAGAAGCCCTGGGACAGTAGAAAAAGTCACGCTCTGAGAACTTGAGGCAAGAATCTGAAAGTATAAATTGAGTCAGAGTACAGAGGAAACTATTTGCCACAGCTGTGGCTAGAATCTGAGGTGAGAACAAGAGGATGTGAGGCTGAGCATAAAAGGCACCTGATGCAGTCCACTCCTTGCACCATACAGAAATTCTCATGCTCTATACTTTAAGTGCAACCAGGTCTCCAAGGTGGTATCCAGCTGAGAGCTCTGCTAAGGATTTCATACAAGAGTGTTAGTGGGACAAGCTGCAGGCCACTCTAATACAACTCGGTCTTGAGGCTATAATGAACATTTACATGTCCCCTCTCTAGCACCCATTATAGACTTCCCTCACCCTTAGTCAGCACTTCAGCTAATGGAGTGACACTAACCTTCGTCCTAAAGGTCTGAGCCCTCAGCTGCCTTGCCCTTGTTAGGTTGCGGTTGCCATAAATGCCTCTTCACACTTATCACTGGACATTAAAGCCAAGAGATACCTCCACCAATGTTGTAAATTCCAGACATACTCCTCCTTATCTGCATCAGGTAAAGCATGATCATCAGAACTGATTATCTCTAGTTGTCTACTAATTATGTGTGATGAATTCAAACTGATCAGGAGTAGCAGTAGTTTTAGTTCAGTGGAACCTATATTGGGAGCCTTGGCAGAAACATTTTTCTAACAGAAACTCAGACCCCAAATTCAGCAGAATCTAAAACTGCAGGGACAGAAAGCACAGATTCAATTCCTGCATCACTGGGAGTGATAGTAATGGGAGGCAACCCTTCACTCCCAGCTCTCTGTATTCTATCTATTGGCGAATCAACAGTATGTACCGGCCATTGGCTCACTGCATAGCATGTAATAGAGGACGACATCCCATCCCACAGGATAAGGAGGAGTATGTTTGGAATTCATGACGTTCGTGGAGGAATCTCTTGGCTTTAACGTCCAGTGATAAGTGTGAAGAGGCATTTACGGCAACCGCAACCTAACAAGGCCAAGGCAGCTAAGGGTTCAGACCTTTAGGATGAAAGGATGGGTAAGATCCCCAGCTGGGCCATTTCATCATTCTACTGAGCCATATGTTTCAGGGTGACTCGGGCTTCAGGGTCATACACCTGTTATCATTACTTTTTCACTATAAAATGCATTCCTTGTTCTGAGGCTCTATTTGTGGACTCTCGTGACGGTAAATCAGACTCTCTAGGCTCTCAGAAGATGGAGCTGGCAAAAGTACTGCGGAAAGAGAAGGCGAGACCCGTGTCTGGAGCAGGTGCCAGTTCCAGCTATAATGAACCTCTGCTCTTTCCATGAGAGGAGAGTGATGCAGACAACTTGTCACTAAGTGGCTGGGTGAACTTCATGAAGGACGGTCTGGAGAGCTCAGTGTTGGTCTCTGCTACTGGCAGGTCAGGTGTTCAGCAACAGTAGTAGGCACCTCGGCCTTGGCGACAGGAATTCCACAGTGTTGGCCCATGCACAGCCATCAATCATCATGACCACACTATCCTTGAGCCCTTTTCACAAGTACTGGGGTGGCCAAGTAGAGCAGCTCTTGGCTGAGTCATGCAGTCAACCTGGTTGTTCTGTTTCCTCTGTGGGAATGCTTTCTTGTGGGAATCAGCTTGAGACATATAGATCTGCATGCTTTGTGTTCACTACCATGAGTCCATTCACATGCCTCTTTCCAAAACTATCCTGTTTGTGATCTTCCAATCCTGTTTCTGGGATACAGGAAACATGTGATATAGATGGTGAAGGAAGCTTCTCAGAAGGAGTAAGGCATGACAATACCTATGGCAAGTGCGTTTTAAATAGAGGGAACAAGATGTTCCAAGGCTCTGTGATGGGAGCAAGTTTGTGAATTCAAGAATTAGCAATTACGGTTAAAGAAGTAGGAATGAGGAGAAGGATAGGAGATGAGACCAGAAATGGGAGCATTGGGATTATTTTTATCAGTGGAGAACCACTGGAGGCTTTGAAACACAGGAGAGGCATGATCTTACACTTCCCAAGAGTCACTAGATGCTCTTCTAAGAGTATAGACCTGGGACAGGAGCGAGAGTGGAGTGGGGGCAGGAGTGAAGATGCTATATCAATGAGTGATGAATACATGACTGTCTCCCATGTGTTCAAGAGATGATGGAGGACAGTAAGTGAAGAGAACAAATCTTGGAAATCTTTGTGGGGAGTTTTACTGTAAAGGAGAGCAGAAAAATTGGGTGGTAGATGGAGAGGAGTGTAGAAGAAGAAGGTTGGTGATTTTACTTTTTGCAGGTGGGTGAAATAGTAGTATGTTTGCATGCTGACAGGTGTGACCCAATAGAAACAGAAAAATGGATGATATGAAAAACAACAGAGCAGAAAGTTATTTTCATTTTACTATAAATATATAAAAATTCAAAACTAGATTTGGGTCCTGGCCAGTTTGGCTTAGAGGTTAGAGTGTTGGCCTGTGGACCAAAGGGTTCCAGGTTCAATTCTGGTCAAGGGCACGAACCTGGGTTGCAGGTTTGATCCCCGGCCTGGGTCAGGGTCATGTGGGAGGCAACCAATCCATGTGTCTCTCTCACATCAATGTTTCTCTCCTGTTCTCCTTCCCTTCCTTATGTGTAAAAAAATAAACAAATAAACAAAAAAAACTAGATTTGGATGTAAACATAAATTAAGTAATTTTATACTATATAAAGTATTTTATATTGTTAAAACAACATTAATTTTAAAATAAACCTATGAAAAAATTTAACTGGATAATGTTCTATTAATAAAATCCTGTAATTAAATATTCTCCTAATAAAAATGTTTAAAAGATACTTAATACTATTGAAGTATACAAACTGAACCTATGAAGCTATCTAGGTCATAATATTTTTTTGGAATAAAGTTAAGTTTGTAAATAGTTTTTGCCCTGATTACTTCAAAATCTAAAATTCCTGAATTCTGAGTTATAATTCTGCGTTTTTGCCCAGCCGGTGTGGTTCAGTTGGTTGAGCATCTTCCTATGCACCAAGAGGTTGAAGGTTCAATTCCCAGTCAGTGCATGTGCCCTGGTTTCAGGCTAGGCCCCAGTATGGGACATGCAGGAGGCAGCTGATCAATGTTTCTTTCTCTCTCTCCACCTACCTTCCTCTCTCTCTTTAAAATTAATAAAAACATATTTTTAAATGTGAATTTTTAAATATTATTTTTCTCTGAGTATCACAAGTGCTTAACACTAAAATACCACCATTGATTACTAATGATACTTTTGAAATTATGAAAATTTTTCTTTTATACCAAAAGAGTTGCATCATGTAGTTGATGTAAACCTATAAACTATTTAAATTTCAGAACTTAATCACCTATAGAACATATTGTTCCCCAAGTACAATAACAAACTTAAAATCAGTGTAAAAAAGAAGGTAAACCCAGAGGTGTAGATTTAACTCTCTAAATCCTATGTATTTACATTATTAATGTTAGAAAAAAATAAATATTAAGTATTTATCTTAAATTGTCAGTAGTTCTCAAATATGTTTCAACAATCACCACTACAATATGTGCTCACATTAAATAACCTTTAATAGTCAAAGTGGCTGAAGGGGGTTGCCAGATGTCTGTTGTATGACTGCTTTTAAATTACTGAACATTTTCAGTGTTCTACAAAGGTCTGTTAGAAAGCACAAATGTTGCCCTGGCCAGTTTGGCTCAGCGGTTAGAGCGTCGGCCTGCGGTCTGGAGAGACCCGGGTTCGGTTCCCGCTAAGGGCACGTACTCCGGTTGCAGTTTGTCCCCGGCCCTGATTGGTCGTGCAGGTGGCAGCCACTCGATGTGTCCCTTCACGTCGATGTTTCTCTCTCTCTCTCCCTCCCACTCTATCTGTACAAAAAATGGAAAAATATCCTCGGGTGAGGATAAAAAAAAAAAGAAAGAAAGCACAAATGTTGCCTGGTTTAGTGTAGAAAGTAGGACTTCACTGTGCCAGATGTTCACCAAATGCCACGTCCCTAAACTCCTGCTCTGATAAAGCTGCATGTCAAGGACGGTGCCCTTTAAGGAAAGGGCATTTGGATACCGACAGCCGGGTTGGAATGCCAGCTCCAGCATTTCCTTGCAGTATGACCTTGGGCATTAGAGTTTTACATATCGGCTCTCTCAGTCTTAGTCTTCTCATCAGAAAACTGACCACCATAATCTACTTATTGGATTGTCAGGAAGACTAAATGAGGATATATATATATATAATCTTTATTTATATAGCTTAACATGGCTCATATGTTAAGAGCTCAGTTGATATCTGCTCTTAGTCATAAAAATCCTGGGTTTTAGGTTCAGTGTTAATATCCCTTTTAAAAAACAACAGAGAAGTAATAAGTGGGGCCCAGGATTTGAACCCAGGTTGTAGATGCCAACCAGGTACATTTGTGATATTCAGAGAAAAATAATATTTAAAATGCACATTACAAAGCTATTAGTTGTTACCCAGTGTAACTTTCTCCAGACCCTATGTTCTTAGCTGCTCTCCTATCCTTTATATGTAGAAAAAGTAAGCAGAAACTCAACAAAAGGTAGGGATTTTAATAAACATCATTTTTTTCTAAGAAATATTAACTGGCCCTGGCCGGTTTGGCTCAGCGGTTAGAGCGTCCGCCTGCGGTCCGGAGGGACCTGGGTTCGGTTCCCGCTAAGGGCATGTGCCTCGGTTGCAGTTTGTCCCCGGCCCTGGTTGGCCGTGCGGGTGGCAGCCACTCGATGTGTCCCTTTCACATCGATGTTTCCCCCCCTCTCTCTTCCTCTCTCTCCCTCCCACTCTATCTGTACAAAAAATGGAAAAATGTCCTCAGGTGAGGATAAAAAAATAAATAAATATTAACTGAACATTATTCATCCAGCATAGACTAAGGTACAAATATAAGCATCAGTTTAACATCTAAAAAGATATTTGCACTGAATTCAAGGTCTTGAATCTAGAAAGGCAGTTACTGCTAAAGTGGAATTATGAGAAGACACATGAAAACACAGGAAAGCAGCAACTTGTAAACCTGCTCGTTTCTTCTGCCAACTTCTGCTTATCTTTGGAGTTCACATTGAGTTTGGAGCACACAGAAGGCTGCTTGGCAACTAACTAAAGAATGGAAAATTTTCATTGTGGTGTTGCTCAGGATGTGATGTATGTATTATTTTCCTATTAGGTACATGTCACATGAATGATATGGTAATGCAGATGTGTTCTTCAGCTTCCCTAAGACAAATACAACTCTAAAAAATACTAACAAAAGATGATGTGTTTAGTTTAGGAGTTGTTTCGTTGTTTCTCTCTCTCTCTCTCTCTCTCTCTCTCTATATATATATATATATATACAGACACACACACACACATATATACATATATATATATATTTCCTAGGAGTAAAATCTATGGAAAACATACAAACCAAATCAGTAAGATTTTTGTAAATATTTTCATTATAAATTTTGCTAAAAAAAACATAGAAATATTTCTATTTTTTTTTAGCTAATTCCAGAGTTTAAAAAAATACAAAGGAATCACCTTTAAAAATAATTTTAATTTAAAATTGTAATTTAAAAAATTCAAAGTAATCACCTTTTAAAAGAATTTTAATTTAAAAGCATAATTCTAAATAAATAATTGGGCATAAAGAAGATACCTCTGGAAGTGCTCCAAAGCACAAAGATTACAGGAAGGGTTGGGTGTACCCTGGGAACAGAAAAAGTTGAGACTTTAAATGGAAATTCCTAACATGTTGATGTGTTTGTTTGTTTTCTTTTGCAGAAAAACTGGAGACAAGACCTGCCAGGCACGAAAACCTGGGCCTCCTGATAGCAGCCTGGGCTGCCTTCATGGAAGAGGTCGGCTGCCATGTACAATTCAGGCTATCTCGGTTTCTCTACTTAGAAAGAGTGGGGTTGAGAGTGTATAAAGCTACTTATAAGTTGCAACATTGAAAACAATGGGAAGAAAAGGTGCAGCGTGATGGAAGAAACTCCTAAAGAATGAAATTAAACCTATAACATACATGCAAAAGAATAATCACAATTAAGCAGCTCCAATTTATGGAGCATATACTATATATGGGTGACTCAGATACATCATCCATTTCAATATTCACAATAGCCATGTGGTTTCCATAACATTATAAAAACTGTGTAATTCAGCATTTCACATTAACAAAAATATATATGCCAGACACTGTAATAGGAAAATATTGAAAAAATACCCAACAGTAAAATGTTACTTCTTCCATCTTAGTGATATTTTTAAATAAAGGGAAACATGATAAATGCCAAGGAAGACAATTGACAAACACAAGGTTTGAATATAATGTAATAAAACCAATAGTTAGAAACACTCTAGAACTAATACAAATAATAACACAACCTCACAAATCAGTCATCTTAGAAGGACACACAAGTATTTCTATGATCATGCCATTACACAAAACACTTTTATTTGGGCGTAATAACTGTAAAATTATGTATCTTTGGTTCCTGAGGCACAGCCTTTAGAACAAAGTGATACAGTAGCAAATTTTTGCCTGTAAAGGTCAATACTATGCATGGAAAAAGCCAAAAGTCATTTGGATACACCAAAATATTAAAGTAGATCTTTCTAGAGGGTGAAATTTCAGAGAAACCACTTTCTAAATCAAACATATCTGTAATAGTTTACTTTTTCATCATAACTTTTACAAAAATAAAACATTTAAAAAGTCACATGGGCCCTGGCCAGTTTGGCTCAGCGGTTGGAATGTTGGCCTGCGGACCAAAAAGTCTTGGGTTTGGTTCCCACTAGGAACACGTACAAAAAATAAATAAATAAATAAAAATAATAAAAAATAATAAATCATATGGGACCAACATTTGGGTAATCATCTGGCATTTACAATTTCATCTCCAAAGTGTTCTTGTGTGGGTAATAACTTGGCTCTGTGTGTAATTCTAAACATGAAGCATTGGTTAGAGACAGAACAGATAAATAAACTTTGTTAAGTACCATATTCATGTAGCTAGAGGTGTGTTTTGCAAATTCATTATCATTGCTCTATACACATTCTGTATATATATCACGGGTCCCCCAAACCTACATCAAACAGTATTTAGACTCAGCCTCTGAGAAAAACAAGGAGAGGGAAGACAAATCTGGGTGGGGCTGCTCATATCTGCAATTCCAATAGAATTGAACTAATCTAGATTTCTCTACCAAAGGCACCTATAAATTGAGACTGACAGGAAAACTAGAAATTTGCCGTGACGCTTTGTGCTTCACAGTATTACTCCTGAGCCTTAGAGACACGGAAGAACAAAGGTTATAGCTAGATTCATAAAGGTATTCTTCCAAACCGCTTTAAGAATAGAGTGTTCATTTGTTTGTTTTATTTTTTTTCTATTTCTAACAAGGGATGATCTGAATTTATATACTTAAGCTATGGCTTTTGGATAAAAAAAAAAGTTCAGGTCTCTAGATAGAAGAAAATAGCCAGGTAGTTTTATTGTTTTGTTTTAATCTGGGTATTTCTTTCATGACATGTAAATCTCTGTTAAAAACCCAGTAGCTTTTGCCCTTGCCCAGGTAGGTCAGATGGCTGGAGCATGGTCCTGATGAGCAAAGGTTGGGGTTTGATTCCTGGTCAAGGCACATACAGGAATCAACCAGTGGATGCATGAGTGGGAGGAACAACAAATCGGTATTTCTCTCTCTCCCTTCCTCTCCTAAAGTCAATAAATAAAAAAAATTTTTTAAGTACTAATAGCTTTCAAGCACATTTTGTTCCCAGCACTTTATAATATAAAGGAGCTATGGACAAAGACATTTTAAAAATAGTCTTTAACAAATACATTGTCTCCAGGTATTTAACTCTAAAAAAGAACACTTTAATTCAAAATACATTGTTCATAATTTAGAGGCATAAACTATTTTAAGTATATCACTGAGAAGTTGAATTCTGCAGAAATATTACTTAGAAATATTGAAAGACATCAATATATAACAGAATTAAATATCTTGCTTTGCCAATTCTCTTACTCCAAAAGCTTCTCATTTCTCTTCTTCTTACAGACTAAGTAATAGCTTTTGTTAATATTATTTTTAAATTTTTCTTTCTCATCCTTCAGAAATTTGTAAGCACCTGAATGCTACAACCATTTAGATTCCAAAGGCCATGTTGTTAAAAGAACCACATATTTCTATTTAATCATAGTAATTAAATATATTCACTGATTGCTTAATATGTTTTCACCTCAAGACCAGGCAAGGAGAGAGTCACACATAACCCGTGCTTTGATGAAGTATATAATAATTGGTGGCAGGGGAAGGGACTGCTGTCATTCTTTCTCCTTTCTCCTTCATTCCCATTTTATTTCTCTGTAATACCCTCTTACCAACATTCTATCCCCAAACCCCCAACATGTTTTATTTGATATAAAAACAAATGAAATATTATTAGACCCACGAAGAGCGAAGCAAATAATTACAGAGTTGAGTTAAACATGTTCCTTTCAGTTCAGTCATTAGAATCCAGATCTTAGAATTAATCAAGTATTTATAATATGAATTTAGATGATCATGTTGAGAGAAACTCTTGGTGATTTCATTAGCTGTTAAAAGCGATAAGAGTTTTAGCACCCTGGCCAAGTGGAGAAATAACTCCAGTGGATTTTATTGTTGTTGTTGTTAATCATAAGGCTCTAAATGTGAAATAGTCTTTAAAATACCTCAACCTTGGCAAAAAAAATGAAAAAAAAGGCAACCATACCTTCTCCTTTGATAGTTAGTCTTGTTGCTCCATTTATGCTGCCATATTTAGGTATTATTTCTGTGACTTTAGGAATTATTTTAGAGCCATCTGAAAGATATTAAAATGCAGTAGAGGTAAAATGATCAGGTCCTTCATTCCAAGAGTAAAATTTCATGCTATATATTACTACGTTGTTAGAACAATATCATGAAGACTATAGGCTGAAAGTAAATATACCAATGTTTTATTTTTGGCTCTACTGCTAATCAGTGACATTACAGGGAGTTAAGTCATTAATATATACTCATTGATCGTTTTCATCATTCTTACCTATCATATTATACAACATTTATTAAATCTTTAAATTTATGTAATGCTCTACTAACTGCAGCTCTGTAACTCCAGTTAGCAGCCCACACAGCGGCAGACAATGCTGGAGAAATAGCACTGGGGAGAAACAGGTCGTTACCCAAGCACGTAGAAAGTGCAAAGCTAGTAGAGTCAAAGGATAGCCCAGGTACAAAGGGGAATGTTGTGTTTTAAGAAGAAATTGTTTTCTGTGACAGAGTAAGTAAGACTGCAGGAAAGATCATTTCTGGGATCTTTCTACCCTCCTGATGCTAGAGAAGTTCTTAATGCAGAGGTCACCAATGCATTCAACAAATGGTGTTAGGTTCCTGAGGCTATTAAAATGCACAATAATCCCAACTTTCCAGAAGTTTAGCTTGCACAGTACAGAGACAGAAGAGAGGGGCCATGGTTGACTCAGATGGGGCACTTCATCCATATAACTTGGATCACATCAGCTTATGGAAAGAATAGGTTCCCCTGCTGCATCTTGAAGGGCAAATATGAATTAGCTAGACTGAACCAATTATGGGAAAGATGAAGACTTCTAGACAGAGGGTGAGTGAGTGGCTTCATTGGAGAACTGTAAGCAATGCTTTAAAACAACTCACAGATCCACAGTGCACTGTGGAGTTTATTTTCTGCTTAAACTGTACAGACCTGGCAATTATTAAATCCAGTAACAAATTCTCAGAGTGAGTGGGAAAATCTAAATGGGAGCACAAAGAAGAAGCACAGAAATCATCAAGTGTTTAAAACAGAATTAAGAGAAAGGTGAAAGAAATGATTGTATGGTTCATTCCTGCCTGAGAAAAATTTAGTGGGGACTTCACCTAAAATGTCAGCAGTTCTCCAACACAAAGAAGACCCGCCCCAGACCCAGGGCCTCTACTTCGGGCCTGTCTTTGCCAAGAGCTGGAAGGCTGTTCCGCTTCGCACTTGCCGGGCCCCGAGTTGGAAACTCCAGCGGGATCCTATCTCCAAGAGCACGCTGCTCCTCACCTATCTCAGGTTCAGCCTCCCGTTATCTCCACGGACAACTCCAATTTCTTATCTTATCAGTCTCCTCCCAGCCCTCTCCTGGGTATTACTTTGAAGGCACAGGGCAGCTGGCCCTGGAAGTGACTGACACCCGCCACGAAGACCCACTTCTGTCCTGGGAGACCTCCCCTCAGTGGGGCAAAAGGATCCACGAAGAGTGAGAGGGAGGACTCGGGTGTCCCTCTCGCCTAGACCCCCGTCTCTACTCCCCCGGGCCAAATTTCAGTCTCATTTCAACAGTCACTTAGGGGAGAGGAGGTGAGATTCCATAACTCAACACAAGCGACCCTTATGAATTCAGAGCAGTGTCGCCCTCTCCTTCGGTCAGTCTCGGCTAGGCCCGCCTTCCAGGTCCTTAGATTCCGGGCTCGTCATGCAGGGGCACCCACACCTGTGGCCCAGGGCTGGTGCCAGGCGGTCCCGACTCTCCCGCGACCCCAGGAGCAGGGACTGAGTCTGCATGGACTTCTCCTGCGTGCCTCCCTGGCGCCCCGAGTGGGTTACCTGTGCGAGGGTCCGCAGCGCACAAGAGCAGCCCCCAGAAGCCCCAGGTCCCTAAAAGCCACAGGTGTCCCATTGCGGCCGGAGCTCCGCAGTCCAGCCCGCCGCCGCTCGAGCCGCCGCCCGCGCCTGCGCTGCGCTCGGGGACCGCCACTCGCTCGCGCGCCCTCCCCGTCCACGCGCGCAGGCGAGGCCGCCCCGCCCCCGGCGATCGGGCGGAGCCGTGGGATTTGCACACGGATCCGCGCCCCTCACCGGAGCGGCGAGCCCGCCGGACCAGCCCGCTTTCAAGAAACCCCCGCACTCAGACCTGAGTGCCACCCCACTCCTTTTGGCACGAGCGCTCAGAGGGCTAGTTTTCCCTCAGTCCTGCCCCCCAACCCCCCACCCCACACACGCCCTTTCCTTACCTTTTCTTTCTGTAAGGAAAAATAAAATTAAAATTCTGGGGCTGCATTCTTTCATAGCCTGTCTGCTGTGATTATCAATCAACCCCAGTTGGGCTTAAAGGTCCACCTAATACACAAACCTCACACATTTTCCCCTTCACATTCAAATAAGTTCCTGCTGTCCCTTTAATTAACAAACATACTAATATTGATGATCTCTTAGTCACACTAACATTTTTCTTTTTCTTTATTGACTTTAGAGGCAGAGGAAGGGAGAGGGAGAGGGAGATAGAAACATTGATGAGCGAGAACATCCATTGGCCGCCTCCTGCATGCCCCCCACTGGGGATTTGGTCCACAACCTGGGCATGTGCCCTGACTGGGAATGAACCGGAGACCTCTGGGTGCATGGGTGGATGCTCAACCACTGGGCCACACCCGCCGGGCCACACTACCATTTATTGATGTCCCAAACACCATGTCTAGTGTTCTAGAGACTTTAACTCACAATAATCTCCAAAGGGCTATTACTATTACTATTGCTGTTGTATTATTATCCCCAGGCCCAGAAGGTTAAATTGCTTAAAGCCATACACCTAAGTGTAGAAGGAGGACTCAAGCTGTGACTCCCAGGCTAGGGCTCTTGTCCTCTCCATTGTCCCCAATTCTGCAGACTTCTAGTGAGGGATTGCGATGCTTAGGACATACACTAAAAAAAATTGTTGTTTACCTGAAATTCAAATTTAACTCAGCATCCCATATTTTTTATTTATTAAATCTGACAAGTCTAGGAGGAAAAACAAGAAATGAAAAGAGAACTCTGAAATAAGTAAATAAAACTGGATCCTTACATTTGAATAAAGTAGAAGTTTATATCTATCTCACCAGGGTTAAAAAATAATTTTGTTAGATTTGGGTAATTATATTCATCTAATAATTATTTTTATTTAATGATGGGGGGCAAGAGATTTGTTGTTCCACTATTGATACATTCGTTGGTTGATTCTTGTATGCCCTGACCAGGGATCCAACTGCAACCTAGGTGTGTATCTGGATGACATTGTAACCAACTGAGCTAATATGTCAGGGCCATCTAATAATTTTTTGCAAACTGACTTCCAGCATCACCACTCTACTGGAAATAGTCCCCGTAAGAGTACCACAGACCTTCTTTCTCTTGGAACTCTGTATCACGTGACACTGTTAACATCTTTCTTGAAATTCCATTCCTCTTAATAGTCTTGGGTTTCTTCCTACCTCTCCAGTCACTTCTAGCTCATATTTTTCCCTTTCATCTCTTCCTGAAAAATGGCATTCCTGCAGGTTCTCTTCCCTCTTTCCCTTTTCTCTCTAAAAGCATCAGGTAGTTGAATGCCAATTTGTCAATTCATTATTTGCAAATTTTACTAAATTTAGAGATTGTAATGTATAACAATACTTAGCAATTTTACCAATAATTTAGCGTTATTAACAAAAATAGCTATGAACCATGTAAAGTGTATATTTCAAAATTAATAACCAAAATACAATTTAATGTGGGAGTTTTTATATAGAATTGTATAGCTAATTTTGATTCCTTTCTAATGCTTTCAAATTAAAGTTAGATTAAGTTAACCTAAATTGGATGATTTCACTAAAGAGTAATTTAAATGCAATGTAATCCAAAATTCTGATTTTCTCATATTCAATTTCAGTTTATAAATTAAAATGGAGTATGAGAAATAGGCTAAATGATACTAAAAAGAATATTTAAAATGTCTTATTATTAAAAAAATTAAAAATGCGCTTTGAAAGCATTATGAAAGAAATCAGAAGTGAAAAACCTTGTTCCATATCATATACTCAGGTTTGATTGCTAATGAGGAACCATTGAAATAACCAGACTTTCCTGCAGAAAAAAAAAAAAAAAAAATCCATATTGTTTATAACAAAGAGGAAAAGTGTTCTAAGTTTGGGATGTATCAATGAAGTGATTAGGAACCTTTATATGTTGATTTTTGCTTTGCCAAACTTTTAACATTTTTAAGATTCTTTCACCATATCCTCAGATAGTATGTCAACCAGTAAATAAGATAAAATGTGGTTACTCCTATTGTGTCCTATTTCACTTTTGTGTTTAACTTGTACTGACCACTTGGTTCATTAAAGTAGTCCCTTCCAGATATCTTAACTTACTCTATACCTACTAGTCTTATTATAACGAGTTAACTATATACAAATATGTACAGATATACATATGTGTATGCATATAAATACACATATATACACATAAAGGTATATATGTACATAATAAATACATATACACATATAATAGGTGATATTCAATATTTAAATTGTGTGTATTATTTTTCCATATATTTTGTTATTAGTAACCAAAATCAAACACTCCTATGAAAGCTTCTAAATATTTGTTAAACTACTGTCATTCAATTCGGCAAATTTAACAAATTGGTCATTTGGCTAATTATCTTCAGGAAAGTTGCCATTTCAGCAAATTAGCCTGCTTCCCTGTCTTATAATGCCTAAATTTCTTATAGAGCAAGGAACTATAATTTGCATATATAGATTTTCATTCAACTCTTGTTGAATGAATGAACATCTCTTTAATCTCTCTCTAAATAGTGCTTATTTATACAATATATCATTTTCCTGAAAGAGATCACACCTGTGAGATTGTTTTTGAAATGCACAGAAATAAAGAGGAAATTGAATTTTCATATTCCGTTGTGCAATTGTGATGACACAAAACAATATTTGTCAATGGAATTTTGAAAGATTGTTATGTCTTTTCTCCCCCCTTTCATTCACCTACACTCTACTTGCTCTCGTCAAAATAGGGGGCAAGGCATTTATTTCCCCCTTAAGAGCGGAGTCATGGTAATAACATGGTTATCCTAAGCTAATGGTCTTCATATTATTTTTAAAAATATTTACATCTTTATATAGAACAAATTTAACACCAGTGAGATTATTAACAGAAATGTATGGGATAATGTTCAAATAAATAAATATAACTACATGAAAATTATATTACCAAAAGGTCGAGTTGGAACTAGAAAGAGTGGTTATATCATTTATATAACTAATGATTTCAATTGTATTGACCTTTAGAATCTTTAAACCTTAAAAATTCAGACTCATCATGGAACATGGACATGGGGAAACATGAAAGGAGAATTCTGATCACTAAACCCTGTGTTCTTTTGTAAGTTAAAACAAAAAATCCAGCTCTAAGAAAACCTTACCTGTAGGGAGGGCCACAAGCACTGTGGGCTTGTGACCTGTGCAGTCTCCCGGGACCCCATGCTTATTTTAATACTCTGATGTCTCCATCCTAAAATCATTAATATTTTTTTGAATGAGGGAATCCCCATTTTCATTTTGCCTGAGATCTCACAATTGTGTAGCTGGTTCTATTTGGCTTTATGGTGAAAAACCGATTTTGAACTTGTTGATCCTCAATTTAAAAGTAATAAGGAGTTAGTAGGAACTCTTGCAGAACTGGAAGGAATGCACTTAACTTGGAAAATGAGCTGTGTGCTGGAGCCTGACTTTGAAGCTAGCCCTGATTGTAAGAGAGATGGTAAACGTGAGGTGCTCACAAGACAGTAGTTTGCCTTCAACAAATATCCAGTGTCCTAGGCGTTAAGAATAATGACAGTAGCCCTGGCCAGGTAGCTCAGTGGGTTAGAGCATCGTCCCGATATGCCAAGGTTGTGGGTTTGATCCATGGTCAAGGCAAACATAAGAATCAACCAATGAATACATAAATAAGTAGAACAACATATCGATGTTTCTCTCTCTCTCTTCCAAATTAATCAATAAAAAAAGAATATGACAGTAATATTTTATTAAAAATTCCCTGTCCTCATGGAACTTATATTCTTCATGGAGATAGACAATAAGCAAGGTAAATGAATGAAATAGATAGTATGTCAGAAAGTAATACATGCTAGAAAGAAAAAATATAAAGCAAGGAAGACTATAACAGGTGTGTATGTGTGTATGTGTGTGTGTGTTGAGTGTGACAAAGGTTTAGATAGGATGATCAGGAAGTTGTCACAGAGATGAATTTTGAGTAACAATCTGAAGGTCTGAAATGAGTGTTTAGCCACAGGTTCATCCTGGGAGCTGTGCATTCTGGCCCTTGGAAAAACAAATGCCAATACCAGGAGGAGGGAGTGTGCCTGCTGTGTAAGGAGCAGGGAAGCCGGAGAGGCCACAGTGGAGAGAGCAAGCAGGGTGGTGGAAGATATGAGGACAGAGAGGTGATGGGAGGTGGGGCAGATGGCAGGATCATAGATGTGGAGATGAGAATCTACTGCAGAACACTGAGCTGAAGTGTGACATGATCCGACTTATGTTTGCAGAGAAACACCCAGCTGCTGTTTCGTTGCACTGAATGTGTGACTGAACCCAGTTACAGCCTCTATAGAAGTGTTTAAGATTCTGGCAGGTAGGTGTGAAAATCTGCTCATCTTACAGTCACTCAAGACAAGCCTCTGGTAATTTTTCTTGCTTATTAAAACTGCCACCTACCAATTTGGAGGATAGGGAGGGTGGGCAGTTTCATATTTCACCGGAGAGACTTCCAAGGTTGTGAGGCAACAGCAATTTATAGTGGTTTTCATGTCAGATGTATTGATATATTGCAGAATTATAAAAATATCTTAATATTTTGAAACAATAATTCCTATTTTGTGAGTCTCTTTTGGAAACTACCAA